TATTAGGGTAAAATTATCTGATTAGGCTTAATAATATGTAGCGATTATAATATTAATAATAAGCATTTTTTCAGTTTAAAATTAATCATCTTAATAAAGATAAGAATTTAGATATATTTAATTGATTTTAATAAAAATTCATTTAAAATAAAAAAAAGGGTTGTCAACACGAGGACTTCCCAAGCGGTCCCCCACCTTAGTACTAACCTCGCCTTAAGCCGCTTAACTTCGGAGTTCGAATGGGATCCGGTGCTTTAGGCTTAGTATGGCCGACAACGATTATTACAATATTTATTATCTTTTATACCTAAGGTTTTTTTTTAGAAATAATAATATATATAATTCATTAAGCAATATTTTACAACATTTATGCAATTTGCAAGAAATTAACAAAATTATTTAACATCTCTTAATACCCTAATTTTTATCTATAATTTTAACATCCACATTTTAAAAATTCATCAAATATATATAAGATTAATCATTTTCTTATTTATCTTCAAATTTTTAGGAATAGGTATATTTATTTTTGTCAGGTATTTTTTAAATTTTGCTAAAATTTATTTTACTTTATATAACATTGATGATAAAATGCATTCAAATTTTAGTTAAGGGTTAAATGATCTGTTTATGGCTTGTTTTTAGGGTAAATAGGCATTTTGTATTTATTTTTTTTTTTCAGAAGTGATTATGAAAAAATCTTTTTTTTTATAATTTGAGGTTATAATTTATTCTTTCTTAAGAAAATAATATGAATAAGATCATTTTGTGAATAAAATAAAGGAATTTAATATTATAAAATTTGAATTTTAAAAATAAAAGTCAAAATGGCAATTTAAAAAAAGATGACAAAAATTACTAGGTAATAAAATGAGTAAGGAAAATATTAAAATATGTATTATGAAGTTTAGTTACCGTATTTTAATCCTTAATCTAATTCTGTATTTGCAACATCATTATTGAATAATCCTTCATTATTGAATATTTATTAGTAAGGAATGAACAGTTATTTACAAGGATATTATAAATAAGCTATATTTTTTGCAGAAAAATTGTTATGTTTAAATTAAGATTCAACATCCTAAGCATATTTAGTATTTTTGCTTGGAATGGTAAATTATCATTTTTATAAATTAGTGTCATTTTGCAAATTGGGAATACTCTGGAGTATACAATCTATTTTTAAAGCATAAATTGACATAAGGAGATTTTGCAGTATTAGGAGCTAGGGCTTTATATTCAAATCGACAATATGAAATGGGAATAGAAATTTTATAGGAAGAAAATAGTTCATAGAGTGATTGGATAAGAGGATAATGTTATGAAGCTTTAGAGAATAAATAATTAGCAGTTTCGAATTATTTTGAATGTTTATAGAAAACACCAACAAATGTTAGAGTGTTTTAATAATTAGTAGATTCATATTTAATATCTTCTGATGAAAAAGAGAATTTGGTTTAACAAATTTAATTAAATTCAGATGAAGCATGGTTAAAAGATTACTATATCAGCAAAACAATAAATTATGATATTATGAATTCAAAAATAGCTGATCATTTGTAAGAAGAAAAAAGGAAAATAGCTTAATAATTATAAATTGTTGACAAAGTGGAAACTTAATAATTAAAACCCTCCCCAACACGTAGTCCTTATATTCGGAAGGAAGAAATACCAATATAAAACGATTTAATTTATGTGGCTTTAGAGAAGAAGAATAATATAGATATACTAAACGTTAAGGCAAAGAAAGCTTATTATAATTATGATATAGCTTCTGCCTATGATTGGTCATTGAAGGCAATAAAATAGGATCCATTATATTTTGAAGTGATTCCAACCTATGTTTCTTGTTTATTAGAATTAGAATAAATAGCGGAACTCTATTATTGTGCTCATAATTTGATTGAGAATTATGCTTAAAATGCATTAAGTTGGTTTGTTGTTGGAGTTTATTATTTTTCCTCAAAGAAATATGAAGTAGCAAGGAAACAATTTTAAAAATCTATTTAGTTAGATTAGCATTTAATATATAGCTGGATCGGATTAGCACATTCTTATGCAATATAAGATGAATCTGATTAAGCTATGTCAATATATAGATCAATTACTAGATAATTTCCAGGTTGTTATTAAGCCCATGTTTATATTGGAATGGAATATTTGAGAACCAATAATTTACAGACTGCTATCTTATCTTTATAACAAGCTAAAGATATTAATCCAACTGATCCAATGATTTAAAACGAATTAGGAGTTATAGCTTACAAATAAAAAAAATATCATGAAGCCAAAGACGTAAGTTTATCAAAGTTTATTATTCTAGTATTTTCTAAATGCTTTAGTATATTGTTAAAATTCTAATCATAAAATTAGAGAATCTGCATTATAAAATCTTGGACATACTTTTAGAAAATAGAAAGATTATAAAAATGCTATTCAAATCTTTGAAAAGTGCATATAAGTAAAAATTATTAATAATGTAGTTGAATTCTGTTTCTCCATAGATATTTTTTGGTTTGGCATTTTCTTATCATTTAAGTGAATTGCCAAATAGTTTAAGCAAAGCTATTCATTATTATCATAAATCGCTCTCATTAAAATCTGATTAAACTTTTGTTCAGGATATGTTAAGTAAAGCTCTATAAGAAGCAGCTGACATAGGATTATCAGAATATATATATTGAATATAAATCTATTTAAAGTAAAAGTAATTTATAGATATTACTAATTATATATAATTATATTAATTAATTCTAAATAGTTTATATATAGCCTTAATAGAGATATAACAGGAAGTTAATTAAAAAAATAAAATTGAATCTATAAAGATTCATGGACAATAATTCTTTAATTTAAGTTATTATATTTTATTTGAATATATTACAGCTCAATGAGTAGCTGATTAATTGTTTGGAGCTGTGAATGGTCTTCTTTATTCTAAGAAATCATCAAATTCTCCATCTGCACGTCTTAAATTANAGGAAGAAATACCAATATAAAACGATTTAATTTATGTGGCTTTAGAGAAGAAGAATAATATAGATATACTAAACGTTAAGGCAAAGAAAGCTTATTATAATTATGATATAGCTTCTGCCTATGATTGGTCATTGAAGGCAATAAAATAGGATCCATTATATTTTGAAGTGATTCCAACCTATGTTTCTTGTTTATTAGAATTAGAATAAATAGCGGAACTCTATTATTGTGCTCATAATTTGATTGAGAATTATGCTTAAAATGCATTAAGTTGGTTTGTTGTTGGAGTTTATTATTTTTCCTCAAAGAAATATGAAGTAGCAAGGAAACAATTTTAAAAATCTATTTAGTTAGATTAGCATTTAATATATAGCTGGATCGGATTAGCACATTCTTATGCAATATAAGATGAATCTGATTAAGCTATGTCAATATATAGATCAATTACTAGATAATTTCCAGGTTGTTATTAAGCCCATGTTTATATTGGAATGGAATATTTGAGAACCAATAATTTACAGACTGCTATCTTATCTTTATAACAAGCTAAAGATATTAATCCAACTGATCCAATGATTTAAAACGAATTAGGAGTTATAGCTTACAAATAAAAAAAATATCATGAAGCCAAAGACGTAAGTTTATCAAAGTTTATTATTCTAGTATTTTCTAAATGCTTTAGTATATTGTTAAAATTCTAATCATAAAATTAGAGAATCTGCATTATAAAATCTTGGACATACTTTTAGAAAATAGAAAGATTATAAAAATGCTATTCAAATCTTTGAAAAGTGCATATAAGTAAAAATTATTAATAATGTAGTTGAATTCTGTTTCTCCATAGATATTTTTTGGTTTGGCATTTTCTTATCATTTAAGTGAATTGCCAAATAGTTTAAGCAAAGCTATTCATTATTATCATAAATCGCTCTCATTAAAATCTGATTAAACTTTTGTTCAGGATATGTTAAGTAAAGCTCTATAAGAAGCAGCTGACATAGGATTATCAGAATATATATATTGAATATAAATCTATTTAAAGTAAAAGTAATTTATAGATACAATCATAAAAATAAAAAATATTTTTTAGGTCTAAAGACAATATATTAATTAATTCTAAATAGTTTATATATAGCCTTAATAGAGATATAACAGGAAGTTAATTAAAAAAATAAAATTGAATCTATAAAGATTCATGGACAATAATTCTTTAATTTAAGTTATTATATTTTATTTGAATATATTACAGCTCAATGAGTAGCTGATTAATTGTTTGGAGCTGTGAATGGTCTTCTTTATTCTAAGAAATCATCAAATTCTCCATCTGCACGTCTTAAATTATATAAGTTTTATTACCTATTATTAAGATTAGGTCTTTATTAAGCAGCTCTCAATTATCTCATAACATTCATAACAATTTCTGCAGTTCTTTCAATACTCAATTATTTTCCTGGTCCTAATTTAGATTTTTCATCCTTTACCAATTCACTTAAATTTAATTAATATTTATACCTAATATGATCAATAACTTAATCTTCAATGGCTTAACCTCCATTCTTCCTTTATTCATAGGCTTCTTACTAATTTGCCAAATATTAATTCCAAACTGTGTAGGTGAACAATTAATAAGGATGTGAATTGTATGAAACTAATTCAAAATCTCTATCAATCTAATCTACCATTCTTCTTTCACCACCATGTTTTATTTAAGTGACTTGACATTCAGCAATATGTGGTACAATAAAAAATGTTCTCAAACCCATTTAAAATAATTCTTCCAACTCTTTGTTACCAAAGAAGTATTATTTACAATGTCTGGAGATCTTTCTGTATGAATGATAAGCTATTTAATAGACATAATATTTCTAACCTCTCAAAAATGAATTGTGATCATAACGGCATCTAATACCAATAGTAAATTCGGAACTTGATGGACGTGGAGCATTGAAATTTTTAGGATGCCAGTTATTTTTCCATCCAGCTCTTGTCCAAAAAAATGACTTATTTCTGATTTTGTAAACCATAAATTAATATCTTTTATTATTCGCAATTCATTTACAATAAATTTCATTATTTTGCTAAAATCAAGTCCTATTCATGACAGCTTGTGACTTAAAGGAGCACGTATAATCTAAATATCATCTTAATCTCAAATTTTACATTCTTTAATTTGTATTTTTCATTCTTTAATTGATTTTATCTAAGAAAAAACTTAAAAGAGTATTAATTTAGACATTCTGGTTTTTTACAGAATTAAAAACAAAGAATCTCCCAAAATACAGCTTTTTTGGATATAATATCAAAAAATCGTATATTTATATATAATATATTAAAAAATTTTGATTTACTTGATTATTTAATTCTAAACGAATTTTTTTATTCATAAACTGCTAAACTCCAGTACTAAAAATTGTGATATAGTTATCCTTATTAGCCAAAGTTTTCCATATATTTTTTATCGAATTATTTAAAGAGATATAAAAGTCTTCATAAATAAAAAGCTTTTAAAATGCAGATATTTTAAAGTACTATAGATTTTAAAAAAACAATTAATAGGTTAGAATTAATTTAAATAATAAAAATATTTGCTAAACTTATTATCCTTATTTCAATAATAAGAATTAAATTTAAGTTTTTAATTTTTTTCACTCATAATGAAAACTTTGGGGATTAAATAACAAGGGAATATTTGGACGACGAAATAATTAATGTTTTAATTCTCGATCTTAAGTTTAAAGAATTTTAAGAAAAATTTTCCCCTGAATAAAACTTAAAATTCTTAAAAAAGATTGATTTTTATCATATATTTGGATTTATTCACCTTACTATTTACATAACTTTATAAGGATTTTATTAAAATCATGGAACTAAATATAATAATATTTCTATAGTTTGAAATAGTTAAATCTTAATAAATTTTAAGGCAAATTTAGCATTTTTTTATTTATACTTTGAAATAATAATGAACAAATTCTATTATATTTCCAAAAATTGTTAAAAATAACATATTTATCAAGAAAAATATGTAGAATTTAATTTAAAATCTTATATTATGTAATTAATTTGAAAAATATTAATATATAAAATTAATGAGTCTGGATTCTAGTTCTGCTTTAATAAATTCAAATGTTGATTTCTAATAATTTTAACGTGATAGCGAAAATGAATTATAGAAAGATAACTCAAAATCAGATTAGAATGATGAATAAGATCAGAAAATATAAAATGAAACCAAAAATATTCCAAAAAACTTTGGTGTTATGCTTAAAAATTATTTAAGTAGTTCATTCAACTATTAATATAGAAAAAAATCATGCAAAATTATCTTAAAAAAATACTGCCATAAAAAAATTTATTCTTAAAGGTAACTAAAAAAAAAACTATAACCGTAAGGATTTCAAAACTTTGTTTAAAAATGCAGAAGCTCGAAAGATTTGTTCAGAATATTTTTCAAGTTTTGATTTAATTCAAGATGTGCTTTAGTCAAGAAAAATAGGAAAAGAAGAGATTGTGCTAAAATATATTAAGAAATTATTTTTAGCAACATATGATCCAAATACATTATCTATTCTCAAATATTCGGAAGATTGAAGTTGTTTTTAACACTTTTTATATATAGAATTCAGATCTATTAACTCAAATATTAGAGCGTATTATTTTTGATATAAAATATATGTAATAAAAATTAGAAACAATAAAAGGCTGGGATATTGATACATCATTTGAATCTCAAGGAATTTTGAAACCTAAAAATAATTCAATAATAGCAGAAGAACCTTGCCAAATGAAAACTTTATCTTCTGAAAGAAAACCATCTCCAAAAAAGATAAATAAAACCCCATTAACTCGAACTCCTTTAAATTCTGTACACTTTGAATAAGGTAGCGTTAGTTCAAGTTCTTAAGGAAAATTATATGTAAAATAACAATATAAGTAACCTTTGGTACGTCCTTAAGTTTTAACAGTGTCTAAATTAAAATTAAGATTAAATGCTCTTCCATAATAATGTACAATTCCTTAAAAAGCTTATTCAAGTGCTTAATTAAACACAATTTTGTAATTGAAAAGAAAGAATTTGTATTTACAGTCAATTTTGAAAAAAGTAATAATAAATTTGTGTAATACTTTAAGGTTAATAATAATGAAAGTGAGGAGAGAAATAATAAATCATAATATGATTAATTGATAATAACTCATAACAGAGCAACTCAATCAATGTGGATGGAGAGTACAATGGCTATGCGTAGTTTCTTTAATACTCGAATAGGACATTTTAAAGCAAATGGTACTAAGCATAAGTTTGTAGTTTGATCGAATTACTTTTAAAAAATATTTTTAAAGATTTTTAATTTATGGGAAAGAAGGAAAAAGGAAAGCCTAATCCATTGGGTGAAGTTAGTAGAGATTACACAATCAATCTCCATAAGGCAGTTCATAAAGAAACATTTAAAAGAAAGGCACCTAGAGCAGTTAGTCACATAGTCAGATTTGGTATTGTAAAATGCACTATTTAGCTTAAAAAAATATGTTAACTGAAGATGTGAGAATTGATCCACAATTGAATGAAGCAGTTTGGGCAAGAGGAATTCGTAATTTACCAAGAAGAATAAGAGTAAGATTATAAAGAAAGAAGAAGGAGGAAGATGATGGAAAAGGTAAGTATTATACACTTGCTTAATATGTTCCAGTCGATTCCTTTGATAACCTTAAGACTGAAATTACAAAATAATGATATATTTAATGTACAATATATAAATAGAAAAATAAACAATTCATTTAAAACTTAATTACCATAAGGAATCACCAAGATGATGTAATAATTAAATTGCATGACCTTTAGGGTCTTTTATAATTTATTCAGAATTAGCATTCATAATACCAATTCCCATAGCATTTTCTTTACCTTCCCCATAAATAGCTACAACCTATCCTTTTTCTGCCTAAAATAATTAGTAAAGTAACTTACAGGATTAAGAGAACCTCCTTAAGAAATAAGTCCAGGAGCTAAGACATCAGAACCACTTAAAATATGTTTAATTGCTCCTGCATCAACTTATTATTTAATTAATAGATCTGGAAATTTATGAACTAATTTTAAATGTGGGATGACTAAATCCTCTTTTGTAAAGCAAATATAATCTTTATCAACTTAGACTATTTCAACTTTGTATTCACTTCTTAATTTAAATGATTAGATATTAGCTTTTTTAGGAAATATTTCATCTTCGATTTCTTTAAAATAAGGGTATTAAGTATTGAATGATTATTTTAATTCCTTAACCCCAGTTTTAGAAAGTAATGTTGGTTTAGAAAGATCTTCTAGTTTTTTGAACATAATTTANGAGAGTACAATGGCTATGCGTAGTTTCTTTAATACTCGAATAGGACATTTTAAAGCAAATGGTACTAAGCATAAGTTTGTAGTTTGATCGAATTACTTTTAAAAAATATTTTTAAAGATTTTTAATTTATGGGAAAGAAGGAAAAAGGAAAGCCTAATCCATTGGGTGAAGTTAGTAGAGATTACACAATCAATCTCCATAAGGCAGTTCATAAAGAAACATTTAAAAGAAAGGCACCTAGAGCAGTTAGTCACATAGTCAGATTTGGTATTGTAAAATGCACTATTTAGCTTAAAAAAATATGTTAACTGAAGATGTGAGAATTGATCCACAATTGAATGAAGCAGTTTGGGCAAGAGGAATTCGTAATTTACCAAGAAGAATAAGAGTAAGATTATAAAGAAAGAAGAAGGAGGAAGATGATGGAAAAGGTAAGTATTATACACTTGCTTAATATGTTCCAGTCGATTCCTTTGATAACCTTAAGACTGAAATTACAAAATAATGATATATTTAATGTACAATATATAAATAGAAAAATAAACAATTCATTTAAAACTTAATTACCATAAGGAATCACCAAGATGATGTAATAATTAAATTGCATGACCTTTAGGGTCTTTTATAATTTATTCAGAATTAGCATTCATAATACCAATTCCCATAGCATTTTCTTTACCTTCCCCATAAATAGCTACAACCTATCCTTTTTCTGCCTAAAATAATTAGTAAAGTAACTTACAGGATTAAGAGAACCTCCTTAAGAAATAAGTCCAGGAGCTAAGACATCAGAACCACTTAAAATATGTTTAATTGCTCCTGCATCAACTTATTATTTAATTAATAGATCTGGAAATTTATGAACTAATTTTAAATGTGGGATGACTAAATCCTCTTTTGTAAAGCAAATATAATCTTTATCAACTTAGACTATTTCAACTTTGTATTCACTTCTTAATTTAAATGATTAGATATTAGCTTTTTTAGGAAATATTTCATCTTCGATTTCTTTAAAATAAGGGTATTAAGTATTGAATGATTATTTTAATTCCTTAACCCCAGTTTTAGAAAGTAATGTTGGTTTAGAAAGATCTTCTAGTTTTTTGAACATAATTTAATTAAATATTCAAATAAATAAATATCATTATATGTAATCCTGGTAAACTTGTGCTTTGTCTGGAGAATTGATAGAAACTCCAGTTATATCAAAAGTGAGTGGACATATTTATGAGAGGAGATTAATTGAAAAGCACATTGAAAGTACAGGCACATGTCCAATTACAGGAAGACCTTTGAGTTTTGAAGATTTAATTGAAGTAAACTAAACTAAGATGATTTTAGGTGAAAGTATCAAGAATTTAAAAACCAAGACCAGTTACAGCAACTTCAATACCATCATTATTATCATTGTTATAAAATGAATGGGATGCATTATTATTAGAATAATTTCAATTAAAATAACACTTAGAATAAGTTAGACATGAATTAACACATGCATTATATTAGCATGATGCAGCTTGTAGAGTGATAGCTAAATTAATTAAAGAAAGAGATTAAGCTAGAATTGAATTGGCATAATTATAACACAAATTAAACCATTAAATTTAGGTAGAACCTAATAATGTCACAGATAAGTTATCATCAGATTATATTACTGAAATAGAAGAAAATGCATTAAAATTAACTAATAATAGAAAAGTTCAGAGGAAACAATAGTCATACTTTGATTAATTTCCAGGTTCTGAAGTATATAATCTTCTTTATCTAGGTACTTTCAAACTATGAAGTAAAATAATAGTATTAATTAACTTAAGGAGGCACTTCCTTAGATACATAAAATGATTATTTGTTAGTTGGTGGTTTGGCAGGTTAAGTTCTTTTGTATTCTAATGAAAAATTAGTTTATTAAGTTTAAGAGCACACATAAACTATAACATCTGTGAATTTTTTTTCTTATGATGAGCATATTAGATTTATTTCTTCCTCATAAGATGGATAGCTTAAAATTTATTTATTTAATCCTTAAACATAGGAAGGTTAGGTAAGTCAAACAATTAATATTGGTTAAAGTGTTACAGGAATTGCAATTCATCCATTAGGTCATATTGCTATTATAGTAACAAGTAATGGTTTATTGGCATTTTACAGTTTAAAGAATGGATAGGAGTTAAGTAGAGTCACTGATTTTGAAGGATAGTGTTAATTTACTTCAATATCTATTCATCCAGATGGATTATTATTAGCTATAGGACAGGGTGATTCTTAAATTAAGGTTTGGAGTATAGTAAAAGGATAGATGTTAGCCTAATTGGAAGGATAAGATGTATAAATGAAAAATACTTCTTTAGGGAGCGGTTACTAATTTAACATTTTCTGAAAGTGGCGCTAGTTTAGCTTCTAGTAGCAATTCTGAAGTTAATGAATGGGATTTAAGACGTCCTGGTTAATTCTCTAAAATTTATCAAGGCTAAAAGATTGGTACTAATGATCTTAATTTTAGGTGGATTATAATATGATCCATCAGGTTAATTTCTAACATATGGTAGTAACAAGACTATTCACTTTTTCGATGTTAAGAAAAAATAGGAATTTTGTAGAATTGAAAGTCATAGAGATCTTGTAACTGGAATTAAGTATGTAGTTTATATTGATAATAGATTTGCACAATTCAGTAAAAATATCTATAGTTGCAGTCTTGATAAATTAGTAAATATCTATGGTAACTGAGTAGGTTTTAATTATATAAATAATCAGTTAATTAAATATGTATTAAAGAATATCCATCTCTCATTGCTAATTGTGTAAAATGTAAGCAATTAAACCTATCTCCTTAATTTGCTCTCATACACTTTGTTTCAAATGTGGATAAAATATATCTATTTAAGAAAATACAAGGTAAGAGAAAATTTGAATTTGTATTTTAGTTAAATACAGAATAAGTTTAGAATTTAATGTCCTTTATGTCGTAGAATCACTCATACATATGACATTAATAATTTATTAATGGAAAATAATGAACTAAATCTCATTACAGATTCTAGTGAAATGGATAAAGAAATTCTAAATGAGGTATTTGCTTATTTACATATAGAGTTAATTATAAAATGATTCATAAAATGGTAGAAGATATTCTAATTTTGAAATTCCTAACAAAACATAAAACACTGCTTAATAAAAAATGTCAGAATTATTAACTTAAACTAACAATGCAATGAAATTAATGAATGATAAACCTAAATAAAATAATTCTACTGTAGGACATTTTCATAAATAATCAACCAATGTTGCTGTTGTTCTTGAAGAAAGTATTTTCAAAATTTTAATTATTAGATCGTTCTAAAGTTTAATTAAATCAACAACCTTATGGACCTTAATTCTAAGCATAGATCTAAAAAACTTTAATCTAATATTAATAATAATAATAAGAGTTATAATAACAAACTTCTTAAAATAATAAAGATGTTTTAAAACCTAATAATAATACTCCTAATGCCAGTCCTTATTCAACTCCTCTTGCATCATAATTTCATATCAATTTCTAAAATACAGATAATAAAAAATAATAATAGAATCCTCTTCAATTTTAACCTTAAAAAGATAAACCTCTTTATTTTGATGATAAAAAATATACTCAAGAAATTAAAGAAAATTTATTTCAAAAAGAAACGCAAAAAGAAATTACTGAACCATCTCGACATAAAAGAAGTGCTACTGGAGTTCCAAATAAATAATTAACTAATAATAACATATCAACTATTAATAATAATATCAATAATAATAATAGTATAACTAATAATGAAACATCAGAATAAATTATTACATAATATTTTTCAATTTTATAAAAAGGTTTATAAAAATTAGAAAAAGATACTTTAATGATCATTAAAAATAAAAATATTCATCCTCAAGCTTTATATCAAAAAATGAAATAATTAAATCAAACAAAAGATTAAGATGGAGAATTAATTTAATCTATCAAAATAGTTATCAAACTATAAACTGAATTAAATGGTTTATCAACACCATCATGTCATAGAAAAACTAGTTCTCATGCAAGTCATAGATATTCAAATAATACTACCAATACAAAAAGCGATCATAGTTCTACTTCAATTTTGCAATAAGAATTTAAAAACTTAAAGAAATTGTTTTGATTTTTATATTCAAATTTTTAATTAAATTTATTTCAATCATCTTACAAAACATAAAACCAAATTCTTAAATATAATCAATTAACTAAGGGTTGTCAATTTTAAATTTAGCTCACCATTAAGTAATTTCTTATTAATGACTATTTATTTCAATTTCTTATAAAGTATTTTAATAAAATATTGAGTTATTTTGCTCTTTATAAAATGAAAATTTATTCAACATTACTGAAATACTTTTTATAAGGAAACTTTCCAATTTAATTTCATCGATTTTTTAAATCTTTAATATCAATATTTAACCAAACTATGACTGCTCTTTTTTTTCTTTTTTCTTAATTAGATATATTATAACCAATAGATTTTCTTTTTCTTATTTCTGTCGATCTCATTCATACCTATAATATCTAATTATATCGTTTCATCATAAATTTATATGATCATTAGGATTAGGTTCTTTTTTAAACTTTATCTACAAGATAAATTTAAATTCTATAAAATGTTTTATATAGAAGGTTAAAAATAAATAAGCTCTTAAATTTTTTTCACAAGAGTGCAAAAATAAAGATGATAATTTTGTTCCGCATATAAAATAATCAATTATGGCAGATTCTTTTATAATAAAAATTGTAAAAGAATTGATTTCTAAGTTTTTAATCAAAAATTATACTTAAAAAAACACTATAGGGGAGATAAAAGATCAAGAAAATTTATTTTTAAGAATTATACAATAATTAACCTTTATTTTTTGAATTAAATATTTTTCTTCTTAATTTTATTAGAGATATGTATAAAAGCATCATAGAAAAAGTTAATTAAAAGGATATAAAATGAAAATTTAATAATGTTGATCTTATATTAATATACATATAAAATTTATAATTAAAAATTGCGCTTTAAATAATAGTAATTTAATAGAATTATGATGACTTAAACTTAATCTAAATGTAGCAATAAGCAAAAATTAAATATCAAAACCTTATTAGATGTTATTGTGCATATGCTATACAAATAAAATTTTAAATCATTGTTGAGTATCAAATTAAGAGAGAGAAGATTATTGATTATTCAATATAATTTAAGATTCAACAAATTCTATAATGTATTCCCTTATTTATAGTATTAATAAATTACTTATCTTATATATATTTTTCTGAATCGGCAAAAATATTACTTTTAATATCGGAACTGCTTTCCGATAAATGATAGTAATTTTAAATTTCTAGAACTATAAGATAAATATTACTTGCACATTCTTTTATAGCTTTCTCAAAAATAACTGCTCGAAGGCTATCATAACTATATGAGGAATGAAGCGACATTTTGATAATTTTCAAACTATTTATGTAATTATTAATTTATGCTATTAAGAAAATCTCATATAATTAAATAATTTTTGATTAAAATTATTTATTTATAAAATGAATCATTCTTATAATTAATTAGGAAATTCATTATCATAGTAATCCAGACTGGAGGTTTAACTATATCAGGATATATTCATACAATTATTAAATAGCCCTATAGTTTGATTTTGTTATAGATTTTAATTTATTTATTGTCCTACATTATTTTTATATTTCTAAAAAGTTTAATGTTAAATTGGCGATTAAATATTGCAAAAGTTATTTTCATTCAATTATTAAGACATTTGAATTATTATAATATAGTTCATAATTATTTGATATTATCTAAATTAAAATAATAATTTCAAAACAAAATTGCTATTTCATTTTAGTAACAAATTTATGAATAAATTTACATTTCATCCCTTTACAAAATTGTATTTAATAAAAATAAATACAGAATCTGCTTTAAACTTTAATTTATTTTTATAAAATATAGAAATAGATAAATTTCAAACAATTTGTTTTGAGTAATTTTTTTTATATTTTGAAAATTTTACATACAAAAAAGAAACTGAAAACTAATTAAGGCTTGTATTGGATTACCTCCTCTTACTATTTATAAGATTAATAAGAAATTAGTCAAATAATTTTCGAAAAAATCACCAATATTAAAGGGTAATAAGAAGATTACTATTTTTTTTCATGATAATCTTGAAAAGCATTTTATAGTTTTTGTTAAAAAGATAGAATTGTAAGTATTTAAATACTGGAAGCTTATTCATGTTTAAATTTATATCAAATTTGGCAAAGATCTTGGAATGGTTACACTATTTCTACGTCTATCATTGAGTTGACTATCAGTTTTCCATCTGTGAATATATTTTAAGGCTGAATGAGTAATTGTTTCAATTGGATTAGCATAAACAGGTTTGGAAAATGTTTCTGGAGTTTCAAGATTCAAAAAACCATCAACATCACTGGAATAAAAGTTTAATTGACTTCTTTAGGAATCATCAATTTCTTCTATCATACAAAGGGTTGATTTAAAATTTTGGAATCTAGTATCAATGATTTGTAATTCATTCTTAATTTTATCAAATTAATCTTTAAATAAATGTTGTTTTTATTGATGAAATTCATAAAATTATTCTAAAATTTCATGAGAACAAAAATAAATGAGGTTTCTGTTTACATTAACTAAACAAGGAGTTAATTCGTGAAAATTTAGCTCTTACTCAAAATTACCTATAGTATATTAGACATTTATCTAAGTTAGCTAATTAAATGTTGGCTTTACTTAATTATTTTATTGTTCTTGTAATTCGATTTATTTTTTGTGATTATTTTTATTTTAAGTTTCAGCACTTCTCCACTTTAATTTCGTTAAGACTGCATCTAAAGCTTNTAAATTAAAATAATAATTTCAAAACAAAATTGCTATTTCATTTTAGTAACAAATTTATGAATAAATTTACATTTCATCCCTTTACAAAATTGTATTTAATAAAAATAAATACAGAATCTGCTTTAAACTTTAATTTATTTTTATAAAATATAGAAATAGATAAATTTCAAACAATTTGTTTTGAGTAATTTTTTTTATATTTTGAAAATTTTACATACAAAAAAGAAACTGAAAACTAATTAAGGCTTGTATTGGATTACCTCCTCTTACTATTTATAAGATTAATAAGAAATTAGTCAAATAATTTTCGAAAAAATCACCAATATTAAAGGGTAATAAGAAGATTACTATTTTTTTTCATGATAATCTTGAAAAGCATTTTATAGTTTTTGTTAAAAAGATAGAATTGTAAGTATTTAAATACTGGAAGCTTATTCATGTTTAAATTTATATCAAATTTGGCAAAGATCTTGGAATGGTTACACTATTTCTACGTCTATCATTGAGTTGACTATCAGTTTTCCATCTGTGAATATATTTTAAGGCTGAATGAGTAATTGTTTCAATTGGATTAGCATAAACAGGTTTGGAAAATGTTTCTGGAGTTTCAAGATTCAAAAAACCATCAACATCACTGGAATAAAAGTTTAATTGACTTCTTTAGGAATCATCAATTTCTTCTATCATACAAAGGGTTGATTTAAAATTTTGGAATCTAGTATCAATGATTTGTAATTCATTCTTAATTTTATCAAATTAATCTTTAAATAAATGTTGTTTTTATTGATGAAATTCATAAAATTATTCTAAAATTTCATGAGAACAAAAATAAATGAGGTTTCTGTTTACATTAACTAAACAAGGAGTTAATTCGTGAAAATTTAGCTCTTACTCAAAATTACCTATAGTATATTAGACATTTATCTAAGTTAGCTAATTAAATGTTGGCTTTACTTAATTATTTTATTGTTCTTGTAATTCGATTTATTTTTTGTGATTATTTTTATTTTAAGTTTCAGCACTTCTCCACTTTAATTTCGTTAAGACTGCATCTAAAGCTTACCTTTGTAGATCTGTTATTTCAGGACAAGTACAACCTGACAATAAATCTTCCAAGTTTGTAATTGAACCATTTTAAGTTTAACTATAAATAGAATTTTGAATATTACAGGTATGGCAAATCTTTTTCTCTTTTTATTAGACTATTAAATCGATTTTTTAGATTATTCTCACTTCTTCTTCCTTCCATAATTTTAGAAATTTCTGCCCATCTTCTACCTATTTCTTTTACTGATTACAATAATTTTATATCTTCTTCGTCTGTCCAAGGTTCTCTATTTTTATAAAAAATATAATGATACTTTGAAATTTTTGGATTGAGATGATTTAACCATCTTTCTCTACATTATTTGCTAGAGCGATAAACAGAAGAATTCTGATTTAATTCTTATGAAATTAAACTCCATTTTTAACCCTAATCAATAGATTAATAGTGGATAATAATTTCATATAATTTTTTATCTTCTTCTGGTCTAAAAGGTTGTTATTATAAAGCAACCTTTTACATAGAGGCCCATTTTGATTTACATTGTTCTTTATCTCTACGACAAATCATCTTAGAAACTTCTTCAAAAAGTTCAGTAGATAAATCCCTCAGGTCTTCATTTCTTAATTAACTAAGTTTGCCAATAAGCCAAATAAGGACTTTCTTCTCATTAAGAGTCCAATTTTTCTTTAGATTAGAATTCCATCCACTTGTAGTAAGAATGTCTAGTTATATTTAATTAATTTCTTCGTCATTTGGAAATTCTGCTAGACCCAAATTAAAAAATTCTTTCATGTATTCAAACTTAGTAAAAGTGGTGTTCTAAGCTTGAAAATAGAAAATTTAGAATTCTTAATAGAAATTACTATCAGATGAATGAGAATATTTTCTTTACGATATTGCTGTCTTTAATTTGGTTTTCGATTTCTTTCTATCTGCCAAGCTATTATTTCTTTTACTCATATAATAAATATTAATGAAAATAAGAAACTATAAACATTTCATTTACTCTTGGACTTTAATCGACTCAATTTCTTGCTTCCATTTTTATCAAATAAATATAAACTAACAGCTATAACAAAATTAAAGCAACTGACTCCAACAAAGAAATAGGATTGATAAACATACCTAAAATATTGATATTGTATATAATTACCCTTGAAATGGATCAATTTCACCCTATTCATTAATGAGATGACTATTATATAAGCTTCCAGTGATGAGAGGAAATAAAGCTAAAGCTGTATTTTACATAACTCCTAACAATCCAAATGCAGTTCCTAATATATAAATATCTATAGTATACCAATCATTTATGATTTAACAACTAATGGTATAGATGGTATTAAAATAGCTGAATAAAAAGAAAAACAAATTCCTAATGACAATAAAGGTAATGCTGATACTCCACATGCAGACTAATAAAATATAGATATAATTACATCACAATAAATAAGTAAAAGGCATAAATGAGTAATAATAAAGATAACAGTAGTAAGAACAATCAATAATGAACGTTATCTAATTTTATCACCATATATGCCTACAAATGGAGTAACACATGCTGCAAATACATAAGGAATAGTAAGTAAAACTCCAGCAGATTATTAACTAAAACCAAATTTAACTTAAAAAAATGCATTTCCATTATCTAAAAATGGAACAAAAAGTGCTTCACTTAACATAATAATGCATGATAATATCCAATATGATCCATCTAAATGTTTCAAATCTGATAATTTTATTTCTTCTTTTACTTCATGTACTGTTTCTTCTACTTTTTCATCACCACTATCCTCATCATCATCATCTTCTAATAATGAAACTGAACGTTCACTTTCTGTAGATTCGCTTTTTCTAATCTATAAACTCATCTCTTATGAAGCTATCTATTATTCTTTATTCTCTATATTAACTTCTATAGGATTCATCTCTTTCCATATTTTCATTAATTATTCATTTTTCTTATCTAGATATATCAAAACTAATCCACATCCCCATGAAAATATAACCATAAAAAGTCCAACTAAAAATGTAAATCCTAACTCTCCATGATTTGCTTAAATTTAAGGACTTATCAAACTATTCATAGCACTTCCTAATTTTGGAATAGATAAACATAACCCTAAAGCTAAACTTACTTAACCTCCTTAAAACCATTAAGACATAATGGCTGCCTATGCTGCATTCAAACTTTCAGATCCAATCCCAAATATACATCTTCCAGCTAACATAGTCCCATATGAAAATGTATATCCACCAATTACTACTATACTCTAACCCAATATTAAGATTGATGAGAAAATTAATATACTAATTCTAACACCAATTTTATCTATAAGGATTCCACCAAAAAATGGTAATATTATATTCGGAGCAGAATATATTGAATAAAGCATGTTGAATTAAACATTATTAAGGTTCATCTCGGTTTGTATTGTTGATTGCAATGCCATTGGATTATCAAAAGCATATGCATCTCCAAATAATAGAAAACAAGCTAAACCAAGTGCTAACCATTATACCCATGTCTTTTGTAAAGGTAATTAGTAAAGAAACGACTACTTGCTCTCTTTTTCTAATTACATAATTAATTATCTATATTATTTTTATATTTCAATTTTTTCATTCTTCCATTATGTTTAAGATTAATTATAGATTCCAATTTATTATTTAAATAAATTTTCTGTAATATGATTAGCATCATTTCTTTCATTTCTACCATTAAAATTGTTTCCTTCATCAGTCATTTGAATTATAGGTAAAGAAAAATTCCTGAATTTTTATCTTAGGATAGATTTTGATATTCAAACATTATACTAGATTATCCTAAATATTCAATATAAATAACTATACATATAAATTTCTTAATAGATCAGCTACTTATATAAGATAATTCTATTAACTTTAACGAAAACTTCTTTGAATTTTTGTTTATTTTTCTTTCAATTAAATATAATTATATTACAGATTTTTTTTGTGATAGTTTATAACTCACTTAAAAAACTGAAACATAATTGAATTCAATTAAGAAGAACTAATAGTGTACATTAATTGTTATTTCATAGGATTAGTATAACTTCTTGAAATTAAATATAAATGGGTAAGCAATGATGAATGGTAAAAAGCTTAGGAGATGCGACAAAAAATAGATCGAGGCCACAAAAATGAATTTAGATAATACATTGAAATTTAGATTTAAAAAAATAAAGTTTCAGTTTGACTCAAATAATCATACAGAGTTTTCCTGCTTATAAATACTTTTGAAATGCAATACCTAGCCATTTTGATTGAGCTCCATTTATATATAGCAAAAATTAGAATTTGTGAAATATTCAATAGAGTTTATCTGTCTGTAGATGAAATCAAGTTTCTTGCTTATATAGTTCTATTTTCTATTACTAATTAACACTGTCAAATTTCAAAGAATCGTTGTCTTATTTCTTTTCATTAATATTCTCTATTTATTACTGATAAATAAAAAAATATAAACAAATCAATCATATAATGCAGAGTCTCATATCTTAATATTCATATTTGATTAATTCAATATTTAGTGTTAATCCATTCAGCCTCAAAAATAGAATAACTTTAAATGGATATAATAAAATTTTATTCCATATCTGCAAAATAAATTATGTAGAGAGAGAGCATCTCTAGAGGAGGATTTTAAATATAAAAAACTACCAAAACAAATTTATACAGAATTTTAACCAATCTATATCTGAATACTTTTTATTAATTTTAAGAGTTCTGATAAAATTCCAATCTGAAATTAAATATAAAATATTCAGATTGTTTATTTCATCTCTTCTAAAAGGATAAGGAGAAAACATAAAGTATTATAAAAAAGTAATTTATGCTTTATATATATTTTAAAAGAAATTAAATGGTTTCTTGGTATAAATTTTATCTGATTTCCAAAATTTTTTGAAGACACTTTAAAAAAGGAAATATTATTAAAAAGGAGTCAAAATTAATATACTAACTTATATTTAATATGTTAAGTTAAATAAGTTGAAGTAATTATATTCTACATTGACATTTTTAGATTAAAAATTGAAACTTAAAATTCAATAGAGGCTGAATTTGTTAAATTGCTGTATTAATTACAGAAATAATAATAAGCAGATAATGAATGAAAATAGATGATTAAATTGAAGAATTGGTTTTTTGAGTGAAGAAAAAAGTTGTAATTGAAAAGTTTAAGGTGTTATTTAAGAAATATGAGATATTTAATATTTGATTAATAAAAAATAAAAAATAAAATGTCTGAGGAACAATAAGAATTCGAAGGCTAAGAGGGATAAGAAGGAATGCCTGAAGGATAAAATGAATAATAGTAATAATAATAACAATAACAAAATCAAACATAATAAAAATAAAAACCTGTAGTTCCTAAAAGAGATCCTCCTCAAGAAGGTGCTATTGTCTTTGATTTTGAAGTTTGTATGGATTGTGCTTCTCATGCTTGGTGTACTCATCATGATGAAAATAAATATACATAATTGTATTTAGATTGCATGGCAGGTAATTATTATAACAATAATTATAGAAATTGAAGCTTAAATTCCGAATTCTTATTGTACATATAATGCTAAGAAGAAACCTGGAACTGGATCTTTCGAAATTTCTCATAAAGGTAAACAGTTATATAAATTTATAGGAATTGTTATCTTTTCTAAAAAAAACTCTTAATTATTTCCTTAACCTAAACTTTTACCAGAGAGAATCAGGTAATTTTTAGATGATTTGGAAAATAAAAGAGATGTATCTAAATGGGCTACAAAAAAAGAAATTAAATAAGAATAACCAAGATAAATTAAAGAAAGACCTACCTTTTAAACTTATATGAAATAAAGAGAGGAATAAGAGAGATTAGCTAAAGAATAAAAACTTAAATAAGAAGAAGAAGCAAGATTAAAATAAGAATAAGAAGAAAGAGATAGATTAGAAAGAGAAAGATAAGAGGAGGAATAAAGGAAAATAGAAGAAGAAAAAAGAAAATAAGAAGAATTAAGATAGGCTGAAGAAAAAGCTGCAGCTGAAGAAAAAGCTAAATAAGAATAAGAATAAAAAAATCTTGAATAATAATAATAAGAAGAAGCTAATAAAGAAAATCAAGAATAATAATAAGAAGGAGAAAAATAACCAGAATAATGATCATATTTAGCACAATGAGATTATAACATTAAAAAAACTATTCGTTTATTAATTGTTATTATCATACAATTCTAAATCTATAAAGAATTTTTAATACTAAACTTTAATATAGAAAATTAAATTATAGAACTACTTCACAAGGTTATCTCAAATACCAATATTTATTTAACATTATTGATTCTAAATAATATTATTTTAACTTTTACATGAATTAGTAGAAATTACAATCTACTTGCCCTCATTTTCAAAGAATTCTTCTTTAAAGAAGCACTCCTTAAGTTCATCAATCTCTTTCTAAATTATTAGTACTATTATTTATTCATGGATATCAAGGTATTATTCAAAAATAAGTAAATCAAATGTGAAATCTGTTAAAGAAAACAAGATTATTTGAACATCTGTTTGAAATGTGAAAAGCCATTATGTGACATTGAAAAAATATGCTCAACAGAACATTTACAATAATTTAGTATATGTAATATTGTTATATCCATAATTAGTAAAAAATCCCGATCATTGTGATCATTGTGTGATAATTAATATTCACTCAAATTTAATTGCTTGCCTTATGTGTAAAATAGAAATTTATGATTTTGAGCAAACATAATAAAACGAAGATAATCATAATATTGAAGAAATTATCAATCCTTAAAAAATTAGAATGGAATATCATAAATTCTTTTATAGATAAGAACCTCATAACATTTAATTTATAAATCAATAAAATGTGTAACATGTTGGAATGTTAAATATATGTAATAACAGTCATTTAAATTGTATTTTATAAATATTACTAAATTATCCTCTAATCTAATAAATACTACAAAAAATTAATTGTGAATATGAAATAAATGAATATTTTTTGAGATCCAATCGTAAATAAATTCTTAGAGAATTAAGTTCAATGGCTTAAGTTTATTCTTCACAATAATATAGAATTATTAATCCTTCAAAACTTATTAAAAATTTAGCTCAACTTGATCCAAAAATAATTGGATATTCAAGAAAGGATGCATACGTAAATTATTAATTATTATTAAAATTAGGATTCTTTCAAAACTGTTATCAATTTTTTAAATGAAGAATTTAAATTTTCAAATTTGAAATCATATTTTACAAATAATCTGATCTATACAAAATAACCTCTTGGACATGATTGGAACATAATGTACTCTCTAAAAAGTAGTTAGTGCTGATCCAAGTTCATATATGGAATATTCTTTTATTCAAAGCATATTCTCTGGAGAACTAATTTCTAACCTTCAATGTTTGAATTGTAAAAAAATTACGAAGACAGTTGAATAATTCTCAGCGTTATCCCTAGAGCTTCCTGAAATTAAAAAACAAGGATTTTTTAAATAATTTCTCAATAATTAAAAGCAGTCCATAACATTAAAAGAATGTCTTGATTATTTTTATGAACCAGTCATAGATTCATTAACTCTTTGTAGTTGTGGTACAAGATCAGGTAAAAGACAATATAGTTTTTAATAATAATCTAATTTATTATGTATACATTTGTAAAGGTTTTAAAATAAAAACTAAAAAGATAAAAAACATGTTTCTTTTCCAATTAAGGATCATAACTTTTAAGAATATTTTAATGTAAAATATTATTTAAAATACATAATAGTTGGAAAATGAATAGAATTATAGACTTTTTGGAATAGTTGTACATTTACATGATTTAGGAGGAGATCATTTTGAAACTATTTTAAAATATAAAAATTCATAATTTTTAAGCATTAAAGACGAAATTATCTAAATAGTTTCACAAAATTATGTGGAAGAATGTGAAGCTTTATTATTATTTTATGAAAAAGTAGATAATTAAATTGATCAATTTAAAGCAAGTCTTAGAAAAAACTTATAGAACTAACATAAAATGATAGTTAATCAAGAATTACAATTAAAAGATGAAGAATTATGTTATTTACCGCATTTTTGGTATGAATAATTTTTATATCTTGCAAAACCACCTTAAATTATAACATCTCATTTAATTTGTCCTCATAATTTATTAAAGCCAGATTATTGGGATTTTAGAATAGAATATGAAGTAACATATATTATTTATATTAAGAATGCTAAATCAGTTTAATAAAATTCTCAATTAGATTCAAACACAAGCTTTACAACAATAGGAGAGGTATAAAATCCTAATTCTCCAGTTAATATGGAGGAAAGCTCTGCCTAAAAATAATTGCAACTCACTTCAATCATAATTCCTAAAGCAGTTTGCGAATTTTTAATTGAAAAATATGGAGGAGGGCCAATTATTGAAAAAAATATTAAAACTTGTAGTGCCTGTACAGAAAATGCATAATAAATGAGTAGAAGAAGAAAATTAGAAAGGCAACTTATAATTAAATATGAAAATCTTCAAGGGTATGATAGAATTTTTGTCATCCATGAAGAATGGTTAAAGAAATGGTAAACTTACCTTTATAATTCAAAATCCATTTTGTAAAAAAACAATTTATTTGGTTATCCTCCTCCTGGAGAAATAACTAATTATTTATTGTTAGATAAAGATTAATAGATTATCTAATAAAAAAAGGAAGGCTAACAATTTCTTATGATCACAGCTCCAATATGGCATATCTTATAGGAAATATATGGAGGAGGTTAATTATTCATTTATAATAGGTCCATCAATTTCTATTAATCCTCATTAATAATAATATGAACCATTTAAATTGCAAATGGATGATCAACTTTTGACAAAAGAACTCAAGACTTTATATCAAAATTGTATCAATTAATATAAATGTGAAATTTAACAATGACATAAATGTATATATAAATTTTTAATTATTAAAATTATCTTATAATAATTATTAAATATTCTTCATTTTAAATAAAAAGATTATAAAATTTTTCAAAATTATATCTAAATAAATTATCTTTGATTCAAATAATAAGCACATTTAATTGCTATAAAATTTAATCAAAAGATTAAATTCTAGTTTATTAAATTATGATTAATTCATATTATTTTAAAAATTATTAATTCTAATTAAAACAAATCTGTTTTGAAGAATAAGTGTGTTAATACAAGGATTATATAGCCATTTCAATCATTAATTTAAATGTTTATATTAATAAAAAAGATGAGATTATTGTTTAAAACCAATAAAATATTCTGGATTATTTCTTTGAAATATTTTGCAATGATCATTATAATTTAAATATTGGAATGATCGTTTGATAAAACAATAAAAAATAATAAGATTATAATATTATTCTCAGTTAATGTATAATTAATGAATAATTTCAAGATAAAAATGATAGTAATCTATTAGATTGTGTATTCATGTCTGAGTTATCATAATTTATATGTTTGATGCGTAATGATTAATTTTATTAAATCAAATAATTTCAGATAATCATAGAAGAGATGGGAAATTGTTGTAATGGTGGAGGATAAGTTACGGATAAAATTGTATAGTTAGATTTAGGTTTAAATGTATAAGAAAAGCAACAGAATTAAGAAAACCTAAATTAAAAAGCAACATTAATATAAGGTATTTGTAAAATGCCAAAAAAGCTCATTATAGAGGTCATAAGGATAGAAAGAAGATGAAAGAAATATAGGAAGAAAAGAAAGATGGAAATAAAGAATCCTAACATGGATCAAGTAAAGCATAGAACTAGAATAATAATAAAAATGTTTAGAGTAAAAAGACTACACAAGAACCTAAAGAAGAAAGTTATAAAAATTAGGGTGATTAGAGTAGAGTACATGCACCAACTGAGAAATATAAGAAATTAGATAGAATGCCAGATTTTTTAACTCCAAAAACAAAATAAGTATTAGAGAGTATTTAAGTTAGGTTTTGGATAAAATTGAACCCTTTGTATATGATTAAGATAAGGATGAATTTAAAGAATTGCCATTTTTAGAACCATATGAATTGGATGGAGGAAGTGTTTATAAAGGATAATGGAAGAATGGGTAATTTGTTAATTTTAATAATAATAAATAGATTTCGACATGGAAGAGGAACTTAAATATGGCAAGATGGATCAATATATGAAGGTTATTGGTATTAGAATGTAGCTTGTGGGAAGGGAAGGTTAATTCATGCTGATGGAGATAAATATGAAGGAGAGTGGAAGAATGATAAAGCACATGGATATGTAAGAATATAGAATAATAATATAATAGGGTAAATATGTTCATATGGATGGAGCATAATATGTTGGATATTGGGAAGATGATAAATAGAATGGAAATGGTAGAGAAATATGGCCAGATGGTGCTAGTTATGAAGGTTAATATAAAAATGGTAAAAAACAGGGTAAAGGTACTTTTAAATGGGCAGATGGATCAATTTATATTGGGGAATTTGATTAAAATAATATTTAGGGTTAAGGAGAATATTAATGGGAAGATGGAAGAAAATATGTTGGAGAATGGAAGAATAATAAAATGGATGGAAAAGGAGTAATCATTTATATATATTTTATATAAGGTTTTTACTTGGCTTGATGGTAGAAAATATGAGGGAGAATATAAAGATGATAAAAAACATGGTTATGGAGAGTTTAAATGGCCTGATGGAAGAGTAATATTTAATTTATTAATTTATTTAGATGTATAAAGGTTAATGGGCTAATGGAAAATAACATGGTATTGGAATTTATATTGGTTCTTCTAAAGTTGAAAAGGAAGGAGAATGGTAAGATGGAAAAAGAATTCGTTGGACTAAAAAAGGGGGATTACCAACTAAAGAAGAAGGAAATTGAAATTCACTAAGTTTATAATCTATTTTTATTGTTCTATCAACTTATATAAATTACAAATTTACAAATGCATGATTTATAATTCATTATTACATTTAGAAAAAGAAATTAACTTAAAATATGATTGTAATTATTAAATTTAATCAAATACTTTTACCCCGTTTAATTAACTTCTATTCAATTTCATTATCAAATCTCTTATGCGTAAATTATTTAATAATACATTATGAAAATTCATGAAAAAGATGAACTACTGTTGTGTAAATTTTAAACTGATACTCTACAGTAAGAAAAGCTGAATCAATAAATTCAAGTAAAATCTCTATTTAATCATAGTAAAATTACGTTTTTTAAACCAATTCAAGGATTGAAAAATAAACATTAATCCCCTCAATTTAAGCATCTAAATGTGGCTAAAATAATAAATGTATGAAACTATTCATATACTTTAAGAATGTTTATAAGAATAAAAGAGTACTCCTTCAGAAAATAATCGGAAGTTCTAAGAACAATCTTAATTGAATTAAAATGATCTTTCATCAAAATGTCATTTATTGAAAAATAATACAGACTCATTAAAATCAACATAAATGTCTATAAATTACCAATTAATAGATGACAATTTAACCTGCACATCTTAAACTTCATCAGTGTATACATTTATAATAATATTCAGTAGTAAATCAATAGGAAAACAAAAAATATCAATTCAAACAAAGAAAAGAATTAAGAAACAAAAGAGCAGTATTCTTGGACTTACTAATTAACCAGTCAGTAGAAAAAAGATTAATATAAATCGTAAAATTTCGAGAAAAGAAGAAAAATCAATACCAAACATTTTACCTTTTTAAAATGAGAAAGATTAAATTGTTTCAGTTCCAATAATAGAAACTCATATTCATTAAGATGTTCTATTGAGTGAAAAAAGTAAATAATAGTTTTATTCTATATTTTAGCATTCTCATTATAAAATTAATATTATATGCACAATTTATTTGGTTTTATAATGGGATCCCTGAAAAATAGTTTTATGGCCTAAATGTACATAAGCCACTTTTCTCAATTATATGATAATCTATAAAAATCAAAATTAATTGAATGCCCATTAGAGTATAAACTGTCCAATAAAATTTAACCTTTAAAAAGTATAAAATTTAATTATATAAAGAACCATAAAAGACCCTAATAATAGATTTAGATGAGACATTAGTTCATTGTAATGAATATAGCTGTTTAAAGAGCGACTTTTTCATTCCTATGAGTTTTAATGAGCAAATCTATTAGGTAAGTTATAATTTTTATTATAGGTTGGAATAAGTATAAGGCCTTATGCTTAATAATTCTTAAAAAGTATGGCTCAAGAATATGAAATAATGATATTTACTGCTTCCAATCCAGATTATGCGAATAAAATTATTGATTATTTAGATCCATAACGAAATTTAGTATCTTATAGATTATTTCGTGATGATTGTATTCAAATATCAAATAATTGTCACATAAAAGACTTAAGGATATTGAATAGGGATATGAAAGACATAGTTTTAATAGATAATTCTGCTTACTCATTTGCATTTTAAGTAGAAAATGGGATACCAATTATACCATATTTAGATGATAAAAATGATAAAGTATTAAAAACCCTAATAAATTTATAGGAACTACTACATTTGTAACATTATCTCAAACATGTACTTCAATTTGATGATGTTCGTAGTTAAAACAATAAGATTTTTAACTTGAAAATAGTGCAAAATTGTGTTTCAATTACCGAGGCTATAAAGAAATTAGTAGCCTCGATCTCAAAATGACCAATTTTGTGATTAATAGCTATGATTATTAATTATAATTATGTATTATAAATTAAAGGAAGGATAATTTCTCAACATTATAAAATGAATAAAATTAGATATTTAAGTAATAATCTTTCTAACTATCTGATTATTATAAGAATCAGGTAGTAATAATGAAGAAATGTATTCATCCTAATTTATAATAACGGACATCATAAAAAAATACTTATAAAGGAAAATCGTAAGCAATAAAAATAAATAAAAAATATATATACTCAATATAAATAACTAAAAAAGGAAAATATTTATATATGAGGGTATTTTAATATCATAAGTATCTTTTAGAAACCAAATAGCAAATTAAATTAAAATAACAACTGAAATCATTAGGATCATTTCCAATATAAACTATAAAGAACTATCGATATAAACTTAATTAAAATAAATATGAATCAAATAATTTAGGAATATAAATTCTAAAAAAAAGTATATTAAGATTAACAATAAATAAGCTACTATAATATTTTCTAACTAAAATACTGCTGCTCAAAAAATAGGTATTTTTATAAATAATTAATTAGTTTAAAGAAAGAAGAAATCAAATGAGTGTTGCATTAAATTATGAAAAATTAATAAAGTAATCATTTTTAGGATAATCTCAAAAAAGAAAGATGATTATAAGAAAAAATGATTTTCGAACAAAATAATAATGAGACATTCTGTCTTATTTATTTATTTCTATTAAAAAAGGAAATTTAATATAATGAGCAGATTTTTAGATGGAAGTTTGATTTATTTCAATTATGTTAATGAACATATAAATAAAATTATAATATATAACATTATTTTATATATTAAACAGATTTTTAAATAATGATATAATAGTAAAGATAGGTACTGAATGATAATGATTTGCATACACTTATATACAAAGGATAAATTGGTATCAATCAATTACTCATTTCTAGATTGTCAGGTATGCATTTATTGGATGCACTCTCTGTTGCCAATTTTCATAGTCCTGATGCTTAGATTAAAGAACATTTGTTTAAAACAGCAAAATAAAACTATAAATCTGATTAAGAATTCCCAAAATTAATTTAAAGATATGAATTAACACATGCAATAATAGAAAGTGAATCTCTTAATGCAAAAGTAAATTTTAATCACAAATTAATTTTTAGTAATATATTTCCCTATATGCAACCATAATGAAAACTAAGATTAAGGAATTCTTTACAAATTAGAAATATCAATTATTTTGTAATGTTTATGTTCCTCCAAAATATACAAGAACATTAACGATATTTTGTTATAGTCAAATTTTAACAGGATATTTAGCTTTAGTTACGACTGATTAAATGAATACATTAATTGCTATGGAAGAAATGATGGCTTAGATAGATTAATAATAATAAGAGAATTTCTATTCATTTGATTAGATTTTTGAAGATGTAAATTTAAGTTTAAAATTTAGAATATAGTATCTTAAATAAATATTACACCTGAAAAGGATTAGTAAAAATTGGTTAGAAGACATAAAAAGTCATTATCAGAACATTAAATTTTTGATTTTTAAAGAGAATAAAAGGAATAATAAATAATTAATTAAATTTAATCTCTTCCTTAGGATAAAGCATGTAAGAATATAAAATCATATTAGTGTTTTTTTCTCAAACAAAGTAATAAACTTTTATCTAAGATGATTATTAGTTTCCCTCTTTAGATTAAATAAATTCATTGAAAAGCTTTCCTATTTAAGATGATAAGAAAAAACTAGAATAATAATAATATCCATAATAATAATTATATATTTAATAGAGATTTGAGGAAGGAATACCAAATATTGATGATTTAGAATTCTTTCCACCTTTGGATTTAGTATCAACTTCTAGTTGTTCTTTGATGAGTAATAAATTATAGATGACAGATTAAAAAAAGTTATAAAATAATCCAATTTATACTGGAAGATTGAAGTTTTTTGATGAATAAAAGAATTATGGTTTTATTGTTATGGATGAAGATAAATCTGATATATTTGTTCATTTAGATGATTTATAAAAGGCTGGAGTAACAAAAGAGATTTTAAAAACTTCAAAATAAGGTTCATTATTAAGGTATTATATAATGTAATTTAGGTTTTAATTTAATTGTATGGTATATGTTGGGAAATACAAAAAATCAAGAAAAGCTGTTGAATTGAAATTACTAGCAAATTAATAGGTTAATAACTTTAAGGGAATTGCCTGATTGAATAATAAAATTATTAATTTTTAGAATAAATATATATCGTAATTCATCAATCTTATATATATATATATATATAAATATTATCTGAATTGTAGATAAATGAAAAATGAGATGGTAATAATAATGTTAGAAAATAATAAATATATATAAATATTTTAAGATGATTTTAAAAAACATAATGCTAAATTAAAGATAGATAAATTGTTCCTAAAAATACATAATATATCTTATTATAATACTGTAATGATCTCATTTAGCATTCTTCTTGGCTTCTTATTATTTTTTGAGCTAATTAGCATCAACAAAGACAATAGTCTTACATCTCTTAATAACTTTCAACCACTTTAATTTACACTTGACGCATTCAAGCCTATTTTCAATATATATATACTTTAAAGCAACTTTTTTGGTTGTCTTTGCCTTCTTTCTGAAAATAGGTTTTGTTTATCCACCATAACCAGCTTGTTTCATGTCGTACCTTCTTCTACCTTAAGCAAATGGACTTTCTTTGCTCTTTTTATATTGAGACACTTTGCAACTTTAATGATTTCCACATTTTCTGCAGTATGTTTTTCTGTTTTTAGGTACGTTCACCATTTAATATTTTTTAAATAAAATTTAATCATTTTTTAAATTACTTTAGAATAATAAAGTTAATGCTAAACTAATATCCTATTAGTGTGTGACTCATACAGTAATATTTCTATAATACTATGTAAAAATATTGTTAAGTTTATTCAATTAATATCCTTCAATAAATTGTGTATTTCTTCAGCTGAATAATCTGGATGTTATGGTTTTATAAATGTCTATGAATTGGACCTTTTTAAATGTTGGGTTAGCTCCTTTTATTTCATATCATCTGCTGATTTATTACTAAAAATCTAAAACATTATAAAAACACTCGTTCTTCATAAATTATTGATCCAATTATAGTTGAAACCAAAGGTTATTGTAATTATTCTTTTTCTATTATTGAATCTGTCAATATTATTATACCCGGTTCTTACTAATGCTTTTACATTTTTTTAGAGTTTTGCTGTCTACTTTTTATATTTCTATCCTCAGATTTTACCATCAAGTAAAATGCAAAACAAATAAATAACACCAAAAATATTCCAATCTATTCTGATTTGGATAAAAATATTTCGAAGTAATTATGAAAAGAAGAAAGCTGATCAATTAAAGTACTCTTAGCTGCTGCCCAATTTGTAATTTCTGAATTCAAATGATTTTTTAATCCATCTTATTGAGCATCAGTTTAATAAAGAGCTAAATCTACATCACTTAATTTAATTTCCTAAGCATTTATCGGTTGAGTGTATTTTGTATGAAGTTAAATCTGTTTTTTTGGAATAGCAATTACAGTTGAACATATGAGTAAAATGCAAACAACTAATTTCATATAAAACGGAATATCAATAAATTTATTATATAAATATCAATCCTCCCTTAATATTCTATGTACTAGACAAAATTATTATAATCAAGTTATTTATATCTATCATTAATATGTACTTATCATTATTAAAAAGACATTCATTTAATTAATACATTTTTTATTGATCTTTGATTATTATGATAATAATGGAAGATAATTAAAAAATTAATAATTGAACTATTGTTTATCTTTTTTATATAAAAATTAAGAAACCTTAGTGATATTAATTCAGAAAAGCCAAAATAAACATAAGATTAATATAGAAATATGAATTGGATCTTAGATTAAATAAGACATTTGATATTTTGGATCCTTAAATACTAAGATTATAACACTTATTATGATAAAAAATAATAGAAAGATTTCTAAGAATAAAAATAATTATAATCAAATATTATTTATTTCTGAATCTACTATTAATTTTTTGGATCAAATTAAGTTGCCATTAAATGCATTTTTAATTCTATGATATTGAATAATTTATCTTTAATTATAAATTACTATTTTTTTTAATATTCAATCAAACTAATAAAATTGTTTATGAATTAGATTTTATTTAACAAAAATGAAGATTCAAAAATTATTTAATCATTATTATGTGTTAATATAAAATACTTTGTAATACTCAATCAAATGTAATCTTTTTTATATTAAAGCAATTAATCTGTCATTCTCAAATGAAGCATATACAATTCATAAAATCTTGCTAAGCTTTCTATAATAACAGTCTTAAATTCATTTCCGCTTAACTCATTTTTCTTCTCATAATAATATTCAGAGAATGACTTTTCTTCAAACTCTTTTATTTAACAAGAAAAAGCAAGAAGATCATTCAGAATTTCTTTTGGAGAACCTTAATTTATATTTTTCGATTAATACCTTTAAGCTGACAAATTATTTCTTCTTTAAATGCTTTAACTGAGAAATCTACTAAGATTACTAACTCATGTTCTTGACTATTCTACTGGTTGAATAAGTTTATCATTTACACTATTGGTTTGCAATCAAAATATTAATAAAAGTCCCATGGATCTATATGAATCTTTAACTATTGCTTTTATAAATATTCTGATTATTTTTCATTATGTTATGAAAGAATCTCATATAATTCCTAAGCTAAATGATAATACAAAGAACTTTGGATTTATAAACTGAATGGACTAGGTTTTGCTATAGTTTTAGAAGGTGTATGAGATTACAACGATTCTAACTAAAGGTTGAATTACATTTATATAATACTTCTTTCTCCAATTCATCATTTAATAAATCATCTTTGGAATCTCTTTACAAAACAGCAACAGTAAGATTGCTATGTCCTGGTCTATAACCACATGAATCAGAAAGCTCTTTTAAAAGGTTTGATAAGTAGACAGTTTTTGTAGTTTTCTCATAAACATAAGATTGTATTGTTTCTTATAGTTTTTAATGAGCAACAAAATGATCATAAATTTAATCCATTACTAACAAAGTTTTATTTGTTTTTGCTACTTATTTGGCAAATTGCAATGCATATTTTGGTAAAAAATAATTTGAGCCTTAATTTTCTGCATATTTAAACCATGTTGCTTATTGGATTGGAGATCTTCCATAATATATTATGTGATCAAATGTATTCAACTTATTTAAAAGCTCTTTATCTTTAATGATGAGCATTTATCCATAAGTTATTGGATGGAAGAGATCAATGTATACATTATGTGTTAAAATTTAATTCTATGGAAGGGCTCTTTTTGGCAATTTTTTGGTATCTGTTTCATTTTCATTTGATTCCTTTATGTCTGCTATTGTACAAATACCATTTTAGGGAAAAGCTCTTAAAGAATTTACTTGTGAAATAGGCTCTAATACTTCAGATTGTTATAACAATAATGCTAATTGATTTTTCTCAAAAATAGACATGACTACTCCCAATTAATTTCCAAACTTTAATGTCTCACCTAATTTAATTGGATTATCATGAGCAAATAGAATCATATCATCTGATTTCTTAAGAATTAATGAGGACATTCTGCTAATTATTTTCATCATTAAAATTAATAATTAATTATTTACTAATAACAATAAACTAATTCTATTCATAATTATAAATAAATTAAGGAATAGCATTTCTATGTACAATTTATCTTATTTATTTAATAAAAGAATCAGCTTTTTATAAATTTAACCCTTACATAAGCCAAATGAGTATTTCACTTCAAGAAAATAAATTTTTTAATAATATAATATCAGATATTAAAATTATTTCATTTTTTTTTGTCGAATCTTGTTTTTCTCTAAAACCCTAAAGTTACAAACTTGATTGATTAATGCAACGGTTTTTGAAACAATCAAGAATTACAAAATTAAAAACCATTATAAAATACTAGTTAATTTATAAATTATAATAAAACAAAAAAGGAATTTCTTAAAATTTTGAAATTTTTTATTTATAAACAAAAACATATAATTGGACTGAAGAGTAAAATTTTTAAAACTATTCTTTATTATATATTTTTTGATATTTTGAAATCTAAATATTTATCAATTTTTTTTGAATTTCTATAAAGTAAAACAAGAAGCATTCTTAATCAAATGAAAGGAATTATTAATTAAAAAATTTAAAAAATAATTAATTAATGACAATATTAGTTTTACTTTGGGTACCCTACATAGTCTTTTGTTAATTTAAGAATAATTTAAAATGTTACTATGAATATGATGACAAATAATTAGAATTAGACACTTCAAAACCATAAATAAAGATGATTGAAATTTAGGCTTTAGCAACCGATGGTCATACAAATGGCTTTGGATTTTGGTCAAAATATATTGCTTACATAGATATAAATATAGAAAATACTTTTTATAAACCTTTTGATGATCCAATTTGTTAAACAGAAGTATGTAAATTTAATGGATTCTATTTTCTAAAATTACTTGATGAAAATTAATTGAATTTTGCTGCAATAATTTTAAATATGAATGATAATCCAATAAGTTTAACACATGAAATTTATTTATTTGATCAAAATTCAGAGATCATTAATCATGCTTCAATAAATTTTGAAGCAAGTTAATATGAAGCAATTTGGTATTATACATCAATTCTTTATTCATCAAATGATCAGAATCTTAGATTTTTTACTAATTACAATAATTAATTGGTTACATTCTAATATTAGATTATGACAGAAAAAATTACAATAATTTTAGGTGGGTATAAGAATGATCTTTCATAAAATTTTGTTAATGATTAGGGCCCTTTACTATATTTTAAAGGACATTTTTCTCCAATTTAAGAATATGTTAGTTTTTTATATAATGAATAAGCATTTAATATTTTTTTTTCTTAATGCCCTTTTTAGATTTAAAAAACAATTTAAGATAAAAGTGATATATTAAGATAATTTGATAGTTCAAGCTTTGAAAATGATTTGGAGCTTTCATTTTTTTTATTCCCAACAAAAAACTCAAGATATACAATCTAATGCTGGATTAAATAAAATTATATTAAAGTATAAAATAATATATTTGGTAGGCTTTTGAGTATTATTTGAAAAATTAAGAAGTAGCATATTATTAATTAGAGCAATCAGCTTTTTCATTGACATAACCATACATGATAGATTTAGGAATAAAAGGAGAGCAACTTTTGGACTTTTATTATTCAGTATTTAATAATTAAAAGATAGATTGACTTTTAAAATAATAATTAAACTGTTATACATTTTAAAGCTGAATTCATTAAAATTCCTTTAGCTATTCCGTAATACTAGGATGAAGAATAAAATCAATATAATACTTTAGCAATTACAAAAGATTACTTATATGATAAAACTTAGCAATGGCATTTTGTAGTAATTGATTAAGGAAGAAACGCAGTTAATGGAGCAAAAATGTAAATTCGTTTTTATTTTGTTAATGAATAACCATTAATTTATTATTTAGGAACATAAAATTAAAACTCTTAATTTTCAGGATCTGTAATTTAATGTACCTTGTTATTTAGAGAAATGATCAGCATGCCAAAAAGCAAAACTTTATTTGGCAGCTTTGTTATAATTACTGGACAATAAGAAGATAATAATGATGGATATTGTATTTAAACTATAAATTAATTATAGAATGTGATTCAAGTTGTAAGGATTGTAATGGTCCAACAAGATATCATTGTATTTCTTGTTAAACAGAATTAAATTATTTTTTAACCTAATTTAATTCATGTGAATGCTTATATCTGAATGAATACAATGAGAAAACTTAAAAGTGTGACCCTATTGAAATCTCTTAAAACTTTATAATTACAAAGGAAGACTTAATTGAATAAAATTGTTAATTTGGATATTTTTTAGTTTTATTTAAGAATTAATACTTTTGCATTTAATGGTATTTAATATTATCAATAATTTTAAGTCCTTAATATCATGAAACTGGTATATTTTGTGGAAACTGTTTTCATGAATCATTTACTTGGTATATAAAGCCTATTTGTACTTTTGATTATTTATAGGAATAAAGTACATATGCTTACATTAAATACTAAAGATCAAGTATTGATGTAGATATTTATTATATTGATAATGAAATGGAACTTTAATTACTAGAAGGAGCATCTGAATTTTGTGAACCTACTTAACTTGGATGTTAATTTAGCATGAAATTTCATTTAGGAACATAAATAAGAATGAAATGTAAAACCAATAGATATTATGATTCCTATTAATGTTAAACATGTGTTCGATTATGCATCATTTGTTAATCTAAAGATATTTGTTTAAATTGCATAGAAAATCATTATTTTAATTATTAGTCTAAAATTTGTTAACCATGTCCAAAAGAATGTAAAACATGCTAGAATGCTCCTGAAAATGATTTTGGATATAAATGTTTGACATGTCAAGAGTAATTTTGTTAAATAATATAGATAATACACTTTAAATCATTAAGGATAATGCAAACAATGTGGAATCTATTGTTAATATTGTTAAGAAGACTTAAATATTAAAACATAAGAGTATTTTATAAGATGTTTAAAATGTATCGATACTAAGATCATGTCAATTAGATTTAATGGAATTGATTGTAAAATTGTTATTATTCCTAATTGTTAATATGGGTTTTTAGTGTCTAAAAGTGATTATTTTGGATACAATGCTTTTGATTATAACTTTTAACCTTCTAATGATTTATCAGATGAAAAATCAATATGTGCTTTATGTTAAGATAAATTATCATATTAATTTGACATAGATATATGCATTGATCATTAAGAATACATGAGTTGCTATATCGGACTTATTAGTAATTTTATTTTAGAAGGAGTTGATTATGGAGTCTTACCAACTTGCTTGATTTCAAATTAACACTAAGCAATTACAGTTATAGGAGATCTATGCACAAATTCATAAACAAATTGCTATTGGTGTTACACTAAAAAAATTAAGAGCAATGCTTATTGCCTTTAATGCCTCTAAGGATATTATTCCTCTAGATTAACTGGATAATGTTAATTATGTCCTGAAAACCTACATTGTAAAACCTGTTATCATTCTACAATTGGATATAATGATGAATGGAAAAAAAACATAGTCTTGTTTATCAATTTTCTCAGAATTTAAACTAATGTTTCATATTTTGTAAAAATAAATATCTATATATATTTTATAGTTTTGGAATCAAGATTAAAGTCAAAATTTAGATGACTATGAAATCATTTGTACTTCATGCTATTTTGGGTATGTTTTAAAGAATAATAAATGCATTAAATATTGTGATTAAAGTTGTTAAAGCTGTGTTTTTATAGATGACTAATATATATGTTAATTTTGTAGTCAAAATATTTATCATAATTTATTAAGTTTAGTTGATAATTAATGTTCAATATGTCCTAGCTATTGTTTACTTTGTAGATAAAGAACAGAAAATGAAATTAAAATCTTGAATTCATTATTTGTTTAAAATTAGAAAAATAGAATTTATACCTATTAATGTCTTAAACCTTTTCAAAATCAGGAAACTTTATCTTATGATACTATTTTTGGATAATTTATACCATGTTAAAATTCTTAGATTTGCTAAAATGTAGTGAATTATGAATTGAATTTATACTGTTCAGAATAAGATTACTAAACCTAGTTCTAATTGATTGAAGATCCAGATCTAAAAAATAGTTTTAAAAAGAAAAATGTATTGTTTTCAGAATTACTCTAATAAAATCAACAAGGAAACAGCTTTTCCATAGTAAAATTATTAAATATATGTTTAGTTTGAAGATGATGCTATCTATGATATTATGAACAGGAAGAATATTAAAAAAATCCAATTGATTCTTAAATCAAACATTGATTAAGTTTGTTCAATTCCATAATTAAGTTACATAACTTAATCCTTCTCTAAAAATGTATTTTCAGCAATGTAAACTCTTAAATTATATATAGTGATATTCAATTAATAATGAAGTCTGTTATTGAAACAGAATTGAAAGTTATAATTTATGAAGAACTACAATTTATCGATTTTACATTGTTACGTTTTGAAAATGTAGAATTTATAATATAATCAAATATTTATCATAAGAAAGTTAATGCATAGAGTTTTAAAGAAATAGAGATGCAATTATAGAAAGTTGTAGTCTCTACAACTTCATTAGAAGTATCTACTTTTATTAGTTTTTAATTTTTCCAATTAAATAAAATTAGTTTTAACTAGGTCATTATAAAAAATTTAAATATGAATAATAACAGATAAAAAAGCTTTTTTTAATTTGAATTCTAATCAAAATAGAAAATTTCTATCCAAATAGAAGATTTTTCAATATTAAATAGCATTATTGAAAATACAAATATCTTAGAATTCAAGTCCATCTATATTTAATCAGTAAGTTTTAATTAAATCAAAATTAATTCTAATTTTAGAAATACTTCTTTAATTAGTTTGATCAATGATAATGTGCTAGAATAAATAAAAGTCACGAATTTTACTCAATAAGGGAAATTGTAAGACTCAGAACCTTTTTTTTTATTAGATTATGCTTTATAAACGATAATTGAAAAAATAGATTTAAAAAATTTAGATATTATTGATTCAACATTCTTACAACTTGAAAGATCTGGTTAGATTAATTATTTTTCTATATATAATTGTTTTTCACATGGATAAGCCTCTTTCATAAATAACAATCGAGAAAATTAATTAGCAAAATAAATCTCCTTGACATATAAAATCAATAATTTAGATGTTAAGAATCTCATATCAAGTTCTAACTCTTAAGTATTATATTTCTAGGCCTTTAATTCCATAACATCTGAAATTATAATTAAAAATATAGCTTTTGAATAGATTATTATTAATGAAGAAGAGACAATTTTAAATTAATAATTAACATACTTAATTTATATTTAATTATAAAATGCCATAATATAATCTTGTAACATTATTAGAGGTTTAGGCATATCAGAATTCATATTTGTAAATTTGTAATCGCTCTAAATTACAGATTTGTAGGCTACATAGCCTCAAATTCTTTTATTACATTAGTACTATGATTGCTCAAACATATTTTAATCAAACACTAAATATCCAAATTTAATTAAGCTTTTTGATGTTAAAAATGTCAAATTTGAGGATTTTAAAATTACTAGATTAAATTTTGTTAATTCAGCTTTAATTTCTTATACAAAATAATAGAAAACTTCGTCCTCAAATAGAGATAATTTTGAAATAAAAGATTTTCTTATAAAAAATAATATTATAATCACTTCATAAAAAGATGCTAGTGCTTCTCTAATATCTATTATATCTAATTAAATGATTTATGTAGAATTTAAATATGTGGAATTTAATAATAATTGGTTGCATAATTATTAACAAAATCTTTTAAAAGCTTCAGCTGTTGCCTTATTAATTAATAGCCCCTCTGGAATAATTAAAATAAAATAAAGCAAAGTTTATAATAATTTTGCCACTAATACAACAGAGAGTGTGATAAACATAATTTCTGAATAGATAATATTTGATAATATTTAATTTATAAATAATTCAAACTAGAATGTTTAACGCCTACTTTTGAATATTGATTGGCAATTTCCCTAAAATATGGAAATAAATGAAAATAATTTAAAATCTATATTCTAATACAAAAATGCATATGGAAACTCTTATCTTGAAGCAGATCTTGTTGTTATTTAAAATAGCTAGATATAAAACTCATAAGGACTTAATGGTGTTGGACTTTATATAAATGCATAAATAGTGAAATTAATTAATTTACAATTCCTAAATTTAACCACCTTTTTTAAATATAATGAAGAAAATGGAGGATGTATTTTTATTAAAATTCCTATAAGTGGATGCAAAATAGAAATCCAAAATATTATTGCTTAAAATATTATTACTAAAGATTATGGTAGCTTTTTGTTTATTTAGTCTAATCATGATAAATTAAACTTGACAATTAATAATTTGACTTTAACAGAATGTATCTCTAAAAAAGGGTCAGCGTTCTATGCAGCCTTTTAGAAAAATTCATTGTAAAACTTAATTAGACTTAAAAATATAATAATAAAAAATCAGTAAGTTGCACTTTTAAATTATTTGAAATAAATTTTAAATAATTAAATAGTATTATTAGATTTAAATAATCGAGTATTGATTTATGTTGAAAATGCAGTGCTCTTCTTAGAAGACATATTAATTGAAAAAATATTTAGAGAATCATTTTTAGAAAGTTTAGATTAGGGTAATATTACAATAAATCAAATTACTATTACTGATGGAACTCCTACAAGAAAGAATACTATTTTAATTTAACCCAGAGAAGGTAAATTTTTAATTTTTCAAATTAGATTTATCGACGACTATTTTAATCATGGGAGTTTAATTTAAAAATTTTAAATAATATGAAGATGAAATATAAGAAATATGTGAAATTTAATAGATTACTTATAAAATTAATAATATGTAATGCAGTTCAAAAGCTAATTCAAATGTAAAATAATTAATATTGGATGATTAAAAAGATTAAGAAGAGTAGATTAAATGTTTATATTAAAAAATACAATTTACAAATATTACTAACTAATAATCTGTGATTGCTATAACTTCAATAAAAAGTAATGATTTGATTGTAATGATTGGCATTCACCTCTACAATAATGATTATTCAAAATCAGTCTGTGGACTCATTTATCTTTAAATAAATAAAAAACCTTTTGTAACTTTCTCAATAGTAATTTAAGATCTAATGATTAATAATAACTTTTGTGGGAAAGCAGGATGTCTCTATATAAATTCTGATGTATTTGATTAAACATCAACACTTTAAACATAAAATAGGCTGCTCACATCAAATCCTGAATAGAATTTGTAAATATTAAATCATGACTTAACTATTTAAAATTATTAATGTTTTGAAAATGTTGCAGATTTTGGAACTTGCTTATTTTCTAATCAAACTAATTTAATCATATTAAATTCAATATTTTTTAATAATCAAGCTATAGTTATTGGTGGAGCTATGTACTTTTGTGGAAATTAATCGTTTTAATTTATAGTAAATTGTAATGTTTTTAATAACAGTGCATATATAGCTGGAGCTATTTATTTTTAAGATAGTCTTAGATAAGATATAAAAAAATTTAATTCTTTAGTAATTGATAATCAAGCGTCATATTTTGGGTAAAATATTGTCTAAACCCCAACTCATTTATCAATTACTTTAAACAATTATCGATATATCTACGATACATTTATAGTTGAAAAAACTATTTATAATCTGGTAGAATCTATTAATAACACAGAGGTTTATTAGTAGAATGTGATATTTTTACCAAGTGGAACTCCAATTAAGCAATACAAGAAATTTAATAAAAATACAGAATTGTTAGAATCTTAAAATTTAACTTTTAGGATAGTAGCTTTAGATGATTAAAATTTCAAATTAAATAATTTGACTAATTCAAAGTGCTTCCTTGAAGCTTTCATATTTGATATCGAAAAAAATAAAGTTTAGGAAAATTAAGATTAAAAATTATTGAGTTAAAAAACTGTTTCTTTTGATTCAAACACTAATGATTATAATTTAGATGATTTGATAATCTATTTTGATAGTGAAAATACGAATAAAACATATTTATAATTAGTAATAACATGTACAAGTATTTAAATACCTCAATATGATGAAAATAATGTAATAATTTAGTCTTTTCATAACAATTATAAATTATTTGTAAATATAAATACTTTTAAATGTCGAGTGGGAGAAATAAAATCACTTTAAGACTATTCTTGCCATGAATGTGATCCTACCTTAGATTAATATTCAAATCAACTTAATTTAAATAAATGTTACATAAGAGATGAATAATCTACAATAAATGTTACATCTTTTGGATTAAATTTACGTTTAGTAATAAAAAAATATAATTTAATTAGGGATTTTGGAGACCTTATTTTGATAACAATTTTATAGAAGAATGTTAAAATTTGAAAGAGAATTGTTTAGGAGAATGGAATTATGGAGATAGCTCTTGTTATATGGGTCATATAGGGGCTCTGTGTGAGCAATGTGATATTAAAAATATCAGAGGAAATGGATACTTCTCATAATCTTAATAGTATTCCTGTGGATCATGTGAGAATATTAATTATAATGCAGCATAAATTATGGGATTCAGTATTTGGTAATTTATTATTAATATTAAGGTCTCTCATTACTATTATTTTAAGTGTTAAAGGAGCTAACTCTGCTTAAAACTAATAATTTTAATTCTCCAATATAATAAAATCTGCTTATTCAATTGAATCACCTTACTTAATAAAGATTTTAACTAATTATTTACAAATCATCAGTTCATTGACCACTTTCAAGTTAAGTTTGCCAGTTAATTTTTTTAATTTTTTAAATGGTGTAGGAAATCCAATTCAACACATATCTTATTCTATGGATTGCTTTTTAAGTAAAATATATAGATATTAAATAGTTGAGATGTCAGATTTAGATATTCATTATATAAGATTGATCTGGCAATTATTGCTGCCTTGTGTTTATTTTACCATTCTTTCTATCATTTATTCAATGTTAATCTATACTGAATATGTCAAGTATAAAGGGCCAATCGTAATGACAGCTCTCATCTATATGTATATTTATTTTTAGCCAAGCATTATTGGATCATTTATAGCTCTTATTTCAACTAGAAGAATATCTGATATTCCTTGGATACAAGCTAATGTTGCATTTAGATTTGATACATCGATACATTTAAAATGGGTTCTCTATTTTTGTATACCTTTTTTATTTCTTTTTGGTATTTTAATACCACTCGGAATGTTATTGAGCTTATTTTAAATAAGAAACAAACTTATTTATAAAAGAGGTAAAAGTTTACTTGGCTATTTATACTATGAGTATAAGCCTAAAGCATATTTTTGGGAAATAGTTAAAATCATCACTAAAGAATTACTAATATTAGCTTTAATTTATTATGAAGACTCTATCATTATAAAAGGATCTTTAATCTATTTTATTCTTTTAAGTTATTGGTCTTTGAATCTAAAATATTAACCATTTATATCAGCAAGATTAAATTAGCTAGATTATTAGACCACTATTATTTGTGAGGTTTCTATTATTATTGGAATTGCATTGAATATGGGATATGAAGAACAATTTTTTAATCTTTCAATTTTATTCTTTTTTACACTACTAATAATTAATATATTTATTTTGACTAAACTACTAATTTATATTTTTAATGCTTATATGAATGAAATGGAAAAAACAGTTGATTTAATTAAATCTAAAATTCATTAAAGTTTGCCACTAAGACTTAAAATGAATCATTTTTGCTTAAGAATATTAAGACCAAGAATTGAAAGCAGGTAAAGAGCAAAGCAAAATTTTTAGAAATTAAAATTAGCTTTTAAAAAATTTTAAGCAAAAAAAAAATAATCTGTTAATGTTTTTTTATATAATTCATTAAATTCTTAACAAACTTCTTAAAGAATTAAGTATAAGCAGTATAATAATATTTAGCACTTTTACAAATAGAGAAATTAAATAAAGTTAATTCCATTTATTATCCTAAGTAAAATCTCAGAGTCCAAGAGATTGAAATAAATATGCGTTAGATTCTAAATGATATAAAAAATATGTTTTCACAAAATATATTTAAATTTATATATTATTAAATCTACCCGTCAAAAAGATTTTATTATAAATAATCATTATTTAAATAAGGATACTAATTCCTTATTCTAAATGGTGATTTTAACTATTTGAAGGAGCACCTATATTATGTACTGTGCATCTTGTGTCTAAGTTACAAAAAGTCAAAATTATTTACATATAAATTTAGCAAATGTGGACATTATTTGGTTGTTAAGAAATTCTTAAAAAACTTAATAATAATTTTCAATTGAAATATAGAAATACAATAAGAGAGATTTTTGAATTCTAACAGAATCTTAAATTTTAAAGTTAGAGGGTAATACAGGATACACAATTCGGATAGTCTTCTTTCAAATTTAGAAAAATTGATATTTAATTGATTATAAATTTATTTCCTTCGAAAAAGGCCTTCAGACAAACTGATGTGCATTTTTGATCATCTGCAATTTGTTATAAAATTTTACTAAAAGCTGTGTTAGTGACTCTTGGCCTAATTAATCTAAATAAAACCCTAGAATGATTAATAGGTTGCCAATTCTAACTTTCTATTTAATCTTCTGGCTAAATAGATTAAATTAAATTTTATAATACGCATACTCAAGATTATTCTATGAGATTTTATCTTTTGATTCCTATATGTTAGAATTTTCCATAATATTTATTTTATTGAAGAATTCAGTCATTTAAAAATCTATGAAGAATTACGAAACTGAAATACCAGTTAGTTGTAAATAATACCTAAAATATTAGGGGATTATTATTAAAATGATTGTAGAGAATTAGAATAAAACTGAAGGATTTGAATTGATTTATAATAGTGATAATAAATTATTATGATTATTTTGGATAATTAGCTATTTAATTTAATCTCAATTCTTGACATGAGTGAAGTGATGAAATGTTTTAACAAACTCATCAGTCTTATGAAATGGTCTAACTTCATTGACAGGTTTCGATTGATAAATTATTCCCTAACTTTATTTCTCAGAATAAAATGTTATTGGTTTTGCTGTTAAATACGATTCTTATGGTAAAATTGATGCTAATTATTAATCAGTTGAGAGTTGTGGTCTATCATAGAGTAATTTTTTAGTGATACTTTTAATAAAATCCCATGTCACTCAACAAATCAACATCTTTTTTATCTGCATCTATTGCAGTTCCATTTTATGTCCTCATAACTCTCCTTCCTATTGTATTATTTTCTATTGGTTTCTAAATTCATATCTATTTACTCTTACTTAAGTGAATTCTTATTTACATGTTGTATCAAAATATCTCTATTATGTTTAACTGAAACTGTCTGCCTCACGAGAATCTAATTCTGTCTAAATTTATTATAAATATTATTATTCTATTAATTAAGCTTTCTTTCCAACTTTAGGTATTAAATCAGCTCTATTTATAGTGCCTCCAACACTTTAATATATTAATTTTTTACTTTTATGAGGCTGGTTTTGGAATATCAGGTTATATTTTACCAAATAACCTAGTTGTTGTATCTAGCTAATTTACTTGTTCTTTATAAAGAGAAATTTCTTCAGGAGGTTTTAACATTAAATCTGTATGCTTTTTTTTTATATGCGAAGGAATAGGAGCTCTTCCAAAACCAGTATCCTCTTTTAATTATGCTTCTTCATGCCAATTTGACATCAATGTTCCAGAAACAAAATTGTTTGCTCCTTTAGCTACACTTCCTGCAGCTTAAGTTTTATTATAACAATCCAATTTTGTTTAATTCATATTCATTATTATATAATAATTATTAATTAAAAAAAATCTTTCTTGAATTAATATTAAGATTTCTTCATTCAATAATTACAATTTAATATTATTTTCCTATCTTTTATAATAAAGTTTAATGGTTAGAGAAAATGTATTTAAGTTAAAAAAATAAATGCAACATAGTCTGAAAATTGATTTAATTTATATTTCAATATTTATTTAAACTATTATTGAGTTTAGAAACTGTTTTCCTTTTTGAATGATATGTTCTATTCAAATTGTTTTTTATTTTGATTCATTATAAATTAGAATTATAAAGTATTTAATCATGAAATAGATGGATTAAAATAATATAAATGTTATATAAATTTAATTATTCCTAATAACAATTAGTTTTCTTGTACATTAAAAATTTTGTTGGTATAATTGCAAATAAATGAATTTTTAAATAAGGTTAAAGGCACCCTTAGTTATCCTTAAGAAATTTACTATAAAGATTACTCCTACTTTAGAGCATACTGGTTTTATCGAAAGCATAAAAATGTACCTCATAGAAAATGATTAAAAATATATTTATAGCAAAATATTTTTCTATATCATACACAATAAAGCTAACAGAAACTATTTTCGATTTGTGGAATATATATTAAATTGACATTGTTGAGATGACCATTAATTTTTTCAAGATTTAAATATGGTATATATTTCGATATAATTCATGATTTAGGTTTTCAAAATAAGTAAAAAAAGTATCACTCATCAGGATTAAGGGCATCAAAAAGTATTCCATTTACAATAACTAAATATTGTGTCTCTTTTTCTAACATAATATTTATATCATACTGTTTGGATCATATTATTAGGCAACTTCCTCTTTAATTTACATAGAGGATTCTTTGAGAACTTTCTTGGATTAATGACAACCCATAATTATATATTATTTTAAAAATATTTCTAAAATGTTTGTTTCTTTAAAAATTATTTATATTGTCTGGATTTTTCAATAAAAATGGCACTTTCTATTTTTCGACAGGAATGATATTCAAACTAACTAATTAGACAAAAAATTTTTCTTAAAAATTTTCAAAAGTTTTTTTTCTAATTTTAGATTTATTCAATCATCAAAAGGATTTTAAAAAAACTTTTATAAATGGTGTCTAAAACTCAAAAATTTTATAAAGCCTTTATAACAATATTATAAAATATCATATTTTTAAGAATTGGGCCAAATTGTCTATATAAATTTAATAATTTAAATGCTTTATATTTTTTTTTCAGTATTTATAGTTTTCCTTTATTTCCTGTATCTAATTTAAATTAAAAAAAGTTGAAAAAAAATTGTTATTTTATGAGTCTACTTAACAATGAATGTTAAAATTTTTTCAATCAATAGATAGAAAAAGATTGACATTTAAAAAAGCAAATAGAGATAGGATTGGGAATTAAAATATATAAATTTAACAAAAAATAAATCAATCTTCTATTTCTTTTTAGGCTATTTTATAAAGTTAAAATAGAATTTTATTATTACCTCTAATTATTTATTATTAGGAAGATTGATTAAGCTTATTATATACATTTTATATTCCATTACTATTACGGCTTTAAATTTCAATTCCTGCTTTTATTGTTTTTTCTAAAAGATCTTTTCTCACTTATAATTTAATAGGAACCAATCCTTCTTTAGATTCATTGATTTCTTTTACTTAATTATTAATGGATTTAATTTGTTTTTAAAATTCTATTTAAAGTCTCAAATTTAGAGTTTAATGCAATGCATAAAGGTGCTTCATATTCTTAAGATGATCATACTCTTTTTTAAAGGTTTTTTAAACTTATTAGTTACTTATGTAATAAATATCATTATTTACATCAAAAGCAACTTCATTAATTAAAATATGTTTTGATATTGAACATGTTAGTCCACTACTATTATTTTTTTTATCTACTGTATCTCTTTATGAGCAAATCTTACAATAATATAATATGTCTAAATTTTATTCACTTAGAATTCTAGTAGGATTTTTCATTTAACTTAAAAATTTATAATTAATTAGAATATTCTAACACATTTTTTTAGCTTCAGTTAAATCAGACTTGTTTTCTAGTTCACAATCATAATGACAAATTTTTTAGCAATCAGTACAAAACAATATTCTTTTTCCTTTAGTGGCTTTTAAATATTTTTTTTCATATTTATTTTCTGATACTATATAGTTTGTAGTTATTAATAGATTTTTATTTGGTAATTAGAATCTATTAATTTATGGTTGAGTGCCTAATTCAATTATTTATTTTTCTATTTATAATAAAGCTTTAAAATAGTTATTTTATTAAATTAGTTCTAAATTTTAAGAATAAAAAATATTATTGATTTTAAATTTAATCTTTAGCAATTCTTTTCTCATAATTTCATAATAAAATTATAAAATTTATCTTTAAGTCACTTGAATTTCATTTTGTTAAATATTAAAGTTATCCTATTCTATATCTTATGAGATCTCGCTTCCTATTTCAATAGATTAACTATTTTTTTTGAAATCTTAATATTCAATATTATGATAATTGATTAATATTTATTCTGACTCATTATCTAAATCAATAGCAGGAAAATATAAGTAATTATTATTAATACCAAACCAAAACTTTAATTCATCATTTGGTATTTAATTTTATTCAAGTTAGCTTTGATATACATTTATTTTATTTTTCAAAATATAAGGAGTAGGGGAATAATTATGTGAATAAATACTAAGAAGAGGATTATTATCTGTACAATAAGTTAGAATTAAGAATATCTTCTAAGAAAAAGTTTGATGGAATAATTCAAAAAATCTTTGAATACTATAAATTTCTTCTTATCCTAATCTATTGATTGAAGCTGAATTGACAAAAAATGCAGCTAAAATTTATTTATTTTACACGTATTCTAATAATACTTAAAAATAATTATTTTAAGAATGTCCAAATAAATCTTTTTCTAAATCTCCCATTCCTATAAAATCAACGAATATCAAATTCTCCTATTATGTCATTTCAATCAAATATTCATCATAAAATAAATTATTTTTTTTTTGAATTTTCTTTTTTACCCTATATAAGCTATCAACATCAACATCATAGTATATATTAATAAGATTAAAAAGAAAGGAAGTTTTACCAGTTTTTTAAGGTCCTAAAATTAAAATATATTTATTTTTCTAGTTTATTAGATCTATTGATTATATCAATGGCATTTTAAATAAAGCAAGCTATTTTATTTCTTAATCATATATTAAATCTTCTATTTCTCTATTATTTGGTCTACGAATATCCTAGTTATATTATCCACTGAGTTCTCGTATTAAAATATATGATTCTCTTAAAGTAAACCCTTTATCAAGCAAATCTCTCTGAGAGAAACGCAAGAATATTTCTAATGATGAAATACCTCCAGCAAATAAATTAACAATCAAGTTAAGCAATTTATCTTATCTATTTTAAAAAAATCTCTTTTCATCAATATTATTAGATACAATATTAATCAACTATTATATCTAATTTTACTTTTCACTTGGTAATTAAGCAAATATAAGGTTAGCATCTTCATTCATACTTAGCTTGAAATAAATAAAATAAAAAATAAACAAAATATAAGATTTCATTATGTTCTACTTTTATCACATTTTTATTAAATTTATGTTGAAGGTTGAAGATTTAAAAAAAAAGGTAAATATTGATAAACTCTATCTTAATTAATTCTTTATTCATTTTGCTAATTTTCCTTTATTATTTATCATAATTTAACAAAAATAGTTTATATAATTAATGCAAAATCCTTTAATAACAAGTACTTTATATTTTACAAAATAATCAAATATGACTAGATACAAAGGATTGTTTGAATTAAATAAAAAAAAAAAGCACCTAAGTCCAGCTGAAAGGAGAATTAAAGAAAAGAAAGAAAAAAATAATAAAACATCTGATTTTGAGGAAACAATTTTAATAACTAATTCTGCAAAATTAATAGTTCCATAAAGAAGAATTACCTTTGAAAATTCATTGAATACTGTAGAGGATCCATATTTGTAAAAAAATGAAAGCTCAATTTCTGAGAGATATTTAGCAAATTTTAACATGTTGAAATCATAAAAATAAATATTACCTTCATTATCTAATTAAACGAATATTAACTAAATAAAAATTTAGACAAGATAATTATTTGTTAAACCATTACTAAAAAAATAAAAAAGTCTTGATCATGTAGTTTAAATATGTTATTAAAATAAACATTTTCCATAATTAAAGGAAGGAGCAAGTTTAAAATGCTTGTTCAAAGCATCTTCTTATAAAGATGATGATTATGATAAAATATTAATTATTTAATTTGAAAGTAATAATAAATCTAAAAATTAGATGTTGCATTAAAAAGAACATGCTCCTTTTGGGAGAATTAGAATGAAGTAACTAATTGTGGTAACAGTTTAGGAGTAAACAATTAAGAGTAATGTGATAATGCATTTTGCATTTGTAATTTAAGAAAAGAATTCAAAAATACACTGAAAATGTACATCAATTATTTTAACAAAGATTGTCAAAAGCTTTTATAATAATCTTTTTAGTTTAAAATACTAATTTTATGTTAAAATGGCACAAATTTCTTTAGGATTAAAATTATTAATACGATGCAATATATAAACCTCGATTTACAAAAAATGTTCATGTTGGTGGCATTTAATTGAGTAGGGTCTTAACTGATTTCAAAAAATCTAACTTTAAAAAAATAATATACTTTGATTCAATAGATATAACTAATTCATCTTAAATACACCCAGAAGACTTATAATATAAAATTCCTATTGCAAATTATAATATTGAAACAACAATATTTTTGTTAAAAAAAAATATTTAATCAAAGCAATTTGATTCTCAATTATTACAAAACATATCTATGGCATTTTATTAAGGCAAAGAACATGTTATAAGTAAGAAATAAGTATATTTTGAAAATATTGATTTACACTTTGTTTTTGATTATTATTCTACTTAAGATTAAATTAGTTAGGTTATTTTACTAAGAAAACTTAATGATTTGAAATTAAAATATTAAAATATTTTAGAGAGAAGCGATGAATCTGATTCAACTTAATTAGAAAAAGATGAATATATAATTCAGTGGATTTCAGCAACAAGAAACGATTTTATAAATGATTTCAAAATCAAAAAGAATGAAAGAGTCCCTTAGTTTTATTTTACAATAGGGGATATTATTGTTAGGAATTAAAAATTAAAATGGTAACATTTTAGATATAAAAATGAAAAAATTTAGAGTAAATATGAAAATATTTGCAAATTGATAGCTAAACTACATTAAGATCATTAAAATTTTGAAAGGCATTAAAATATAATTAAAATTAATTGCATACTTTGTATTGAATGATATATCTATTTACTATAACTAAATTAATATTAATAACGATTTATTATTATCTTAATTGATTATTCAATCTAATCTTTTGGATCTATAAAATGTTATAAGAATTACTCTACTTAAAAATAAATATTAAGAAGGTTTATTTTGAATAATGCATGAATGCTGATATTACATAATTACGAAGATCTTTGAGATTATTATGATAATAACTTAAAAATTTTATTTTTTATGTAATACTAATGTTCATATTACTTATAAAATTTCTTATATCCAAATAAACTCTAATACCAAAAGTAATTATAGAAATTTCATAATGAATACATGATAATTATCCTGGAGCTATTAAAATATTATTATTATATTCTTATATATAAAATTCCTTTACACATCCCTTACTGAAACATATATATTTTAAATATAATATAATTATTTTAATTTTAAATTTAGAAAACTAAATATATATAACTAATTTAATCATCCTTTCTTTGTAGGACCTTAGATTTGGATTTGAATGCTTTTTTAATCTCTTGATTAAGATTAATTAACACTTAACTTTATCTAGTCTCGTCTAAGCTTTTTTATAATTGAATTAATTAATAAAGTTTAGAAGCAGCCGAATTTGCATCATTTAATATATTTCAAAATCCATCCTTTATTTCAGTTATGAAAGAAGAATAAATTTTATTCAAATCTGTTTTCCATTTATTTTCAAATAGATATTCTCTTTCTTTATTATCAATAATTAGATAATCTTCTCATTTATCAATTAGTATTTTTAATTCTTGCTATAATGATCTATAAAAGAAATAATCATATTCTAAAAATTTTGTATAATTAATTCAATAATTTATATGATTAGGATCTTGCAATATCAATAAATTTAAGAAACTAGTCAATTTAATTATAGCATTTATTGATTTCTCCAAAAAAATAAAATCAAAAATTCTTTGTTTTTCTAATCTTAAATATTTTCTAATGCTTATTAAAAATGAATTACACATAGTTTACTTTGAGAACTTTCTAGGCAAAGCAATCTGCCTTCACCCTATATTTATTTATCTAAGTTTATTAAAATAATTGGATTAACCTTTTGTATCTATGGGCATTCATTATTGGAATAAATTCTATATTAATTATCATTTTTAATCATTCATTAAAATAACCTTTTTGTATTTATTAATCAAAAAGTTCTTTAGTTTAATTCTCTTCTTATACTTCTTATTTAAAATTGAGTAATAACGATAAATATTTTTTAAGTTATATATTGTGTAAGTTGCAATTAAAACTAATTTTAGTTTAAATATAAACATTTTGTTCTATAAATATATTTTATTAATTTCAGAATTAATTTTATTTCTAATTAAGAATTTGAATTCAAAAATTTTAATATTAAATCATGAATTACATTTTATTTTTTAAAAACTCTAAAACTAAATCTATTACAAAGTTATTAGATAGATGAATAAATTAATTATAATTTTCAAGTTTTTTATAAATAATTGGCGAATAACAATTATTCTTCATTTCAGCAAATATTAATTGGAATCAATTTAAAAAGTAAGACTTATAATCAATGCAAAGATTTCCATATAAAAGATTGAATAATAATTTTTGGAAATTTGCTTTTTTTTTTATTAATAAAAGGACTGTTTCTGCCATAAAAATTATGAGTTGATAATGATGATGATGTTCTTCATATTTGAATTAATCATTTAGAATGATGGAATATAAATAATAATGTAAAAAGTGATAATTTAATATCAAAAATATGCTCAATCATTATCTTAAAGAGATTTATCTTTATCAATAAAACTTCCTCTAATTGTTGTATTCTTTCCTTATCTAATACGATCGAAAAGAGTAAAGTTAGTTTTAGTTCTTTTCATTTCTCTCATATCAAATTCTTATTTATTTTCTCTTAATTTATCATAATAAACAGTAATTCTTTAAATAACAACATCAAGATTAAAATCAGGGAAATAGATTTTCGATTATTTAGCAACATCTAAATCCATTTCAAAATGAACTCGAACTATATCTTATATTCTCTTTTATATTCCATCAAAAGATTATCCTACATGAACACTATTACTATCTCCATTATTATCATATTTATTATTTGAATCTACTAAAGCTGAATTACTAGGAACTCCAGCTGTATAAACACTTGAACTATATGCTTCTTTTTCTGCCTTTTTTGTAGATTTATTATCAATTTCTGAGCCTTAAAATAATTATAACAATTAGGTAGTTCTTCTTCTTTTTTTTCTTCGATTAACTTCAACACTATAAAATATATAACAAAAATAAACTTATTAGTTTTTTTTGATATAATACTATTTTCTCTTGCCTCTATTCTTTATTTAATTTCGATTTCTTATGAATATGAAGCATGTGATTGATCAAAATTAGTTTCACTTCCCTTACTTACTTATTTTAATAAATAAGTAGGTTTATTATCTAATAATTTAAATATCTAATTCAACCTTAATGTTAATTTGTTCCACTATCAAATTCTAACCAAGAAACTTTTCTAATTCCAATAGAATTTTGATTATTATTATGTTTATTTTTTACTACTTTAAGTTTGCTGTGTATATAATTTTATGATCCTGCATTTGCATTTTGTATTTTAACTTCTTCTTAAATCATTGATTCATCCAATAAATCACCTGCCCCATTATTGTTTTAATGAAGCTTTCCTTTAATAGATTGGAGAGTCTTGCCTCTATCTAAGCCTTACAGTTTAATTTTGTTTAGACTTTTTCTAAATTAACTACCTTAATCCCAATCTATTATACTTTCCTAATAAATAATTAAACATTTATATTACATTAGTAATGCTAGCTCTTTAACCATCTTTAAGAAAGATTGCAGTTTGATTTTAAGATTTTTGATCTATAGGTAATACAGTTTAGATTGAAGGTTATGGAGTAGGTTATTATTATTGTAGATTATTTTCGAATTATGATAATATTTTTTAATCTTTGAACACAGAATTCTTTTTATTTAAAATTAATCTTTAGGGATCTTCTTCTTTATCATTTAACTCAAAACCAAGATTAATTAGATAATTATCATTTATTTCTCTTGTATATTTTTAAATTTTACTTTTCTGGTATGATATTATTTAAAACAATATATCCTAAGGCTGCTTCTTAAACATCAGGTAGATTATTTTTCCAATTAGATTTAGGTAAAGTCCTATAAGGAAAGGTTAATCTTTTGTTAGTTTTAGTAGAAGCAAAAGAACTAGCAATTTTATTTTTATTTGGTTATAAAAATACAAATGGACATCTAAAAATTGTTTATGGAGAATTACTAAATGAATCGATGAGTCCATCCACAGATTTCACATATTTATCCAAATGCTTTATAATTTCTATTAAATATGAGATTATCTTTAGCCATACTATACTTTTCAAATTCCTCATTATTATCTTAGAGGATTAGATAGAATTGTTAATAGCTAATAAAGAAATGAATAGAAATGAATACTCTATTACTAATAATTAAGTAAATTTAGTAGCTCTGGCATTATACTCATATGGTGTTTATGAAATGAATTCTCTTTCTCCTATAACAGCTCTATTAAATGATGTTTACAATATATATACCCTTATGTAACTTTCTTCAAAAAGGTTTCTGTATAGAAATGATCATCTTCATCTAAAAGAATGAAAGAGTTATAATACTTTGATGATCAGCAACATATTCGACTGTTCCAGATAATACAAACCAAAGCGCTTTTGGTGAATCATTTCTTTAGAATAACAATTATTCTGGATATAGTTTTGTTTCTTTAACAATTTGACATAATCTATGAATAGTTTCATCACTAAAGTTTTCTCTTAAGAAACGCGATTACGTTAATGTTTTACTGTAAATATCAATAAGAACTTCTTCTCTTAAATGTTTTGTTAATTATTCAATAAATTATTCAGCATGTTAATCTTCTTCTTATTTTACTTTAAAGAAATATTCGAAATATTTTTTAACCTATTATCACTTAAATGTAATTGATACTTTTAATTATAAATTGTAACTCAACCCTCTCTTCCTTATATGTTAATTAATTTCTCTTATTCTCTATTTATAAACGCCCTTCTTATCTGATATCTATTTAAATATATTTCCGATATTCGATAGACAATAACCAAAAACACCACATATTAATAAAGTCACAGTTATCACAAATATTCTCTCCACTGTCGTTACTGGAACTATATCACCATACCCTACTGTAACTGTAGTAATAACACTCCAATATAAGGATATTATGTATCTATCAAACCAATAATAATTCATTGCATTTGGTGCATATTTAGTTAACCAAGTTAATTCTTCACCATAATCTTAATATTCTATCACTGCTACCCAATGCCATGCACAACCACAAAAATGCCCTGTTAATAATAAAAAAAATATTAATTTCAATAAATCTAAAATTACTTACATATTATCCTTATACATAATTATCAATATCTTACTTCTAAATTTAAAACCTCTTCTATACTTGTCATCAATGGTGATAATCTTGTTAATCTCAATAATAAAGTATATCTAACAAATGGTATATCCATATATGAAATCAAAAATGGGATTATTACTATTATATCCCAAAAGAAATTCCCTTTTACATAATGCTTCATTATCTATTTTCTATCTTCATGCATCAATCCTTTATCATAATAAGCAGTATTAAAATTCAATAATATTTCTGCTATGAATATCCATGAAGGTAATAAATCAAAGATCCATTCAAATACTCCTTCTGATCTTACATCAAAACTTATGTATATAGGAATATAAAATATGTTCATTACAATAAATAACAATAGAATTATATCCCAAATTATTTTAAATAAACTATCAGGTTTTATCACTTTCACATATTTTGCAAAGAAACCATAAATTGCTTCTATCCAAATCAATAACTTTGAAGCTTTATTTTAAATTTAGTAAAATATTATCAAACTAATATTCGGTTTCTATTTTATTAATCTATTTATCAACATATACTCAAAATTTGCACTATTATCACATATAACTTCAAATATTCTTTTAGTAATCAATCTAAATTTTATTCTTTCAGTCTTTGTTTTTAATTATTAAATAAAACGAGAAACTAATCTAATAATTATCAAAGCCTTTTATGCCCATACTTCATTTAAACTATTATTCAATCAAATCTATACCCAGTTTTCATTTCTTTACTTTTCCCTCTTAGAATCAACGATTGTTATTTTATTGTATCTCTATGAACTTCTGCTCTTTTAGTTTTTTCATTTTGTTCTTGCTATTCTTCCATTTATTATACAAATGTCTAAAATTTTGCTATTTTCGCATCTGATTTTAATCCAAAGTTCATTGTTCCATTATTTTGATTTGGGGATGAAATAACAAAGTCGTCTTAATCAAACTTTTATTTAATTTAAATTGATTTATTAGATTTGTTTTAGGCAGTCTTTACAGTTAAATGTTTTTATTTTCTTAAATTGCAACTGATTGAACTAATAGAACCTTAAGGTTCACTTCTTTTACCACTTACATATCAAATCTAAATACCTTAAATTACTCATAAGACAATCTTCTTCATTTACATCAGCCTTATGTCCTAAATTAATTGCATTTTTGTGATAATTATCAAATATATCTCTCTTCATTCGTAAAGCTTCTAGTTATTATAATTAAGAAAATTCAAGAGTAGGATCTAATAATTAACCTCCAATAGGACTTTGTTAATCAATATCAACCAAGTGTCCAGAAGAGATATTATTACTCTGAATTCCACTTTCCAAATCTTAGAATCCAGTGTCTCGATTAATCATTATTTTATATTATTAAAAATATAGTAATAATATAATAATACTTAATTTTCATGGATCATAGTTTCTAATTTCTAGGTAAGATTTCAACAATTCAGTTTAGGTTTAGTTATACTCTATTAATTTTTAGATTTTTCCTCTAAATTAAATATCAGTAAAGTATTTATCTATTAATGCTTCAATATGTTCACCAACAATTACTATTTATTCATCCTTTACAACATTTACTGTTTTTAATAGATTTAACTAATATACTAATTATGAATATATTACAAGGGAAGTAGTTATATGTCCACTCACTCTTCCTTAATTATTAGAATTTACAAGCATTGCTGCATATGATAAACAACCTGCTGATATTTCACTCTAATAATACTTACTTTATAATTCATAATCAAAACAACATAGCTTCAATGTAAAATATGCTATCTCTATAATATCATTCTCTTTATCTTTGATCTTACTCAAATATAGTCTTAATAATAATGTTAAAAATAAAAAACCATTAGAAAAATTAAGTTGATGATCCAAACATTCAAAAATTTCTAATTCTTTTTTCAAAATCTTACTTCGACCTAATCTATTATGGGATATATCTATTGCTTAATCTAATCTTAATGGTATTACATCATTAAATTTTGATGCCAAATATATACAACTTACACCAGTTAAATGAAGGTTATCTCTTGATATACTATTATTTTTAGATATCTAAATATTACTTTTAAGTTTTCTTTTAATATTCATCCAAAATAGAACAAACTATAAAGAATGTTGAATAATTCATTTAATATGCATATGTAATCTCAATTAACCAATTTAAAAATCTTATTCTCTCTTCATCATCAAAACCCTTATCATCTTTTGATAAATATTCTTTTGGTTTCTATTGTTTACTCAAATAACTTTATAGAACTAAATTATAAAATTCCTCTGTTTTTCCATTCTTCTAAATAATCATACTTAAATCTAATTTAAATTCTAAAGGGGAATGAATTTCTTCAGGATTTTCTATTTCATTTATATTCTCTGACTCTGATGACTTTTATTCTATTGCAGAAGCCAACTCTTCTTATTTTGTTACTGTTGGTACCTTTCCAGATCTTAATGATAATTCAGAACTCAAATCAGAAACTGAATCACTAACAACACTAGATGATGATTGTTTTGATTTCATTTATTTTATTTTTTAAAGACAATTCAACCGCTTAATAATTTAAAATTTATATTACAATACAAATTAATATATTATATTTTCAATAACTATTTACATTCAAAATTGAAATCAAACTTTACTTTCTTATGATGTAAAAAACATATATTTTTAATTACTTATGATATTTTATTGTTTTTCAGTAATTTTTTCAAACTAATTAAACAATATAGAGATCCACATTAAATAATTATTTAATTAAGAATACATATTTGCCTATAAATTAATTTTATTACAAAAGCACAACTTTATGGATTTTTTTTTATTTTCTATTATTAATATTTGTTGTGATTTAGTTATTTATATTTTTAGATGAATAAAAAAAATAAAATATCTCTTTCAAAAAGAATAGAGTAAGCAACCAGAGATTATCTTGCATATTTTTAATTTTTACAATTGCGATAAAACTTTGACATCACTTTTAAAAGCATTATATGGTTTCGATTTCTTTTTATTGTTAATACTTTACAAGCTGTTTAATTAATTAATGGTTAGAATGTGTAAATACTCATATTTAAATTAGCTTCATTTAAGAGATGCTCAGCAAATTTAGAATTAATCTTTTAATATATTTTGAGAACAGTAACTATTTGATTTTTGCTTACATCATTATTTTAAGCATTTTTTTTCATATTGCTCTTGCTTAAATTGTAATCAAAATGAAAATTTCAATTCATTAATCTATTGGTTCCTTTGTTGTTTAAACCATATATTATGTGTAGTCTATGCCAATAATTTTAAACTCCCTATATGCTATTTTCATATAAGATCAATATGGTCATTTGATTTTGTTCTTTTTAACTTTTTTATTGAACATCATGTATATTTAATTCAACTGCTAAACAAGTTTTGTGTAAATAGATGGTAGCTTTTCAAGAAAGTTAGATGAACTAATCATATATCTCTTTCGAATCGTTTTATGCATATTAAAGATTAAATTACCAATAATTGAATTATAATTCTCCATTTTACTCATAGAATCATTTTTATTAATTGTAATATAACTAAATAATACTGAATTAAATAGCCATTTTATTTTTAAATTAAGAATATTCCTTTTTGTAATTGGAATAGCCGGATTAGCTAAATTAAGTTGGATTGAAATATTTTTAGTTTACTTGTTTACATTAAGTGTTATTCAGTCTTTAAAAAATAGAGCTCAAATAAATAAATTGACTAATGCTAAAAATTAATGTTAATTAAAATTTTTGATTTCATAAATTGTTAATTATTATCAATAAGATGAAACTATGAAAGTTTTAATGATTTAAAGATGCATTTAATAGAATTTAAAATATTTACAAAAAAATAATTCTAATTTAATTAAGATTTAAGATAGAATAATGATAGAAAAATATTTTGAACCAAATTTATATAAATTATATTTTCTATTGTTACAACAAAATTAATCCAAAATTTCATTTTTAGACTTTGTTTTCGTTAAAGCCAATATTTATTTACTTTAACAAGAATGTTAGTAAAAATCAAAAAATTAATAAAAAGAGAACTAATGGCTCATTCAAATTTTTGAATAATAAGAAACAAACTCTCACATTATAGAATAAGTTAGTCTTGCTAAATTAAATTATTATTAAAATCTAATAAAAATTAATTTAAATGAAGAACAATATTGTAAGATGATTAGAACTTAGACTTTTAAATTTTGCAAAAAAATTAAAAAATTAAAGTAGCAACTTGAATCTAATATAAATTTAAAGACTCAAACACTTTAAAATTCAACTATAAGTGATCTAAAAACCATATAAACTATCTAAAAATATTATTATATTTTTTATGGTGATTATTAGAAGGTAAATGAAAAATTTATTAAAAGGCATTACAAATTGGACAGAAAGCTAAGGAATTGTAAGGATTGGATCGAAATTTGAATTTAAAATTATAAAAAAGTAATTCTTCAATATTATTCTAGATTAAATCTTTCTGATTAAAGTAAGCTATTTATAAAAGAAATGGAATATTTTGAATGCGAAAGCAAAATATTTAGAAGAATATTTTAAGGATTAATATTTGGAAAATATTTTAGATTTGTTTCCATAATTTTTAAGAGGGTATTATTAATCACAATTAAATTATTTTGTTGAAAATGATTTTTTAGATAAATATTAGATAAAGACTTTTTTACTGAAAAATAATTATATACTTTCTTGTAAAATTTCTTTATATCATGAAATTTTAGACAATGACTTAATAATTAATAATATAATTGAAGTTGATGATAACAATAATTTTCTATTATTCAATTAATTCGGTAAAATATTTGGAATTTCGGAATTACTATTCAATAAGTTATAAGATCTTGATGAAAATAATTCTTAAGAAGTAACTTATTAAGATTTCCTAGAAAAAGCTATGATTTAGTTTTATGTTCCAGAAATTGAATATTAAGTTTTAGAATTGACTACTACATATTAATAATGTAGATAAATTGAATTTTAATCATATTTTTCAAAAAACCTTAATCATGATGATTGTCTTTAGTTAAGCATAAATTACAATATAAAAGAAGAATTTCTTCCCTAAATAAAAACCAATTAATCCTCAACTTCTCGATACGAAACTTATATTAAGTAGAATAGAATAGTATCACTTTTAAACCCTAAATTTTCCATTCAATTTGAAATAATTCAGCAATAATTAAATTTAGAATAAAATTTATCATCTTATAAATTTGAATTAGAATATATTGAATTGGATAATTCTGATTATTATTATTTTATACTAAGTTTTTCTGATTTTAAGAATAATGTAGAAAGTTAGGATAAGAGTTTGAAATTTGAAACGAAAACAATAAAAAAGAATAATAATATAGATGATTAAATAAATAATTCAATTATCGAATAAATAATAGAGAAAAAGGAAATATCAAGGAATTTAAAATTGTAATTAATTCTTATGATTATACTAACATGTTATATAGTTTGTACTATTTTTATCAATAAACAATCTGGATAAAGTGAAATAACATCATATTAGTCATCAATTAATTTTTTAATAAATCCTTAAGCTCTTACATTTTCATATGCAGGATCATATCTTTTATAATGGAATAGATATTGTGCATCAAGTGGCTTATACAACCTAACTTAGTATATAGAATTTTAAAGGCAATAAAAATTAAATTATGCTTTTACTTTATGGAAAGGTATACATGTTAATTATACATTAAATCTAAGCAGAAGAAGTAGAGATTTAGGAATGGAAATGGTTGATGTAATTGAATATGACAAAAATAATAATAAAATAATTACAAAAATGGACTATTATTCATTTTATGCAATAACAAGAGAGAAAATGGTTAGAGTATAAAAAAATACAAATTATTCTAATATTTCTACTCATGATTATTCAATATTTAAAGCTAATGGATTTTTAAGGCAAAATATAATGACAATATTTAAGTTTCATGATATTGTGATTGATGATGAAATTGAGTATCTTAAATTTAAGATATAGTAGTCTCAAACCAATTTTTAATAGATAGAAATAATCTAAATATGTTTTGCAAATATATTCATAATAGCTTTAATATATTTCATTTATTCTTAAGTAAAATTAAATAATTACATATTTACTTTATTATCAATGATTGAGATTAATTCAATTAAGACATAAATTTCATAAACAAAAATATTTAGTTCATGCACAAATTATTCTTTAAAATCTATGGCAAATTTGATAAAAAATGATACAATTTAAAATGAAAATCTTAATTAAAATAAAAATATTCATACCATTTAACGATTATAAAATATTAAATTTACTTCTAAATTTCGAATACTCATACCTTTTATATTTATAATTTGTTATGGTTCTCAAATGATTGGAGCATATTATTACAGAGCATTTTATTATGACAATTACAAACATTCCTTATTAATGACTATGAATTATATAAAATTTAAAAAACTATTCGATAGTTCAATCTTACTTGGAGAATTAATTAAGACTGAACATCTAATTCCATCAAATCCATATTAATTAATTAATTAATCTGAAATCATAGAATTATATTTAATGTATGCAGACAATTCGACAAATTTGTTTAATACTATTCTTGATGACTTAGTTGTATCAAATTATTTTAACTAAACAATGAAAAATTAAATATTGAATGCTTTTAGAAAAGATTTATGTTTAAATTTTTAAAGATTTCTGGTTTTTTGTAATACATCTTAAATAAAATTACCTTATAAACCTAGTGATTCTTACCTAATTATTACATAAGATGGAATAGGAGGAGTTATTTAAAATTACAAAAAAATGGTTCAATAAGAATATAATACAGAAAGACAGACTTTAAAATATTCAAAAAATAATTCTTAATTTATTAATTCATAGATTCACTAAAATTTCTTTGTTTAATATGCTTAGGATATTTAATCATGTTTTTTTACTTGTTTTAGTTACTTTATTAATGAAAGTATTTATTTAAGCATTCTATTTATATAAGCTATGTCAGATTATTTTAATTTAACTGGAATTATGTAAATTATATCATATAAAATTAGTATTTTGCTGTTGTATTTTACATTCTCAGTTTATTGGATTATCTTCCAATATTATTAAATACATTAAGTTAAATTTGTTTTAATCTTACTTGAACCAAAAATAGTATAGAAAAAAGGAATACATCAAATTTTAATGAAAATTATGAATTAAATATGATTAAACATTGATATAAAATTCATTTAAATTTCTACACTATGTACAATCAGATAACAAAATTTATTTTGAAATTAAATTATCTATTATTTGAAATGGCTGAAAAAATTGTTTCCTTTCTTGAGAGACTTGTTGAAAATTATTTAGATTTGTTTAATGATGCATGTTAATAGCGAAATCAATCAGCCTTGTAATTATTCAGAATTGCAATTATAATTAATGGTTTATAAGAATTGTCATTAATGGAAGATGATTCTCATTAGAGTGACACAAAGTATTTAATAATAAAAATTTTCTAGACTTTTTTATTCCAGTTTAAAAGAATCTCTGCCAACTACTTAATTAATTGGATTTAAAAGCTCTTCTACTCTAGTATAACTTTTAATTACACATATTATCATGAACTTATTTATTTTTGGAAACCTTTAATTTATAAAAAAACAGTCATATTTCCACACAGTAACCTTATCTGTAATATTGGTTGAAAACTACATTCTTTTGTATCCTACCCTAAAGTCAATTTTTTATTTTAATAAATTATAAGCGGACTACAAGAATTATTTAATTTCGATTTTTAATTTAATAATGTACTTATAAATAATACTAACCTAATATTCATGGAGACAAACTAAATTAATTGATTTATAAGGTTTAATAAGAACAAATAATATTAAGTTAGAAATATTATGTCATTTAATTTTAATTTTATCTGTAGGTTTGAATGAACTCTCTAAATTTAGTTCTTATATATTAATAATGATAAAATAAATAATCAAGTTAGGAATGAGTTTTGATACATATAATCACAACAGTGTATTTTTGATTTATTATAATGTTATATAAATCATCTTTTTAACAGCAATGTCATTTAATATCGAAATGATTTACACACTTTTAATATTAAGTTTTGCTCTATAATTAATTTTTAAATTTGAATCTCTAATTTTTGAATAGCATTTACTTTAATTTGAAATATCTCTTTAGAAATGCTAAATTTATGAACTTGTATTTAATTAATCAGAAAATACTTCAAAGATTTTGTTATTATAATCCTTGTTGCAAAAAAGTTTTTTATAAAATTAAAAAGTCAAAATTTAAAAAAATTAACCTATTTTTGCCTTTACTAAGTAATAGGATATGCTTTATTAGTTAATTAAATAATCTCAATTTAAACAGAAAATGTTGATTTAAATTTTATGCAATTATGATTAATAAGCTAAACCTTAGAAAACACTTATTTAATTTATGAAATATTATAAAATATAGAATATATATGATAAAGCATATGTCTAATAATTTCAAAAACAATTAAACTACTTAATTAATATCAATTAATTCTACTTTAATGGAAGAGTTTAGTCTATAAATATTATGGATAATTAAACAATCGTATCTTCCCTTGTAAATAGTGAAATTGCTATTGCTTTTATTGAAAAAGTAGTTTAAAGTAAAATAATTTTATTAGAATCCTTAAGAAAAGGATTTTAGTAATAAATTGAAATTTTAAATCTGGTTGATGATTATACCAATAATATCTTTTCATGTAGAAATTTTATTTAATAATACTATGAACTAAATAAATATAAATTAAGAAAGTGCCAAAGTTCAGATATTTTAAGCTTAAGAATCTTATAAATATATTTTGGAATCATTTTGAATGATATTAAAGAGGTATTTACCTTTAAAATAATAGAGTAAAATTATTGAAAAGTTAATTGAAGATTTGATAAAGTCTGAAAAAACATAATAAGACACAACAATAAACAATTAGATTCTACTTCAAAGTATATGATTCAAATATTCTAAATAGACCGTTATTTGGTATTACATACTAGTTTAATTAATTAAAGAGGAAAATTGATTAATTGCAATAAATAATATATTTCTTAATTTTTTGGATGCTCTTTAGAATTTTTACAAAACTATTAATATATACATGAATTCATGCCTGATTTTATAGCTTAAGTTCATGATGAAATAATTGATTGTTTTATAGATACTGGATATACTTAATTAATGAAAACTGGAAAATTAACATTTATATAAGATCCTTAAAATTATTTAATACCAGTTTATATTCATTTGTACAATCCTAATACATAAGATGATTACACTTTATATTCTATATTAACAACCTAATTTTAATAGTAAGAATATGTTGTATTTGATTCAGAAGGTAAAATTTAAGGAATTTCAAGAAAGTTTTTTGAGTTTACAAAATTATTAAAGTCATCTTATCAAGATATTAACATTTTTGATATTATTAATAGAGGTAGTAGTATATTGTATTATATTCCTAATGTCACAAATTTGATAAAAGATTTAAAAAATAATATAGATCATTTTGTAAATAATTCTTTAAACAATATAAAATCATATTGGTAATATCCTGATAATCATTTAGAATGTATATCATAAACTTAATCATTAATTAATTACTCTTAAAGGATGGAAATAGAAAAAAATTTGATTTTAGGATAAAATATCAAATTATTAGACAAGGTTTATCAAGAATCTTTTATAAATGCAATAAAAAAAAAGTATATCAATTAAGATTAATCAGAAAATTATATTGAATTGTTACATAATTTTTAAATTTATTTAGTTAGAGATCATGTATTTTTTTTGATAACAATTAAAGAGTATAAATTAACTGATTTTTCAAAGACATACACGTCTAATTCGATACGTTAAGTTTAAAATCCTTTTACATCATTTTCTACACCATTTACTTAATTTGATTAATAGATGTCTGAGAAATAGTTAACGACAGAAAATGGTACAATATAAGATATTAAATAATTTTGTACTTTTTAACATTCTTAAATAATTGAAAAATTATTCAAAGATGATGATATGAGTGGAAGATTTGTAATGGATATTACTTAAAAATAGTAATTGAATGCAAGTCATAATTAATCAAAATTACCTTTTTTATCAAAAAGAGATACTTTATCAAATAGATAGTTATTACAAACTGGACAAACATCCATAAGGATGGTTTAACCATAATTTTATTTACCATCAGTAGATTCAAAAAAAAAAATTGAAGATTATTAGTTATATGAACTTGAAGAGGATATGAAAGAAATTGCAGTTATGGAGAGTGTTAAATAAATTTAAGTGGTTTAAATGGAATAAGTGATTGCTATTGATAAAGATGAAAAGAACTTTTTTAATCGTTATGATAGTAATGTTAATGATGATTCAATTAAATAATCTGAAAATTTAAATGAAACCTAAGTTTAAGCTTTAGTTTAAAGTTAGGTACAATAAGGTTCTTAATTGTAAATGATTTAATCTATTGTAAATTTTAATGGATCTATGAAAATGGTAAATATTGGTTTAATTTTAAATCTATTTTTGGCACTCTGGGTTTTTATAATGCTTTTTGTGAATAGCTATTTGGTAAATAATGAAATATAAACCTATTTTCATTAACTTACAAATAGTATTGCTTATTAAAGTTTATAATTTTATGTTGGTGTACCTTATACATTAATGTTGTAATTATTATTAAATGATAATGGAATCTTTAATTTAAGTCCTGCATTGTTGAAAAATACAATTAGTAAAATACCATTTTTTTATGGATTTTCATAAATATAACAGTCTCAATTTTAAGAGATAGTTTGCAGTTAACCAAAATATTATGCTGAATATTTTGATAATATTAATGATTGCTCTAATTATTTTATACAATTTCATACTGCTATTTTAGAATCATATCGATAATATGAAATAGATGAAAATTTTGATTATGGAATATTTAAAAATAATTCATTTCATAGAAGTTAATCATTTTATGTTTAAAAAATACTTTTAGATACTTTAACCAATTTTATTAGTTCTTTCTAAAAAGTTACACTAAAGGATACATTCTTAGTATTACTTATGATAAATCTAGTATTTGTTACAATAATTTATGTTTTATAATTTCAAATGACAAAATCTAAATAAAATTTAAAGCAGAAGTTTTATTAAATTTTAAATAGATTGTCATTTGATGAAATAGTTGAATTGATTGCTAGATTTAGTTGTTTTAAAGTAGCTTTAGGAGAAAATACATGGAAATTAATCAATTATTATGATATGATAAATTACAAAAGCATAATCAAAGAGAAATCTAACTAAAATAATCATAAAAAATACATTTAATTAAATGACTCTAAACTTAAAAAAAGAACAGATTTATTTCAAATAATGACAATATCTTTATCATTCTGTTGTTGGATTATCTATTTTGTTTTAGGTTTCCTTCTTTTTTATTTTTTATTTTAAGAATTTGCTCCTAGTTTTAGAATTGCATAAAATTTTGTTGCTTATAAATAAAAACTTGATATGTCTATATGTATTGGATTTTGGATTAAAACTGATCCTTTAAGTAATATGAAAAGGAATATATAAGAATAATAATAGATGATTAGTTTATTTGTGAATTTAACAGATAGCTTATAGCCACTTTTAGATGAAATTTCAACTGATTTAGTAAAATCTACATATTTAAATGAAGAGAAAATGCAAATAATCCAACAAACTTTGAATTTAGATTTATGTCCTTCTTATTAATATCTCTTTTGTTATCCAGATAAATTATCAGCATTACCTTATTTTGATTCTGAATCTTATGCCGCTATTTTATCTGGAGGGATAACAGGATTTGTTGCATAGATTTATAAATATACAGTTTCAGAATACACAGTAGAAAAAGAAACGCTATAATATTCTCCTTATCTTGATTAATTATAATTGTAAGTGTAAGAATAAGTTTTTAAGAATATTTTTGTTTAATACATTTAGGATATTCAATTCACTATGTACAATCTTTTTGCTGAATTTAATGATGGTAATTCATATGCTGGTGAAACTTTACTTTCTTATATGAATTATTATAGTTTTGGGTTTGGCATAAGGTATAGAATATATTTATAATTATAGTCTCATTATAGTTTATAATTTAATAGATTTTATACGGATTAGATAAAGTGTGAAGGAATTAGACTAATTAAAATTTATACTTTTAGTTCTTCCAGAGTAGAAATTTGAAAACTAAATCATCAAATAAAAGATAAGTGAAATAAGTTAATATTTCTTTTGATGTTATTGTATTTATTATTATAATAACAAAATTATATCAAGCATACTATTTTTAGAGGTTAAGTTATTAAAAATAAAAAACGAGGAATTATCACGACTAATAATTAAATTTCTTTCATAAATAATTCTTGTAGAATGCAAACAAAAATTGTTTTTCTGAGATTGCTATTGTTAGTAATTAGTATAATATGTATATCTTGTTCACAGTGTGAATGATTTGATTTATATTTGGAAAAGGTATTTTAATAAATTGAATTCTGTATATTATTGAATTGATAATCTTTGGATTGTTATTTTTTACGATTGTCTTTTAGACTCAGAATTCTTGGCCAATTTTATTAAAAATTCCTAATAATATTATTAATGAAGAGATTTTAATTTTATTGATTGTGTCGAATAATTATTGAAATATATTAGAGTAAAGTGGGAATATAAATATAATAAAATTAATATAAAACAAAAGTCATTTAAAAAAGTAAGTATTGATTATTCTTTCTAAATCAGATTTATTAGCTGGTTTAACAATGTAATCATCCATATATTATAAGCATTCTTTTTTTTCTTTTTCTTCTGCATATCCACTGCAACCAACAATTGTTACTGGAACATTCATAGTTTTGTAAAAATTCTTGATATTTTTGGATGTAACTATTCCATTTTAAATTGGTAATTCTACATCCATAAAAATTAGTTTATAAGGATGACAAATATGTTATTATTTTAAAAATCTTTATTATACTTTTTGTTCAGCCAATTATCCAGAAATTGTATAATCTAATTTAATTAAAGATTAAAATGTTCTATTGAATTTAAGTAAAAAGGAATCTACATTAAAATGATTATCTTCAACTAATAAAATTTAAGGACAAGAACAGAAATTTTTTTATAGAATAAATTTTTTTTCATTTTATGATTATCTTCGAACATCATTTAATTTAGTTTCTAAATCAACATCTATTTCTTTTTTTGAATCTTGATAATTTTCTATTTCATCTGTGTAATTAGATTTATTATTAGTAACTAAAAAGCAAAATGTAGTACCTTCTTAATAAACTGATCTAAAACCTAAACCTCTTTATTCAGAATTTAATTAAGTAGCAATAGAATTACTAATCAATAAACCTAATCCTACTCCTTATGCATTCATTTAACTAGCTTCCTTATTTTCAATTTTAGCAAATGCTTTAAATAATTTTGGTTAATCTTCTTCTCTCATTCCTACTCCAGTATCTTTAACTTCAATACAAATTTCATTTGGTCCATCGAGATATGCTTTTAGAGTAATTGAACCTTCTAAAGTGAATTTTAATGCATTCCCTATTAAATTTACTGTAATTTATCTGATTCTATTTAAATCACTCCATATTTCAGTTGGCAAAGATTTATCATAATAGTAATTCAATTAAATATTCTTTTTCATTGCTTAAATCTCAAACATATTAAGACAATCTCTTAATAAAGATTTTAAATCAAATAAAGTATTTCTAATCTTAAATTTACCTGCTCTAATTTGAGCTAAATCTAATAAATCATTCGAGAGATTAAGAATATATTTAGAATTATCTAATGCTGATTAAATTAGCTATTATTCACTCAAATTTATGCTAGTTTTGTTTTCTAATACTTCCTCTAACATTTATATTATGCATGTTAAAGGAGTTCGAAATTCATGACTTACAAAAGACAAAGTTTTAGATTTTTATGAATTATAATCTTTTAATACTTTTATATAATCCTTATGATTTACATCTCTAAGTATTATAACTAATAATGGTTTATTATAATGAATTGCACTAAAGACTTTTAAATCCAAACATTATTTCTTTTAAAACTTTTTAATATTAGTTATAAAAGCATCACTTTCATGAATGTAATAGAGTGGTTAATTTTAATAATTTAATACTTTCTCTTTAACTAATGTATGTAATTATAACCAAATCTAAATCAAAAGGAAATGAAATGAATCTATATCATCTAAAGATTTCTTATGTGAAGTTGCATAATGGATAGATGGAGAATTAGGATGATTCATATTCTCAGTTTTTATTTATTAATTTGGGAATATTATTTAGACAGGTGGAAATTATAAACAAAAATCATGATTTGATTATTAATGTTATTGTAACAATAGATCTTATCTTTATGAACTAGATTGATTTTCTACTATAAATTATTATGAAAACTTAAAGGTTGATTTATTATATGATTATTATTTTGGTATTAATTTAAAACTATTTCTTCTTACACTTTATTAAGATTACATACTGAATGAACATTTATACAAATGCTCTTCACTTTTTTACTTTGGAGATACACTCTTCAAATCCAAAAGTTCAGACAACATTTGATCTTAATCTTCAGAATCTATAAGATATTTGGCAGCTGAATTTGAGTACTTTATTGAAAAATCATCTTTTGTATTCTTTTCAAGTATTATTATTCCTTCAGGTAATACATCAAATGTCTTAAATAATTTAGAAGGATCTTATGTCTCATATTCCAAACCTATACTTCTAGGAACTGATGGCTCCATTTCTTAATTATTTAATTTATAGTTCTCTTTTATTGAATCACATTATTCTTCATTTTCTTATCTCAAGTTATACAATAATATTTTCAGTATGATTGACTAACATAATGCTTTTATTAAATCAGTAAATTATAAATTATGAAATCCAACTCGAATAAAAACATATGTGTTTATTACTATTCCCCCAAAAAATAAACAGTTTTATACTATTTTTTTCTTTTCATTTCTATTGAAAAATACTGTGTCAAAAATTGCTAATTATTAGAAAATTAAAAACGATGTCTCAATTTGTAATTCTACAGAAAATAATGTGATCATAAAATATTAACAATATATCATCAACTATGTTCTAATTGTCTTAAAGTAAAAGGATAGTCCTTAATAAATTATCATTACCAATAAAAAAATCAAACATGTCAATATAAATGGTCCTCTGCTTTAAATTAGATTTTCAATTATTTAAGCAAAGATTATTGAACTATTTAAAAATATCATCAAATTCTTAACGTTATTCTTATCTAAACATATTAATTTTTTTGCCTTCTCCATCAATAAATTAAATATTATTTTATTATAAGAACTTATATTTATAAACTTATTTTCATTATTTCAATTATACTTATTATTAAATTGTAAATTTCAAAAGTTACTTAGTATCATCAATCCAAAGAAGTTTATAATTCAATTATTATTTAAATATTACAGAAAATAGTTAATAGCATATGCATAACATGAAAAATTAAGAAGACGAAAACAATTGTGTTAATAATAGTTCAATTAGTGTAATAATTAAAATTAGTTTCAATTTTTGATATCGAAATTATTGATTTCAGACATTGGCATTTAATGTTATAGATAAGGTTTTTTTATTAATTTAAATGATTCCTTGTTTGAAATAGGACTATTTTCTCGACTACATAATGTGGAATATAATTGATTATCTAATATATTATTGTTTTTCTAATTTGAATGAACATTTTGAATGTTAATATTTGTAAATCTAGTTAGTTTCTTATTAGATTCTTAAGTAGGTGTCTTTTAATTCATTCTTTCTGTTTCAGCCACTCTTTTCATAAAAGCTGCTTCATTAGCAGATGCACATACACTTCTTAATTACAATTACTATTCATAATATTACAATTCATCTTGTCTCTATAATACTGACTCTTTAACATTTTAAATATATTATGTTTTTTCACGAAATAGTTATTCTATTTAAAGCATTAAAGATTAATGATCATTTGAATTCTTTAGAAATTAATTTATGTGTTCAACTCTTTTCATAGTATCTTATTCTTATTAATTTAAATCTTATAAACTAGCAAATAATTGAGATTCTTTTTATTCCAAAAATTTAACTGATGATTCTAAATTGCATTTTAGATTATTTAAATCATCTATTAATGCATTTTAATTTTTAGCTTATTAATTCAAGTTGTTTTCCTATTATTAAAGTTGAGTTTCCCTTTCTGTTAGTTATTTATTTAATGCTTTTAAAGATTAACTTAGAGAATCATTTTACTAATTTTAACTCTACAATTATTATTCAAAATCTGCTATCTAACTTTCCTTTTTCTTCAAATCCTTTTCCTTTTTTGTTATAGCATTCATTATTTCTTCAATTTCCTTATATGTATCAGCTATTTTTTTCCTTTCCTTCACATAAAGAGATTTATATTTATCTAGTTCTTTTTAAAGATGCTATAATTGATGTTGCATTTGTATCCCATTCCATTTTATAATCATACAATCTTTTCTATCACATTCTGCTTCATATTGTAAATTTATCCTATTGCTTGCAGGTTAGGTTTGAGAACCATTTAATCTATTAGAAGTACTTTTTGGTGATTTGCAAATAGCACTTATTTAAGAGAGTCCATAAAGTTACTTTACTTTTGGCATACAGATGTTATTAATAAAAATAATAATAAAATTTAACGTATCAGAAGAACGAAAATAAAAAAAAGTTTTTATTAAGTTATCTTTGGTTTACTTAATCAGAAATAGGCATAGAAATAATTAAAGAAAAAAAGAAATCATTAATTTAAAAGAAAAGAATATAAATAATTACTTTAAAATTGTGATAAATATTTATATTAAAGAAATATGTAAATAAAGAGAGATTATTATGAAATTCTTGGTTTAGAATAAAATTGTGATTAAGAATAAATAAAGAAGGCATATAGGAATATGGCATTGAAATGTCATCCAGATAAAAATTAAGCAGAAGATGCAAAGTAGGTGTTTTAAGAAATTTAAGAAGCTTATTCTGTACTTTCGGATCCTAATGAAAGAACTTGGTATGATAATCATAAATAGTAAATTTTGAATCCAGATCTTGATAAGGCTGATCTAGAAACTATGGAAGGATTTGGATTTAATATTTGGCATTATTTTTCTCCACATTATTTTGGTTTTGGTGATGATTAATAAGGTATGATAATATATTATATTTTTTAAAGGGTTTTATGCATTTTATAGAGAAGCTTTTGAAAAAATAAAATTTGAAGAAGAATCAGCTTTTAATAATAAATAATTGGATTCTGAAGAAGAAGATTCTAATACAGAATTTGAAAAACTTCCTGGATTTGGTGCTTCAAATACATCTATAGATTAAGTACTTAAATTTTATATAAAATGGGAAAATTTTACAACTTATAAATAATTTGCTTATGCAGATAAGTATAATCCAAAAGATGCTCCTAATAGATGGGTTAAAAGAGCAATTATTAAAGATAATAAAGTTGAAAGAAGGGAAGAAAAGAAAAAGTATTTAAAAACCATCAAAAAATTAGTAGAAACAGTTAAAAATAAAGATCCAAGATATAAGGAATATTTAGAATAGTTAAAAAAAGAATAAATTATTAAAGAATAGTAAAAGAAGAAATAGAAAGAATAAGATAAAATACATATGCAAGAAATTTTAAAATAGGCTAGACTTGAAGAATAGGAAAGGTTTAGAGAAAATGAAGAATATTTTAAATAACGTTAGCAGTTTTAAGTTATTACTGAAAAATAAGAAAAATCTTCTGATGTATTCTTTTGTGAGGTTTGTGATAAAGAATTTAAATCAGAATCATAATTTAAAAATCATTAAAATTCAAAGATGCATAAATCTAACTTAAAAGATATAATATCTTAGATTACTGTTGATAAGAGAGAATAAGAAGAATTATTAAAATAAAATGGAGTTACTGTTGTTAATGCTTAAGATTTAGAAGAAACTTAAAAATTAATTTAAGAATAAATCAATAAAGAATTAGAAAGAGAATAATTAAAATAATAAAAATAAGTTGAATAGTAGATTAAACAAAAGGAAAAGAAAAAAAATAAAAATAAAAAAAAGAAATCTTAATAATAATAAAAATAATAAGATTAAAAAGAAGAAAATAATAGTAGTTCTGAAGATGCTATTGAAAAAGATTAAAAAAATTAAGAAAATGAATATGTAAACAGTGAGGATGAAGATCAATTTAAATAATTGCTAAAAAATAAGAAAACAAATTAAATCAATTAACAGTAAACTATTAAAAAGTCTACTAATCAAAAATAAGAAGATTTTGAAAAACAATAAATAGATTCCAAATTTTTAATTGAAAATAACGAATCTGAAGATGAAAAACTTTGTAATCAAGATAATTAAAAAGGAACTAAAGAAGATGAACCAAAATAGCTTAATAAAGCTAAATTAAAAAAATTAAAAAAAAAAGAAAAAGAAAAATAAAATGAATAAGAAAAATTTAAATGTAATGTTTGTTCAGAGATTTTCCAATCTAAAACAAAATTATTTTAACATTTAAATGAATCTGGTCATTAAAAAGCAAAATGATTTTAATTTGTGTTTTCGATTTTAATTCAAGATAATTATTATATTGCTTTATAATAGATCTCATTTCTAAATAATTTTTAATCACTTATATTTATTATAATTATATATTCCANTAAGGAATATTTAGAATAGTTAAAAAAAGAATAAATTATTAAAGAATAGTAAAAGAAGAAATAGAAAGAATAAGATAAAATACATATGCAAGAAATTTTAAAATAGGCTAGACTTGAAGAATAGGAAAGGTTTAGAGAAAATGAAGAATATTTTAAATAACGTTAGCAGTTTTAAGTTATTACTGAAAAATAAGAAAAATCTTCTGATGTATTCTTTTGTGAGGTTTGTGATAAAGAATTTAAATCAGAATCATAATTTAAAAATCATTAAAATTCAAAGATGCATAAATCTAACTTAAAAGATATAATATCTTAGATTACTGTTGATAAGAGAGAATAAGAAGAATTATTAAAATAAAATGGAGTTACTGTTGTTAATGCTTAAGATTTAGAAGAAACTTAAAAATTAATTTAAGAATAAATCAATAAAGAATTAGAAAGAGAATAATTAAAATAATAAAAATAAGTTGAATAGTAGATTAAACAAAAGGAAAAGAAAAAAAATAAAAATAAAAAAAAGAAATCTTAATAATAATAAAAATAATAAGATTAAAAAGAAGAAAATAATAGTAGTTCTGAAGATGCTATTGAAAAAGATTAAAAAAATTAAGAAAATGAATATGTAAACAGTGAGGATGAAGATCAATTTAAATAATTGCTAAAAAATAAGAAAACAAATTAAATCAATTAACAGTAAACTATTAAAAAGTCTACTAATCAAAAATAAGAAGATTTTGAAAAACAATAAATAGATTCCAAATTTTTAATTGAAAATAACGAATCTGAAGATGAAAAACTTTGTAATCAAGATAATTAAAAAGGAACTAAAGAAGATGAACCAAAATAGCTTAATAAAGCTAAATTAAAAAAATTAAAAAAAAAAGAAAAAGAAAAATAAAATGAATAAGAAAAATTTAAATGTAATGTTTGTTCAGAGATTTTCCAATCTAAAACAAAATTATTTTAACATTTAAATGAATCTGGTCATTAAAAAGCAAAATGATTTTAATTTGTGTTTTCGATTTTAATTCAAGATAATTATTATATTGCTTTATAATAGATCTCATTTCTAAATAATTTTTAATCACTTATATTTATTATAATTATATATTCCATTTTAATAATTACTCCTTGATATCAACAATCTAAAAAACTCTTTATTTGTGTTGTCTATAGTAGAGATTCAAGAATGTAATCAAATTCTAACAAATTATTATCTATTAATAAAAAATTAATTAAAAAAAAAAATTATGAATATTATGTAATAAGATAAGGGAAATAATTAAGATTTATGGAAGAATAAATTTTAATTTCCAATTAATTAATCCTCTAAAATAATAACTGAGAAAATAGAATATTGAGTTCTTTTTTTTCTTATGATATCATTAAAATTATAAAATAATAACTTATATTCTTTTTAATAAGCTGTGAATAACACATAATAATAAACTAAGCATCAAGCATTGATTAAAAATAAATATTAAAATAAATCTGCCAAATTTAAAATAAGAAATCTAAATAATTGATTCAACTAATTTTTCAATTGATATTTGTTGTAACGAAAAATATTTGTAAATTAGAAAGGATTACTTAAAATTAAAATTAATGTATAAAGATAATTTTTTGGCACTACTTAATTTTTTTATTATCTAAATAAATAATTAATATATATTATTGATGCAATCCCCTTCCTTGTAAAAATAATCGGAAAGTTCATATAAAAGTGATTAATACATACAGGGTTGGCTGCCAGTTAAAAGTGAAGTTGAAGAATCAATAATATCATATTTAGATTCTCTTGGAATCAATCAGCTAATTCTGGTCGAAAAATTTTCAAATCAATAACGAAATTCTTTGCTGTCAATAGAAAATGTTGGAACTCCTCAATCATAAAAAGTCATGTCACTTAATCTTGATTCTGAACTTTACTAGAGAAGAAGCTTTAGATTATCTTCAGATTAGATTTGAAAATAAAATACTAAATAAATAATTTATTTATATTGTTATTAATTAAATAATAATATTTTGTTTATCTTATCAATTTTTGATTATTTAAGATTTTTTTGGAAGGATTTTGAAAATTGTGATATTAATTTAATATCGGAAATTATTTATAAATTTATTCATAAATTAAAATAAAGAAAAAATTTTATCTAGTTACTCAAAATATTAATGATACTATTAATTTCTTGCTTTTGATTAAAAGGCTCCCAATATAATAATCTTAATTTTTTCTCAAAAAACACATATAATTGGTGGTAATCTTTATAATAGGATTTGGTAATTTGAGAATAAGGGTAAAAAGAAATTCAACCAATTTTAAGTCATTATAAATTTATATATGGCTTTGACTTAAAATTATATTTAAATATGAGAAATCAATACTAGTATTTATAACTAAGGATTTAAAGAATAAGGTCAACAATAATTAATGTGATTTAGGTATAATAAATTTTTAGAACTTAAAATAAATTAAAAAGAATCTAGTTTTTGAATAAAATTATAGAATATTCAGTATTAAGGAATTCTTCATTAGTAAGTATTTAGAAATAATAATAAAAAAATAAAGACTATTAAATTCTAAAGGATTGTAATATAATGAATAAATTGAGATACTATATGTTATTAATTCTAATAATTTTGAGTTGTAATAATTTGAAACTTGATTTTGGCAATGAATTAAATTGTATTAAAAATTGATAAAATTTTTAAATGTGAGATGAATCTGAGAATGATAATATTATTTATGTTATTAAAGTTTTTACATCTGTTTTCTATTGATTAGAAATATAATTAAAAATAAAATATAAAAATACAAATGTACGAGTTAAATGTTCATAAGTGTGCAAAATTCAGAACTTTCGAAAATAAAGCAGATACAAGACGTGCTTTAGTATTTTTGAAATTGTTAGATAACGTATCATAAACTTAATATTAGAGTTGTCCAAGAGAGGATGCATTGAAATTTTGTAAAAAAAGAATATGTAGATTTGATACAACTAGAAAAATGGAAGGTCCTCCTAAATTTAGATTGATTAGAAATGCAACTACAAGTAGAGGATGGATTTTTCCAGAAGAAATTAAGTATGATTTAGGTAAAAATTACGAGAGACCAAAAACAGAAGAAGATAAAGCATTTTAAAAATTCTTTTAGTCTAATAAATTAAAAATAGTATAAGAATAACAATAGTAAGTTGAAGTTGTAAATAAATTTATGAAAGAGATTGATGGATAACTTAATATGAAATATGGTAATTTAAAGGAATTGAAGAAAAAGATTTCAGATGTTAGAATAAAATAAGAGGAGTATAGAAATACACCTGTAAATTACTTAAAATTTTAAGGATAAAGATTCATTTAATTATATGAAGTGTAATATTGTGAGTATATTAAAGATTCAAAAAACATTATGACAATGATTTATTGGGATTTGAAAAGTAATTTCCAGTAACAGTTGAAGAGAAAACAAAAAGAAATGAAGACTTTTTTGTTAGAGCAAACAAAAAACTTGAAACTGATAATTTATAGAAGAAATTTATAAAATTATAAAATGAAGGTGAAATAATAGCAAAAATGACTTAATCTGAAGGAAATAAGGATTAAGGTATTTCTATAAAGTCATTGTAACATATAAATGATGTAAAGAATTTGGCTATGGAATTCAATAAGATTTAGTATGTATTTGATGATGAAAAAATGAAAAAAATGAAGAGAAATTCTTTACATTATTTAAGATTCAACAATAAATATAGAAAAAAGAATCAAGATGATAATATTTAAATAGGAGAATTTGAAGATAAATTAGAAAGGATTATAACAAATAGAATAGATTCAATTACTAGAAGGGGAATGACTACTAATATAGATTATGATTAAATAAATTCTTTAAAATAAGTAAAAAATATTTAATTATTAAAAGAAAACTGAAACTGCTAGAAACAAAGAATTCAAAAAGATTAAATCTCATTTTACTCCAAGAATAACGAGAAACAATGAAAGAGCATATACTACTTAATAGTCAACTAGAAAAGTTTTGTTAAAAAGTAACCGTTCTTATAATAAATTATAAAAATGAGGATGAATTATTTTATGTTTAATTAACACTTAAATTATTAATATAATTCTTGATTTAATTTGATACTTTCTTATCTTGTTTCTATACAATGAAGATTAATAAAATAACTGTAAATCTAAGTTAAAAAATTATAATATATTGTATAGAAATAAGCATGCAAATTTAGTATTTTATATATATAAATATATTGCAAACAAATCTTATTAAAAAGTGCAAATTTTTGATCTTGATTAATTATAAATATTATTTAAAGAATAATGCATTATCTTCCACCTGTTCTTTGTACAGAGTAGCCAGCTGAAGAATCAATCTTAATGTAATTCAATTAATAATTGTATGGAAAAGCAGCATTATAAAGTCCAATTTTGTAAATGGAAAATTACTTCTTGAATTCAGATAATAAAGAGTTTACAAAACTAAATGAAGGGTAACCATTATATTAATGATAAATTAGATCGAATTTAAAATCAAAAACTGGATCTTCTTTGATCTAATACTTTCATATAAGACATTTTATTCATTCATTAATGAAAAAGAAAAAGTATTTGACAAAGTTTTCTAAAATTCATTTTAATCTAATAAATGATAATGCCTCTAATTTCAATCTTAAAATATTAAAGACAAATGCATTAAATTTGAAACCAATTTCTCAAACAATATAATAAACATTGAGTAAAACTACAATAAGTAAAAAGAGAAATGAGGAATGGTGGAACAAATTATCATAGATATTAGAGAAGTGTTTAAATTTAATACCAATAGTATATCCAGATGATAAAATGAAAGTTAGATGGGATTGTATTTTAGTATTACCACGCTTTTATTTTATGTGTATAATTCCAGTTGATTTGGCTTGGACTAAAGAATAAGTATTATATGGTTATTCTTTTATTCCAACATTGATATCTTTAGGATTAATAATAATAGATTTCTTTTTTGGGTTTGCTTGTAGTTATTATGAAGATGGATAAATAATAACAAATAGAAAGAAAGTATTTTTGCATAATCTAACAAAATCATATGGAATAGAATTAGCATCAACAGTAGTTATAATCATATTCTTATTTTTATAAGTTTTTTATGATTAATAAGTTGATATATCAAAAGACATATATTATTTATTATTATTATTTTCTTTAGTTTAATATCGAAATATAATGAAAATAAGAGAATAATTAGAAGAAGCATTAAATTTATCTGAATATGGTAGTTCTATTGTAGAACTTGTAAAATTATTGAGTTTAGTTTGTTATGTAATACATATATTTGGTTGTTTATGGTTTTGGGTAATTAATAATTATAATAATATATAGGTTGGTTATTACGGTTCAACATATTTAAATGAGGGATGGTTGGTTGGATAAGAAGTGGTAGATGCTAATTTTGGAACATAATATTTGAGAGCTATTTATTTTTCTACTGTTACAATGTTTACAGTTGGATATGGAGACATAACTCCTAAAACTGAGCCTGAATATATATTAGCTATTATTTTTATGATGGTTAGTAGTATTCAATTATCTTACAGTGTTAGTACTGTAGGAGCTGTACTTGAAAAAATTACTTCATTTAAAGAGATTAAATAAAAAAAACTGAGAATTATTAATAATTTTATGGCAAATAAATAAATCAATTTTAAACTTTAATTTTAAGTTAGGTAGTATCTAAGTTATTATTGGAATAAATAATAAGATGAAGAAAATTAAGCTGAAACTGAAATTATTGATTAATTAAATCAAACTTTGAAAGAAAAATTAATATATGAGGCTAATTCTCGTATTCTTAATTAATGTAAATTAATTAAAGATAATTTCTCTGAAAAATTTTAAAAGAAATTAGTTGAAAAAATTACATCTCAATTTCTATAACCAGAAAGTCATATTGATTTCTCAAAGTTTTTAAAAAGAATTAAAAAAGTTGAAAAATCTGAAATTTAATGTTTATGTTTTATTGAAGAAGGAAAAGTTGAATCCTTTATAGAGGATCCTATTACTTAAAATATTATTGCTTCAAATATTAATAATTATGAATCAGGAAAATGTTTTAATGAAATTTCATTTTTAACTGGATAAGATTTAAAAGAAAAATTTAAAACTTTAGAATTTACTAAATTACTTGTATTATCAAGAAAAGACTTTTTAGATACTCTTAAAGATTTTCCTTAAGATTTTGAAAAATACAAAGAACTTGTTGATGATCTCAATATAAACAAATAAATGGAAATGTTAAAAGTAGAATGTTAATCATGTCAATCTTATAAACATCGAACTGTAAATTGTCCTATTATTCATTATGTTCCAGATAAAGAAGTTATTATTAAAAGATGTTTTTATCCATCAATATAATAAAGAAGACATATAAAAAGATCTAAAACTAGAACTAAACCAACATTTAAAATATAAAAGTTAGTTGCAATGTAAGCAAATAAAATGTATCATTCAGTTACAATAGATCCTAATTATTGCAATATTTATGATTTTTAAGATGATTAATAAATTCCAGTAGTTCTTGATCCTTAAATAATCTATCAAACTGTATAGCCCCCCTAGAATTAAAAATTGGATTATGAAGAAGAAAATGATATTTCCATTCTAGCTAATTAGTAACCTGAATCGCCAAAATAAAGATAAAATTAAAAGAATTTGACTTATACCAAAATTAATAAAAATAAAAGAACACCACAAAAGCTATTTCGTAAAACCTTTAATGTAATTAGAGGTGCTTAATTTTGGACTAAAATAACAAAATAAAAAAAAAACTTTTCTTTATCTTATGAAAATCAAATTAGGGAACTTCAATTAAGAAAAACATTAATTAATGAATAAATTGATTTAGTTCCAAAATCTATCTTAGATGATATTTTCTTTATAGAATAGAAGTTTTCGTAGATTCTAAAGCAATAATAAGTAGAAGATTAATTCGATTAAATCAGAGATTTTAAAAAGTATAGACCCTAAGATAATTTAATGTAATAAATCTATAAATAAGATATGATTAATGAAAAGTTTTCACCAAATGAATTGACTTTCTTCTAAAAAATTAGAGTAAAATTGAGTAGATTTATGAGCTTCCCCTAATAATATATATTAAGATATAAATATCCCTTATCTATTTCATCAAAAATTGGCCTTGTGATTGATGAAAAAAAAATGAAAAGATCAACAAAAAATAAATCCAGAATTAAAAAAACATTAACCAAAAAAACATAATCCAAAAAAAAATGAGATATAAAAAATCATCCATATAAAATATTTGTTAATTTATGTATATTTTTAATTATTATATTATTATAAAATTTAAAATAGTAAAACATCCTCATTTCTTTTTATTTTTTAACGAAAATTACTTTACAAAAATATGACTATATATATAGTTTAAAATCAAATAATTGAATCTGAAATTAATTTTAAACTACTAACTAAAATTTTTTAAATGAAAATATATTAAAAAAGAATGTCTATCAGCTTTAGAATAATGTTTTTAGATTTTTATAAAGAAAGAGGAATATTTATCATTTTCAATAATAATGCAGTTGAAATATTATGTTTTTTTTTATTGAATTTTCAATTATGATTGTCGGAATTTATATATATAATTTTATATCATTTATTTTCTGAATTAAGTTATTAAAGAGCCTATCGACTTGCATTTTCTAGTAATCTAATATTTTCTTTAAACTTTTCATTAGTCTCTTCAAGCATTTATCTTTTCATCTAAAATAATAAAACTTAATTTTGATACTTAAATTATTTATTTTTCTTCCTCTCTTTTTTTCAATTACTATTAAAATTATTTCTTAATCATATCCATTTCATTCTTGGATTCATCCAAATATTTTTTTTGATCTTATAAATATTTCTTTACATCATCAATCTATCTATCATCTAAAACTCTATTGAATCGATTAAGATTAAAGTTAAGTTCATCTATTTTCTTTAAGTTTTGACTCTTATTAATAATTTAGCTAATCATTTTATCTTAAGCATCAAATATATAATTATAATTTTTGAATAATTCTGTTAAATTTTTACAAGCCTTTATTTTACCACCTTCTCCTTCTATTTCAATATCCTCTTCATTTAATTGTAATTCATATTATTAATCAAACTTTTTCATTAACTCCTTAAATGTTTATAAATTTTCTGTAAGCATTTAAATAGCTTATTTTCCATTTGTTTCTAAAGGAACTTTATACAAATCAGTTTTAAATTAATGCATATTTTATAAAGGATTATCTAATTCTTAAGGAATATTTTCATCTCCAAAATCAATTTTCCTTCTCTTAATATATACTTCTCTTCTTATTTATAAAATTTCTCCTAATTCATTATGAATTTTAATTAAATTCTCTCTTAATTATTCATTCTCTCTTAAAAGTTTATTATTAACTTCTTCCCATTTTTTCATTACTAATTAACTAAATTCATATTCTCCATTTGCAGCAAATAAACTAGGTCCACCTTATTCTATAGGTTATGTTATTTCTACACTATTCTTATATGTTTTAGTAGCTTATTATTTTTTTATGTGTTCCTTAATCTTTTATATTTCAAGATCGCGCTATTTTAACTCATGTTCAAATTATGTAGAACGACTTTATAATTTTGATAATTATTTTTAATAGTCTTCCTTCTCGGCCATTAATTTGTTTCTATTTTTAAACAATTATTTATACATTTATTCTTTTGATACTTTCTCTGCACTTTTTATTTTTGCAATTAAATTAACATTTTCTTATTCAATTGTTTTACGAGAATTACTTACTCTCTCTAAATTTTAAGATAATTATTGCTTTTCTGCTTCAATTTTACTTATCTTCTCATGATAACAATTTTTGAAATCCATATCCTCTCTTCTTTATTTAATAATTGCAACTAATCTATATAAATTATCAATTTTTTATTACAATTTTACAGTCAAATCAACTTCAGAATTATTATTACTATATAAATCTCCTAAAGGTGGAAAACCCATCATTATTAGTTTTTCTTTTACATTTTTTATTTGGTTTTATAGGAAATCTCTTTTATACTCATCATCAAAGTTTGATTCTATTTATTGCTCTTCTTAACTTTCTTAAGCTTAAAATGAATAGGTATTACGAGGCTAAGGTTCTTAAAATTTCTCATCAAAGAGGTATTTCTTATAATTATCCATTTTTGAATTTAAAATAAATAATTCAAACAGTCATTAAACTCATAATTATTTACAAGTTCAATATACCATTTAATCAATATCATAGTCTTAAATATAAAATTCTAAAAGATGAGATAACATTTATACATAAAAATAAAATTTTAATTAATACTTTTTTCATTAGATTTCAAAAAAGAATCATTCAAATATCATCAAATTTAGTTATAAAATTATTATGCTTTCTGAAAATGTAAGAATATTAATAATATTCTCTCAAATTATTAGATTTTAAAATTGATCATTTTAACTTATTTTCTGAATTAAAACTTATATTATTTTTTACATTATAGTTTCTCATATTATATGGGCAATATACTAATAAAATAATAAAGTTCTTTTCAATCGAATTAATACATATCTAGCTGATTTTTACAAATAAATATTTTTTTATGTTCTCTATTTTCTAACTTGATTTGTGTCAAGTAATTTGAAATATCTCTTTTTCTGTTTGGTTTGTTAAAAATTATCTTTAGTACCATTTTCAAAGACTCCCCAAAAATAAACTTTTATCATATTATCTGAGGTATAGGTTTATTCTTTCAAGATATTATAATAATCTTATTCGAAATATTCTTTAAACTTTCAGAAACATTATTGAAAGGTTTTGACTATTTCATATGAAATCTTTGACATGTTTAGAAAATCTTATATTATAACAAACAGAGTTTTATTATTTGGCATTTTAGTAGCTAATAGGCTGAAAAACTATTTCTTAAATGTTAAATACTATATATCTTAAATTATTTTTAAATTATTAATAATCTAATTGCAACTAATTTTAAATAGATTTTGACATATTTTCAAGTCTCATTAATAATTATTAATATAAAATAAATAGTATTATTAACTTATATATGAGTTAATAAAATAAATTGAGATAGAATAACAATTATTTTTATAGGTTAGGTGTTTAAATGAAGATAAATATTATTATATAAGAGGTTAAACACTTAATTTCTAGTTATTAAAATGAAATATTTAAATAATTTGTGAACCAAACTAATTGACTTCTAAAATAAAATTCATAAGAAGTGCATTAAAAAATTTTAATGTAATTTGATTTGCTTAAATTACCTTATTTCATATAAATTAAAGATTTTATTTATATAAATGATATTTAGAAGATCTTATTATTGTTTTGGTTTCGTATTAAAAAATAATATGGTAAATTGATTTAACTATTGATTATGAAATAATATAAATGATAAATTATATTAATTTTACGATAAAACATGCTTGACAAAGATGATTCATCACCTCTAAAGTTTTAAGGTTAATAACAAGAATTTAAAAAACAGAAGAGCCAACGATTTACTATATCTAATCAATTGAAGAAGAGTTCTACAAGATATTTTAAGGAGATGAAAAGTCTTAAATCACATCGCAAACAAACAATATTATAGACCTCAAAAAGTTTTCAACCTAAAAAAAAAAATGAGGAGAACTCCTCAGAATCTAGTGAATGCGATAATATTGATGAAAAATCACAGTTAGAAGAAAAAAAAATAGCAGTTCCTAATTTGAGTTTTAAAAAGGGGCTGATGTTTTCACATTAGCAACCAGAATAATTAACTCATAATTGTTCAGATCTATAACTTTTATCAAATAAGCAGCATTATTTTATCAAAAATATAAAAAAATGTTTAGGTGATTAAAGCTTTATTGGAGATATGAATTCTTAAGAAAACTTATTATCTAGAGACTAAGATTCCTTTTAGAATAGAAGCATCATTAATGGCTTATCAATTCAACACAATGAAGAAAAATAAGAATTTTCTCCTGAAGTTGATCCAAAAATACTAAAAAAATATAAGAAACATGCTGAACGCAACCCCTTTGAAGATCCATACTATGTTGTTCTAACACCACTTCATGGGTTAGAGCGATTAAGATATGAATTAGATGTAATAGAAATCATACTATTTTAGAACTACAATGACCATTTTAATTTTCTAAAAATAAGAAAATACATAGTTTATTCTTGTTTATGCATCCCTATGCATTTTTAAAGAATCTTAGATAGTGTCATATTTAAAATTATAAATGGTATTCTCATTATTTGTAATCTAACATTTTTTACATTAAGTAAATCATATCCACCAATTACGAATGAGGAATACAAATAAATTATTTTTTATTGCTTTGCTATTGAAATGGTAATCAGGATTATTGCAGCAGGAGGAATCTACCCAACTATACGTTTCATTTATAGCAAAGAGGACATATTTAATTTAGTATGTACATTAATTAGCTTTTTACATTATTTTTATCCTTAAAACATTTCTTTTGATGTTTCCCCATTAAGAATTATCACAATATTATTATATTTGGGAGATGGATTACTAAGACTTAAATATATGTTGATAGCTTTAAAGAAATCATTAATATTTTTAGCTGAGGCTCTATTTATTTTACTTATATTATCTCTCTTTTTTTCAATTATTGGAGTTTCTTTGTTTTAAGGATTATTTAATTATCGATGTTAACCTATGATAGGGGAAAAAATCGATGAGTGGGTTTAATGTTATTAAAATATTTGTCCTGATGGAATGATTTGTTTGTTCACATCAGAAACACCTAAAGTTCCAACATCTTTCAACAATGTCATTTTTTCTTATGGTTAGATTTTAAGAACCATAACAACAGATGATTGGACTTGGGTGATGTTCTTTACTATGAGAATATTTCATCCTTAAATATGGATTTATTATTTAGGAATTATTTTTTTATGTGGCTTTTTTTCGATCAATTTAATGATAGCTGTTCTTAAAATACATTATTCAGAGGCAACAATAGAATGTGAAGAGAATGAAAAACTATCTAAATAAAAAAATGATCATAGTTTAATAAGACAGGAAATGTTTCTTAGTAAAGATGTGATTTCTTATTTTGATTTGTCATTTTTAAGATATATTGGATTTTATTCTGTTTTGAAAAAACATTAACAATTACTTAATACTTCTAAGCCTATAAATGAATTGATTAGATAGGAATTTAAACATGAAAAACTAAATAATTATTTAAGATTATTGTCATCTAAATAAAAAAAAATAATAGATGAAGCAAAGTAGGTATTTAATTAAATAATTTTAGAAATATGTAAAGAGATCTTTTTGGAATAATTTAAAAAATTTATCTATTAAATAATTACTTTTACCTAAATTTAAGGATCTATAAATAGAATAATAAAAAATCAATATAAAGATGTATTCAGATGACCCAATTGAAATTTCAATACTTTTAAAATTAAATGAATATTAATTTACTCAATTCAACAATTAAGTTGATTATCATGTAGATTAGAAATTTAAAAGTCTTAAGGATGTATTGATATAAAAGAAGAGGTATTTATGTATATAATAACTAGAATTGGGCATAAAGTTAAAATAAAAATTTATTATCAACCTTTGTTTACAAATAAAGAAATAAAAATTGCACCACGTTAATAATCAGATGTATCCTTAAGTCGATATCCAATACATAAGAGTACTAGAAGAATCACTGTTTAAAGATCTTTTAGTATTTAAGAAGAGAGTCATGGAACATAATCATTATAAATTAGATCTAGATAAAATGATACTTTAGGGACTATTAATTAAAATTAGAGAATGCCTTTTGAACTAATTCGAGGAAAGAAAAAATATTTATATATCCAAGGTTTTTATATAGATTATGATTAAATATAAGAGAAAATAAATACAAAAATACCAAAAACTAAGTAAATAATAGATTCAAATGAAGAAATATATTTATAAATATTTTAGAAAGAAAGAGAACAAAAGATTATTAAATCAAAAAATTGGTCAGGTAATAATGTTCTGTAACTGAATCATATTAGAATTTAATAATTTCATGAAATTTTTAATAGTCTAAATAATTATAACCCTCTTATATGGATGCCAACACTTGGTGGCAAATTGCTTATTTTAAGAAGGTATACTCTTATATTTATTGATAATAAAATCTCAAAACTTTTCTTTGATTTTATAATTCTTATAAATTTTATTTTTTTGTCTTTATATGGAATAGTTGATGTTAGTGTAATTTAAATATGTGAAGATATATCAACTATATTTTTGTTAATTGAAATTGGTATTTAAATGTTTACTTTTCCATTGAATCGATTTTTTTCAAGTAAAGAAAATATACTACAGGCTATAATTATGATTACCAGTTTTATTGAATTTAGTTTTAGTGAATATTTCTAAATAACATAGTAATATTTGAGAATGATTAGAGGAACTAAATGCATTTTATTTTATAGATGTTTAAAATATAATTAAATGGCTGTATTAATTGGTAAAATAGCAACTATAACATTTAAACAATACATTTATTTGACTATATTTATGTTTATAATGATAGCAATATATGGCTTGATTGGAATGGAACTTTATGCTGGAAAATTCGATTAAAATGATGCTTAAGGATAATTGCACTCCTTTGATAATCCATTAAAGGCTGGTATGACAATTTTTGATATTATGACAAATGATGAATGGTATGGAGCTTTTGTTCTTGGATCTTAAATTAATTTGACAGCTGCCTATATATTTTCATTTTCCATGGTTATAATTTTAAACTATTTAACATATGGTTTAGTTTTAGCAATTTTATTAGATGGATTTGGGAGATATTTAGAATAGAAAAATGATTTGGAAGGTAATGAAAATTAAATATTCTAAAACTAAAGTTCAATTAATAGAGAAGAGGAAGTACTGAATACAGAAATAGATTCAATGCATGATTTAAAAGTTAAATCTTAATTTTTTTTATAAATTTAAATTTCAGAATAATTAGAAGATAAAGAATAACCCAAAATTAAAATAGATATAATCAAATCATTTTAGAGATCTTTAAGTATTAAATATTTATTATATTAGAGTAATTAAGTAAATAGATCATGATGACATATCCAAAGTTATATTAAGATATTGAATGTGAAACAGCCTTGTATTTCTTTCCAAAAAACAGCCAATTAAGAATTATTTGTTGCAATATCTGTATGTCTAAAATATTTTTATGCTTTTCTAATATTGTAATGATTTCCTCTATTTTTATAATGATTTTAAGAACTTATCATGATTACGAAGATTAAAAAAGCTCATATCCATACATAATCCTAGCAATTTTGAATGTTTTTAGATTTTTAGAGGATATTATTTCAATAATAGCTAAAGGTCTATTTATGGATAAAGGTAGTTATTTAAATTATTCTTGGTAATTAATCGATTTAATTTATTTGATTGCATTTTTTATTGATACTTACAAATCAAATAAATTAATTGATATCTGTTTATTTTTTGGACATTTTAGGCCAATGAAACTTATGTATAGAATTAAATGGCTTGAAAATATAAGGGCTGCTTTAGCTTAATCATTATTAGATATGATAAAAATTTTAATAACTTTAATATCTGTTTGGATAATGTTTGGTGTTTTTGGTATAATTCTCTATGAAAGTTAATTTGGATTTTGTGAAGATAAGATGCAATTTAATGTTAATATATAGTAATGTAATGAAACTAATAGAAAATGGATCAATTATAAACATAATTTTGACAATATAACTATTGCCTTGCCAACTTTATTTGTAGTATCAACATTTCGTGGATGGGGGGAAATTATGTAAGTAGCTGAAAATAGTAGATAAAGTAATTTAGGACCTTCTCCATTTGCTTCTTATTTATCTACATATGCATATTTCATTTCATTTTGTTTTATTGGTTCCATGTTTTTTCTCAGTTTTTTTACTGGAACATTATTCTCTAAATTAAGAGTAAATTAATAAAAAATAGAAATGTAAAATATGACTAAATTTTAAAAAGAATTTGTTGAACTATGCCCTATAATTTTAAAAGATTCTCCTGGATTTTCAACTCCTCCAACTAATCTTATTAGAAGATTATCATCATCTATTGTTAATAATTTGATTAATTAAAAAATCATGTTTTTGTTACTATTGGTTGATTTAATTTGTCAGTTGTAATATCATTATGATATGGATTAAGAGAAAATAAGAAATCTTAACCTAATTTAGAGATTTCTAATTCTTTTTTATGGAATTTGGATTATTTTACTATTTATGTAATTAGGTATTAATAGATACTTTGATAACTATTGGAGAAGATATTATATTTTTTTAATTCTCATATCACTTTTTGATATAATTGCTGATTTTCAATATGACTGGGTTATCCTCTACTATAATTCAAATGTATATTCATCGAATTATTAAATATTAAGATTAGCTTTTATGACTAGATAATTTAGGCTTTTAGTAATATTTCAAGGATTAAGTAATTTATAAAGATTGATCAGAGTAATGGGTTTTGCTTTACCTTTTTTAGCTAAATTAATCTCAATCTTAATTATCACAATGATAATTTATGCTTTAATTGGTTGTTAATTATTTGGAAAAATAAAAAAAGGAGCAGTTATTGATGAATATATTAATTTTACAAATTTTGAATATGCTTTATTAGCATTATATAAGTGTGCCTCAGGAGATAATTTCAGAACAATTATGACTGATACTATGCATCATAATCCATTTTGTAATGAAAATCCAGATTATTGTGGATCAGAGTTTAATTAACTTTATTTCATTACATTTATGCTTATATCTAATAATGTTCTTTTAAATTTATTTGTTCTAGGTTTGATAGAATAATTTGAGGAATTTTTTCAGGCATAAAATTCAATGATTCAAACCTATGTTGAATAAATAGATAAAATAAAAACTACTTGGTGTAAATATTCAGCTGATAATAATGGTTAAAGTATGCATTATAAATTTTTATGTCGATTCTTACTAGATATTAGTTAACCATTAGGAGGAGAAAAAGAAGATAATTTATGGGATGCTGCAAAATTAGCATCAAAATTAAATCTTAGAAGGTATATATATATTTTAAATAATTAGTGATCCGTATGGTTATATTCAGTATAATCAATTGTTATATCATTTGTTTAGACGTTGCTATCATTAGGATATTTTCAAGGATGGATCTTAAGAATCAATTAGTAACATTAAACAATTCCATAAGGAAATGCAAATTAGATTAATTTATTATAGAAGAAACAAAGCTTAGAAAAGGAGTAGTATTTATTTAAATAATTTACAATTTAAATCTAATTTTAATATTCTTCATGATTATCTAAATGTTTTAATCTTATTTAAAACATGGTAATCTTACTCAAAGTTATTAATCTAAAAAATTATTAGAAGATAAGATTATTATACAGAAAGCGATGAAATGACAATTGATTTAGAGTATTTTAATCCATAATTGTATTTTATATTATTTATTTTAGTCGACAAACTGATTTGTAATCTGATGGTTTTAGTTTAAGAAGATCAACTGACATAAATTTCTAAGATAACTTAACAGGTCATCATGTTTCTAGATTAAGTCATGAGTCTTAATAATAATAACCATAATTACCTATTTACTAAAATACTCTTTAATAGGAAACAGATAGAATATATGGAGGGTTCGATGAAAATGTAATTTTAGGTTTCAAAGAAATAAGATTTAAACATTTTAATAATTGATTGTATACTAATAATTAATCATACCTTTTAATCATAATATTCCAATCAAAATTATCTCATAACCTTACTTCTACCAAAAAAATGTCTTTAAGTACCTATAAGGTTTTCTTGAGGAATTTCTTCAAATTCAAATTAAACAATTAAAAAATACTTGCATTTTATAAATTTGAATTAATCATCGATAATCAAAATTAACTTCACAAAATATGCATTAAAGTTTATATTTATTTAATTTTCTTATTAATATTAATCCACTAAATTAAACAGTTTTTAAATTTCTTGATTGACTAATCTTTCTATATCTTCTTTAATTTTCTATTATTTTATTTTTGAATCACATCTTACCTTCTAAATAACTTCATTCTTAAACTCCATCAATTTTTAAAGCTTAATCTTCCTTATGTATGATTATTTTAATTATAAGATTTCTTAAGGTAAATCATTTGAATAAATGTCAATTTAAGTATTAATATCTATGAGATATTAAATATTAAACCACAAAAATAGAAAATATTAATAGAGATGAATGTGAGCCTAAAATAGAAAGATTAAGATCTATGGAATTTAATATGCATTACACATTATACCAAGATAAAAATGAACTTTTAAGGTATAAAATTAAAAATATACTTTTAAAGTAACATTGAATAAATTGGTGAAATTTCATTAAACCTTTTATACAATAATAAGTAATTTCAGTCAATGAATTTATTTTAAAATATAAAAAGATTGACATCCTATCTAATTGATCATATAAAAGTAATAACCTTTTAGATTTATTGTAAAATTTCTTATCTCTTTGCCAACAAACTGTTATTTAATTATTTCGATTTATCAACCATGATAATCTTCAATTGATTCATAATTTAATTTATTTGTATTTTGGTCTTAACTTTCCTGTAAATTGTTGCTTAAATAATTTTGATTTTGAATTCTAAAAAATTGTTTATATAAGTTCCATAATCAGTATTAGTTGAGGTGAAAGTTTTTATATAAGAATCCTCGTCATTATTCACTTAATTTTTATGATATTAATATTGTACATCATTAAAAATATTTTTAATTACAAAAGTTTATGATAATTCCAATATTTTTAGTTTCTTTACCACCTAATCTACTCGTAATTCTAGTTAATAATTAAGATGATTCTAATTCAGGTGGATTAAATCCTTAAGTCTCTTTTTTCTCAAAATTTATTGTTTTCCTCTTTTTATCTTTATCTTCTGAAGATATTCAGTTAATATTATTTGTTAAATTACAAATCATTAATAAACTAATCTTTAGTCATAGTTATGCATGTATTTAAACATTAAACATCCTTGATCATTTTTAGACAGTAGATTCCATAGAACAAATAATTAAGACACATAATTTTGATCAAAATAATTACATATTTTAGGAGTAAAATATCATTTATAATCTATTGTCCATATAATAAACAACACTGATAAAATTTTTTGATATTAATTGAACTTAATTTTATTTGATAATACATTTTTACATAGCGTAAATAATTATATTAATAATATGACATGGCTTTGATGGTTAGAATTTATTTAATTTAAAAAAGAATAATGAAAAATCGTATTATTTTAAAATGAGAAGAAAATATTAAATATTTAAAAATTTTTAATCATCAGTTTCATAATAGTAAAAAGTCATTTATAATGTTATAAATAATCTAAAATTTTAGGATATGGAATTTGATTATTTATAAAATTTGAATATGTTAAATGTCATGACGCATCATTAAAGAATGATATATTATAATTTCAATATTAATATTAAATTTTCTATCCATCATCAAAATAAATAAAATTAAGTTAATGGAAAAGCAATAAGAGAATGGCTAATAAAGTTTAATGTCTTTATGGAGCAAAAGGACTTCTATTGAAACTAATTAAAATGAAGCTCCTTCTGTCGAATATGAAACGAGTACTTAAAACATTTTAAAGTATCATTTTGTTATTGGAATGTTAAAACCTGGATAAAAAAGGATAGGTTTAATAGCTATCAATAAAAATAAACTATCAATTGCAGGCATTTTAGGAATAAAGAAATTTAAAAAATGACTGGATTCTCTATAATTGATAATCTCAATTTAAGGATTTTGCTTAAAATAATTAATAATCTATAATATCGTTTTTTATATTAAAAATCAAGTTGTCCTTTGATTATTTATGAAAGAATAACCAGTCTTGATTTTTTTTAGAAAATTTACTTCCTCTTCTTTAATGATGGTTAAATTAAACTGAAATTCTTTTTATTCGAATAAATTGCTCAAAGCCTTGTAAATAATAATTTAAATATTTATATAATAGATATTAAATGATTTATGAAACTAGTTAATTAAGATTCTTTAAATAAATAACTTACTTATTTCCAATTTTTAAGATAACCTTAAGAAGGAAGAATAGAGACTTATCTTAACCCATAAAAGTAGTGAGTTAAGTAAGATATAACATTACACTTATTATTTTTTTCTTGAGTAATGTAATGTTATCTAAAAGGGATTGAGAATCATTGTCGTTATCATTATGGGTATGCCTATAAATAATTTTGAATTAATAATTTTTAGATTCTTTTTCATCTCCCAAGAAAATTTTCAATAATAACATATAAAAATTTTTGAAAATTGATTCTTATCCATACATCGTAACATATTTATTATCCTAAGTATTACAATAAGTTTAGATTTATATATGTTCTATTGATTAATCCAAATATTAAATTTAATGATACTCAATTAAAAAAATATTTAGTAACTTCTAGTATTTTCTAAAGGATATTTAAGGCTACAATTAAACCGATATTAAAAATTTCAAATTATGCTGATTCTCGGAGAAGCGTATCTTTATATTGATAAGATATCTTGATTGTTAAATAAAAGATTGATTTTACTTAGTGCAATTAATTATTATATATTATTGCATGTAAATTAAATTAGCCCCTAAAAGAGTTTGGCTCCTTAGATTTAAATTAATAATATTTATTTCAGCTCTTTTAAGATTTAAATTTATAATTATATGCCATAAATCAAGTCTATTATTGTACAATTAGATAATCTACAATGAATTTATATTTTCAAACGACAGCATAATATTTTTAAATTTATTTATCAACATCTAAATCTAATTCTAACTTTGATAATGGCAATAAAACATAAAAAATAGAAAAATGCACATTGATACTTATAATATATTTGATAGGCAAGCTAAAACTCAAAAAGGAGATAAAGTTTATTATTATCATTATTAAAGCTTTTATCCTAAACATATTTTTTTTTTCTCTTACCTATCTAAAAATAATTATCCAAAACTTAATTCTTTTTTAATATATAATATTCAATGGAAATACTATTTTAAATACCTCCACCCTTACTTAAATAATATTCAACTCTTACAAATTCATAACTTTATCAAATAGCTCTCCAACATCTCTAAGATCCAGATACTTTACAAAATGCCCTCCTAATTTTTTATGTATCACTTTACTCATAATCAATAGCATATCCCTCAAGAACATCATAATATATATTCCCTACTTTTAAATCAATTCATAAATTTCTTACGACATTCTAATCTAGAAATTTCTAATATTGCTCTAGCTTTAATCTCAAACTTGATCGAAAAGAGATATAACTTTTAATCCCTATTTATGTAAATTGTAGAATCACTTCTCAATATTATAAGATGGGATTTTTCACTAAAATCTGCTTAATAGGCATTTGAATATGCCACTATGTTATTAAATGCTCCCTTCCCTGATCTTCATAATTTTATCAAGATTCTTGAACCAACATCATTTAAAAAATATTACTTTATCAATAAAGAAAATATCAATATATTTGGTCTCTTAAAGGCTTTATAATTATTTTTATCACATAATTACATTTATTAATATGCTATCGAATTAATCGAAATAACATAAAGAATTGCTAGACATTAAAATGAATAAATTAGATCATACGCTTTAAAATTTATACATTATTTAGCTAATTTTTAAGAAAATTAAATTTTTAAAGAACTCATACACGCAACTCTTTTAGCAGGCTTAATGGATGAATTATTAGAAATTAGATTTTAAGCTTTAAATGAATTAAAACATCTCAATCCTTAAGATAAAGATCAACTTTTAATTCTATTATATAATCATCTCCATTGTGATGATTTGAAAAAAGTTTCAGAAACCATTTCTTAATAATTTTTCCCATTCTAATAAGAATTGTTGAGCATTATTCATTAAAAAAAATTAAATGAATGTATTATCCATTGTTTCTATTCAACCATTAGTAGAAATTGGAAAATTAGAAGATCTGGATTAAAAACACTTTTATCAATCGTTTTACATTGTTAGAATAGAGATTTACCAATAAATGAAATCTTAAAAGTTGCTCAAAATTGCACTTTGTTTGAAACTGATTTCAATGTAAAATATTATGGATTTAGATTAATGTACCAAATCATTATTTTGGATTAGAATTAAATAACACAATTTTAAGATTAAATAATTTAAAATTGTTTATTTAATTTTAGTGATGATTCATAAGAATGTCAAGAGTTATGCTTAAAAATACTTATAAATTTAATTTCTTATTAGAATTTAATTCCACAATTAATACTAAAAACAGATTAAATACTAAATAAAGAATTGGCATATAAAGATTTAAAGGAAAAAATATAAATAATGGAAAAATTTTAGAAACAAAGTTTAAATTAATCATTTTCAGAAGAAATTAAAGAAGAAAAAATAATAAAACATTAATTAAATATATTTTTAGGGATAATTCTATGTTTAATATAAATTATAAAATTTAAATTTGATGAAAAAACATTGCATTAAGTTATCTAAATGATTTGTTAAGGATTGTAGATCAAGATTCTATAGTAAGAAGTTGTTTATAATTTTTTATTAAATCAATTGAAATAAATTTAAATGTAATAAAAAGAGTTAGTGATAAATTTAATAATATAATCTAATCTGATAGATATTTTAAGATCAAATAATGAAATAGAAGTAGTAAGAATGATTTATAAAATCTTAGGGACACCAATTTTGAAAGAATAATGATATTGTATTATATTTTAATAATTTTTAAACTGTTTCAAAAATAAGTCATCAAAAGTTGGCTCAAAATTGTGTGACTTTCATCGGTGATGGATATTTTACCAAATTATTAAGCTAAAATAGAATCGATGTAGCTAAAACAAAAGGAGAGGAGACAGATTTAAATTCAGGAAATAGTTAAATCAGTTACAAAATCAAAAAGTAAACAGAAAAAAATTTTAAAAATATGATATTCAAATTTTTATGAAAACATCATTTTATTATCTTTCTAATCTTTCTACTAAGTCTTTCTATTCACTTGGTGTAAAAGCTTATAAGCCTTATAATGACATATCGATATGCACATATATTGTAGAATTATTTAAACTATATAATAATCTCTTGAGTTCATTTTTCACAAATAAACACCTTTTCAAAATCATTTTTAATCCTGTGAGATTTTAAAAATAGTATTGCTAAAAATCTAAATAAATATTTTCAAAAGTAATATCCAGAGTTTTTAATTATGTGCTTATTAAATTTGTTTAAAATTAAAAAATCTAAGGGTTGCATTATTTAAAATAGATGCCCTGAAAAATTTCAACTTAGAGAACTTTTGAAATAATGTATGGCAATCATTTAAAATGACATTACCTGAAACTTCAAAATAAAATTAATCGAAATCGTACCTATCTAACCTTAAAAATTATTCATCTACATTAAAATTTGTTTATTAAGCTATTGCAGCTCTATTATTGTGTTATGGTGTAATTTAATAGTATGAAAAAGAAAAGGCTTTTAGAAAACTTTGTCTTTCAACAACAATTTACATTGACTATACGATAGTAGATTCTATTTGGAGTTGTAAAAATTGTAATTTTTATGGACTATTACTAAGAATTGCATTAATATGAGGAATATGGGCGGGATCAACTTCGTTTAAATAAAAATTCAATTTAATTAATATAGTGGACTCACTTTTAAACATCTTATTAAATCATTTAATCCAGGTCCCATAAAAAATAATCTTTATGCTTAATCAATTTCCAAAATTGATTGTTATTGAAGCAAGAACATATCTAAATTAAGCTAAAAACTTTTTTTTTTTAATCTACATAATTAGAAAAAATTAATGTTTTTAGCTTAATTTTAAAAGTAAATTTTTCTTTTAAATACTTTTCCTTAACTATTGAAACAATTTAAAAGGATTTAGGATATTCCAATAGAATTTAATTTGATATTGAGCTTAAATACAAAATTGATTAAAAAAATTAATCCACTGAAACTGTGCTCAAAAATTAAAGCTGGAATAAAATAATATTGCAAATATACTTTCTTTCATTTGTTAAATAAAAGATATAACCCATGTTCCAGTAACTTCTTTAGATGATAATGATAAAATATAGACAAAAAACTAAGGAATCTTATTCAAAGCTTCTTCAACATTTGTTCTCCACACTACAGCCTAATAGAATGGTTAATTTATAATTTCTAAAAAATTCTTCATATCAATCGCTACCATATTAAACTGAATACCAAGGTGGCTAAGCTGCCTTAAATTTTGAGGCATAATTTTTGAACTTTATGTATGCAACAGAACTAAACTCTCTTTAACAACTTAACGGAATCTATCTAGAAGTAAAAATAAACAAATCATAACTATATCCCAAACCTTGAAAAAGTTAAATATTCCAAATAAAAACACTTAAGACATTAAATGTTTAGAATACTTTTTAAAATACTGCAAATGACACCATCTATAAAATTGGATTAATTGAAGTTAAAATTATTAATGAATTATAAACATATCATTTTCCTCACTCAAATAGATGATAGAAACTATTTACAAAGCCACATTTCACAATGACCAAATAATTTTAATACTTAAATTAAAACCAATTCAATTTATTCCAGGTTTGATAATAATCGTATAAAGTCAAAAAAAATTTAATATTCCTAACTGTCTATTAAAATAGGGTTTTTTTTATTATAGTATTAATTTCTATCATTGCTTCTTCAATAATTTCTTAAGACGTTTCTGCTAATTTTTAATATTATTATTAAATAACAATCAACCTATTGCCTCCTCTAAATTATCCTCTTTAGTCAGTTATTGGAATCAATGATCAAAATTCTTCAGATATTTTTATGTAATTCCTTTAAATAGATTAATTTTATCTTACTGCTTACCAACCAGCAGTTATTTTTGGATTTCAATAAATGATATCCCTTATACTTTCTCCTCTTCTGCATTAGGATCCAGTATTTCAGAATCCCATAAAATATCAAGATTTTAGTAATGTTAAAATTCAAAAACTAAGTTTGGAATATTCTAAAATATATTCTACAAAAATCTTAAGCGATTTTAATCATGGTATAAAAGACTTACTCTTTCTATTTTAATCTATTGGCTAAATATTCAAACTAATATCTTCATATTAATCAATAAAATGAAATTAAACATTTTTACATTTTTTCTATTTAATTAAGCTTTTTATTATTTAAATCATACATCTTTTTTTTTAATAAGGGGTGAATCTACTTGGATCAATATGGAAATAAAATGATTCCACAAATCCCATATATTTTTAATTAGATTTTAACAATTATTTTGTTTTTTAAATGAATTTTAATTTGATTTTTTTTAACTTAAATTATAATTCTGTTTACATTAATCTATAGGTTATAGTGAATACAATAAATTGTTATTCGAAAAAGTAATAGATTAAGTTAAATATTAAAATAAAAAACTAAACACATTAAACGCATCCCATAATCCTATTTGTGTGTTATAAAATCCTTAAATAAAAAGTTAAGGAATTGTTTAAATAGTCATTGTTATCATCATGGAAAAAAGAGCTACTCTATGAAATATTAAATCCCTAACCATTATAACAGATTTCGTTCTTTCTTTAAAAAGAATACATGGATTTCTAAATTTATCTTCCCCACTTAACTATAAATATTTATTTATTTCACTAAATGAGAATTATCTAATTGATTCATCTCTATTGTAAAAATAAATTATAGGATTTATTTTTAAATAACTCAGTCCTCCCATAATCATGTAAAATAGATAGTAGGCAATTTCAATAAAAATACTTTGTTTAGCAACACTCCTAAATTTTGAAGTAAAATACATAAAGCAATAGAGAAATTATAGCAAAACAAGAATGCTTCATCATACGAGTATCATAAGCTAATGTAAAGCCAAGTTCAAATATATTTAAAAAATAAAAAAATCCCTGGAAACCTATTTTAGCATAGTATTTATAAATGCTTGAACTTCTCATAACCTCTTTGAAACGCCTTTCTATCAACTCTTACTCAGGAGGATGTCGAAAATGATTTAATAATGAAGATTAGCCGTTTAATAGTCCTTCAATTAGCTATGTTTCTATTCCTACATTTGCAGAATTCATAGGCTAAATTTAAAAATATATTTACAGGTTAATTTAAGAGTTAATCGTTTTATGATATTAATAATACATTTCTCTATCTTTATTATTGATTTGCTTATGTTTATTATGATCTTCTTGTTTTACTTTCACTAATAGAATTGTATTCTATTATCATGAATTTTATTTAATTTGAATAAAAAAATAAAATATAATTTATATGATTATGTATTTTTTCTATTTCCCTCCAAAAAAAAGGATATTTTTCATATTTGATATTATTAAATGTTTTAAAAATATCAGAAATACTAGATGAAAAATTTTAGATAGATAGTTTTCTTCTTTTATTATTTAAGTTAGAGTTCATTAGTTACTTAACCTCTTTATGGCAGTATGGTAAATAATTATTTTAAAGCAAGAACATATATATATTAACATCTTTTTTTACTTTTTGCCTTTATAATGAAGATACTCATGTAAGAAGTATATTTTTCTTTAAGATATTCATTTCCTTTTGAGATGATCTAAAAAGATTTAGAATATCATAGAATTTTATTAGATATAGAAAAAAAATTAAGCATAAACTAAAAGAAATAATCCACTGAAATTGTATTTGAAATTAATACTGGTTAAAAATGTGCAACTTTTAATAATGAATCTCTTCCTGCAAAATACTATCTTTAATCTATGTTATAAAGATAAGAACCATGATGCATTTACTATTTTTGAAGTTATAGATAGAATAAATATTAAAAACTTAGGAATCTTATTCAAAATATCTACAAAATTAGCTTTTAATTATAATAACCTAGAAAAATGACTCTAAATTTTATAATTACAATTCTTAATAGTCTTCATTAATATAATTGTTCAAATTCATGACATGTCTTATGCATTTAAAGGTTTCTCATTTCTATGGTTGATTAACATATAAATGAGTTGGTCAAATTATAATGCCTTATTTTAAGCTTTATAAAAATTATTCATCAAATTTCTAGATTAATTTTGGTATTTCTAACCCAGATGATTATAATTGGAATTTTTGGAAGAAATTATTTTCCTGGAATGTTACATTTTAATGAAGAAGATAATTGTAGTAAGTAAGGCTCTTAAATATACCAATAGCAAATTTTGATACTACAGTTTCGAAAAATTATTATCATGTGAAAGGATTATGATGATTTTACATATTGATTAAAACAATAGATTTAATATAAATAATTTATAATTAATTAAATTTATATTAGAAACAGCGAATAATTATCACCATTTGATATCAACTTAAATTCATAAAAAAAATGGGAAAACCTCATAAGTTGGTAGCATTTCAATTCTATCATTATTAATACAAATTTTAATTATTGCGTATTTAATAAAGCAAAATTAGACCCTTCAAATATTACATTTTCTATATAATAATTTTGTTTTAGATACTTTTCTCAACCTAAAATAATTCCCTATTTATTATTCATTTTACTCTCATTAATTATTATCCTTTTTGCAATTCACAAGTTTAAATCCAAAAACCTAAACTGAAAAGTATTTTCTTTAACTCATTTTTTATTTTTATATTAATTTTATGTAGACTTTTTTATTTTATCATCTATTTTACCAATCATGCTTGATAATTATGAAGATGCTTGTGTATTGAAAATGATTTCAATTTGGTAAAAAATAAGATGAATTTAAAGAAACTAAAGTGATTAATAAAAAGTAAAATTTTTTTAGATTAGAATGGAGAATGGATGAATATTATCAAAAATTTTGATAAAATTTAGGATTTATTCTTGTGTATTTTTAGAATACTAATTGGAGAAGGATGTATAAAATATTTACAAAAATAGAGCTGCTAATTCGTCTGCCATTTTTTAAATCCTATACTATATACTATAATTTCTGTTGAATGCTATTCTTTTTAAATCTATTTACAAGATTAATGATTAAAATTATAATAATTCTTATATGAAAAATAAATTAAGTCTAAATGATAATATTTAGAATCAGAGAGTGTCTCAAAGAACTGATTGAATACATAAATAATTATCTTAAATTGAACTTAATTAATTATATTGATTCTTAAGAAATATATGATGAATCCCCTAGAAAGTCATAAATGAAACTCAGAAAATAGATTTTCCAAATGATGATTCCTTTATTTTTTAGATAAATGGAGTTAAGAGTAAATATTTCAGAAAAAATGTTTGAAGAAGAGAGTAAAAATAGATATTGAATAATTGAAATTAAAATTATGTCTTAATAATAAAAATCCATGAACGATACTCTTTTTGATACAAAAGTCTTAGATAACTTTGAATAAGAATTTTAATAAGTTCATGATGATATCAATCCAAAAATACATTCTCGTATTGCTCCTTTGATCTTTGCAATTAAAGGATTAAAATAAGAAATTAATCAAGTGTTTGCTGATTTCATTAGAGAAATTAATAGAGCCACTGATGTTTTACGTATAAAAGATATGTTTGAAGCAGTGTTAATGGAATATAATCTTAGAGAAAAGGAAAATAATAAATTGATGGAGGCAATCTTACAAAATGATTCTAATTAAATCAGATAAATCTCTCAATTGCTAAAAGAGATTCGTGAACTCTAACATGAAGTAAATCAATTTTAAAGATAAAGTGAAGTAAAACGTTAAAGGTAATGTGGTATTTTTAAAGGGAATCCAACCGATTTCAAAAAATAAAATACTCAAATTATAGATGAAACCAGTATCTATGATTGGGTTGTCGATATTGATTTCATAACATCTATTAATAGTACTGGATGGAAAGTTTGGTTATCACCAAAAATGATAAACCAAGAAATTATTAACATAAAAGCTTTAGAAGGGGCAACTGTTGCTGTAACTGGACTTTATGATAAAGGTAAGACATTTGTTTTAAACAGTCTTACTATGAGCAATTTACCCTCTGGAAAGAAAGTTACAACCAGAGGCATTTCTTTTAAACATGTAAATGTTGACAATGGTACGAAACTCATTCTAGTTGACACAGCTGGAACTTACAGTCCTGTCAAAATTGAAAATGAATTATCAATTGTAGATAAAGAAGCCACAGAAACATTCATTTCAGATTTAGTATTTGATTTGGCAGATTACTTTTTATGTGTTGTCAATGATTTTACTAGTCTTGATTAAAGATATTTAGATAGATTAAGTCGTAATCTATAACAAAGTCCTAATAAGACTTTTAGAGAAATTATTGTTATTCATAATCTCAAAGATGTTGAATCTACAGAAATTTTAGAACATGTTTGGAGTACATAAGTGACATAAATATATGCAAATGGAACTCTTTAGAAGACTAAAGTTGCTGCTCTTAACCCAATTAATAAATAACTATAAGAAAAGCATGTACTTTGGTTTAAGACTCCTTATACAAGACATGTATGCATTGTGAATGATGATTGCAATTTAGGAAAAGGTCTCAATCCTTGGGTATTTTCACTTCTTAGATATTGGTTGAAAGCAGTTTTCATTCCTGTAAATAGGACTTTTTCAGTGTTAGATTGTTTATTAATTTAGTCAAGATAAAAACTAGTTAATTTTTTTAGAAAGAACATCAAAATAAACTTAAAAAATACAGATGATCCATTGATAAAAGTGATTCAAACAGAAAATGAATTTCATGATAAAATTCAAATTCCTTAAGGGTAAGTTGATATGAGTGGTTTAATAACGGGATAATAGGATTCATTTTAACCTGCAACAGATATAATAGCTGGTGATTCATATATAATTTTGATGGATGCTCCAGGTTTGACAAATGATGATGTTGATATTTAAAGATAGAATGTTGTGACTTTAGTGAAGGGAAACAAATAGAGACCTTACATTAATCAAGGATAATTGGAAAAGAGTGAAAGAAAATATGGGGAATTTACACTTACATTTAAAGTATAAAATAATAGTTTAATAATTAGATTCCTGATATATATGAAAGATAATGGTCTTATTTTGGAGTGGATAAGGGAGTCATCACAATAAAATATGATAAAGATAAAGATGATATTTGATTATATAAATTATTTTATGAGTGAAAGTCCACATTAATTGAAAGCCAAGATTGATTTCTTACATTAAGAAAACCAATAACTTAGAAACACTATTGAGGATTTATAAACTGTAATCAAATTGAATAAATAATCTATGCGTTCTATGATTGATTAAGACGTTGCCAATCCTAGATTTAATTAACAAACTACTATACGTGAGAATGAAAATACTGTAAAAGCACTTAAAATGGTAATTACAGAATAGCAAAAAGAAATTGATCATTTGATGTCATCGTTAGAGAAAGTTTAAAAAGAGAGGGATTTTGCATAAGGCAAAGCTCTTATATCAGAAGAGATTACTTATGCAGCAGAGAAGAGTGAAAAGAAGTTCATAGCTGAACTCGAATCAACTATTTTTGAACTTAATCATACCATCAGTTAATAAGCATAAAAAATTTGTTAACTTGAAAAATAAGCTGATTAAAGAGATGATACTACTGGAGTTGTTGTAAGATATAGAGATGTTATTCATCCTAATTCAGCTACTATTTTATTACATGAAGAAATGGAAACATTACATCAATTGATAGTGAGATTACAATTATAAGTTAATTACTTAAAGAGTATTCAATTAAAATTAGTTACACTTATAAATAAAGTGATAACTAATTTATAAATGAAAATCTAAGGAGAGCTTATAGATTTAGATGAAGATTATGAAAAGGCATAACATGAATTTTTAGAAATATTAACATAAATATAATGTAAATATATAATTTTATTAAATATTATTAGAATCTAGATTACCAACTGTGGATTTGCCTATTAAAACACATTCTATATAATCACCTATTAATACAGATATGATTCATTCTCCAATACCTTCTCCTTTTCCTGCTAAAGCACCTTAAGTTTTTAAAAAAAACTTTAAAAACTTGAATTAAACATTTGATGGAGGTATTGGACTTAATGAATCATATTAGTAATATGGAAAATAAGAAGATTAAAAAAAAAATCCTTCTCTAGTACCTAAGCTTAATTTAGCTAAGGCATTTTAAATTTAATAAATTAATGCCAAAAGATCAACTCAATAAATCAAACTCACTGAAGATTAATTATAAAATAGAGTTCGTAAATTAGAATAAGAACTTGAGGATACAAAGAAGAATCTATCTCGAGAAATGATATTATGTAAAAATTATGAGATAGAAAATGAATCATTAAAAAGATATATTAGATAAATTGAAGGAAATAATGAAATATTAGTTAAATCTAATCTTAACCTCAATCAAAAGTGGGAAAAAATATAAAAAAGCTTTATGTACTACAAAACTTTTTTCGTAGAACATAAAGATTAATTTGCTTAATTATAAAATTTAGTTTAATCTGAGAAGGAGGTAATATATACATTTTGATTATTAGAAGGCCTAATCATAAGAAGATTACAATGATTTTGGCTTTAATTCTGCTAGAGTTAGTCATGCTAGAAAAGGTTAAACTTAAAGGAAAAAAAATTTGTTAGATTAAACAATAACTACCTATGCTCCTTTGTACTAAGGTAATATTGTTAATTTTAATCATCTTAAGAATCTTTGATGGAAGTTGAGAATTAATTGGCGAGAGTTAATCAATCAGAAACTTATAATCAAAATAATAGAATAGATTCAAGTTGTGCTATAGAAAATGACAGAGATGGTGAATTGGGAAACTTTTGTCTAGATAGAGATGATAGTTATATAGAAAACACTGAATGGAAAAACAATTTAAAAAAAGAATGGACAATTCTAGCAACTCAAGTTCATTCTGCTAAACCAAAAGATTTAGCTTAATAAATAAAGCAATCCTAACCTATTTAGAAATTGTAAAATATTAAATCATGAAATATATTATTAATTATAATCAATATCCATTGCACAAATTAATTTTTTTGCATCATTGATTTATTAGAAAATTAAGTTGGACAATTAAATAACCTTTATGTTAGGAGAGGGTGGTATTTAAGTAGTAGTTTAGGCTTATAAATATGCAAAATAATTGAGTATTTCAATTTCATCCTTTTCATCTAACACTTAACTTATTTTCATATTAAATTTTTATAGTTTGATTTCAGCATCATTCAATCTATTAATATAATTTTCTTATTAATTCATAATTGAGGGAAGATTTTCAACTTGTTCTAGTAATTCACTTTATTTATTATTCAATAATTAATGTAGAACCTAATTTAATTAAAAAAATTACTTTAAATTCTTAGACTATTTGTAATCTCATGTTTTCTTAATTTGAAGATTATTGAATTTATTTTTTTTCTAAATCTTATTTTTAATTTTCTATATATAACATCTATTATTAATTTTATTCAATCTGATCTTCTAATTATTTTCGAATCAAAGGATAAGCTTTTTTGATTGTTTTAACTTCATGATTTTTATGAATTCCATGAATTATACATTCAGGACATATGCATTTACTATTACAATCAAAGCAAAAATAAGAAACTTCTTCATCAGGATGATCAAGACATTAATTTCTTGAATGTTGAATAAATGAATTTTCACTTTATTATATACTCATTTTGCGTTATGATATATGAAATGATTGTTTTCCTTCAGGATTCTACATTGCAAATTTTATAGTCTTTTCCTTTTAATTCTCTTTATTATCTTATCGAGTTTAAGATCTCGATTTTACTTATTTTTCTAAACTAATATTGGATTTTTAGATCATAGCAGCAGGTTTGCGATTTGATCGATCTTGATATGAAATTGCTAGATGAATTTTTTCTAATTCATATATACTATTAGAATCTAATTCTGTATTTGATTAACAAGCATCACATACAAAAAACTAGATAATATTTTGACAAGAAAATACTTTTTTTTTCTTTTTAGTTTATTAAGTTGAAAATGATTTAGCTGCACAATCTAAACATAGATCATGTGTACAAGTCAACATTAGAATATCATCAGGAACCTTTTAGCATTTACTACATTTTGAAACATTGATCATTTTAAATTTTCTATGTTCGTTAACTAATTTTATGAAATAATAAAAACTTAATCAATTAGCACAAATAATAAAAAGACTAGAGCATATTCTAGATCCTGATCAAACCAGAAATTCTCAATATTCTTTATTTCATCTCTTTCCCACCTTTCAACCTGATGAACAAACCTCATCAGAATAATCAGAATAGAGTACAAACTAAATCATTTTTGATGAATCACCAACTCATGATTATACAAAAAATGATCTATAGAGATTGTCAACAGAATCTGTCTATTTAAAATTAGATTATATACAAATCTCAATATAATTAAGAAACATTCTATTAAATTGTTTTAAGAATCTTAATGTAGACTCAGTTAATCATATATCTGAGTTATTCCTATAAAATTCTCAAAAAGATAATCCTTATAGTGCTTTGATTATTAATTAAATAAATCTTATTCAAAGTGTTATTGAAACTCATTCAATCTGTTCAAAATTTAATACTTAAATATTGAATTTATCTTTTGATTTCATCAATATTGATTAATATGGTATTATTGAAAAAGTAATAACAATAAGATCAAACTATTTTGCAGAAATTAACAAGCATAAAATCAACGAGATATTAGTTCCATAATATGATTAATTTTAGTTAATTAAAGAATAATAGTTAAAAATTAAGTAAACTGAATAAGCTATAGAAAAGCTAATTCAAAAATTTTGTTGATTAATCATATAAGTGTTTATTTTTATTAATTAAATAAAAGTATTTGTTATCAAAAGTACATACTATATAAATTATTTTACAAATCATTAAAATCACAATAATCTAAAAATTATTTTAATTTTAACTATTTTTAATTTAAATCTCTAACATCTTTAACATGTCTAAAATTTAATAAATAATTTTCTAAATGTAATAATTCCTATTAAAATAATAAATCAAAAGTTACTTAATCATCTTAATTATCATAATATGCAATAATTGGAATTCCATTATCAATTTGTTTACTAAAAGAGTAGGAAGCATTATCTATTAGTAAGACATTTGATAATTTTCGATTTCCTAATACTCTAAAAATATATTAGATTTACCTTAAATCCTTAATATAAGCTCCTTCTAATGTTTAGATACAATTTTCTCTAAAAAATCGATGTGAAATCCACTACTTTTTTGGATCTAAATAATCTATAACAATATTAGCATAACAAGAATGGGATGCTGTAAAAATAATAATTTCAAAATGTCTTGATAAATTTTATAAGATTTATTTAGCATATGGTCTAATATTGATTGAAGCCTAAACAGATTCACCATTAGGAAAGTGGATTGGTAAAATAACATCTCCTTAAATTGAAATATTTGAATTGCAATGAATCAATGTTTCATCTAAATCAAATACTATTGTTTTAAGATTATTAGATCTTGGTAACTTAATAATTTTTTCTTTATCAAATTGTATTTCTAGTTTGTTTGCATAAATTAATCCCTAAATTTATCAATACTATATTCACTTGATATGTTTGTGAAAAATGATCTTTGATGAGTTCATCAAGTTGGGTAGGTTTCTTATTTTTTATAGCTTAGATTACAGTAGAAATATAGTATAAAAACTAATTAAATTAATTTTTTTACAGGCTCATTAGGTTATGTTTCACTCATTTTATTAAGATAACAATATTTGCTATCCATTGATAATTATCTTTCTGATTTATTATGATTAGTGTTTGTTTGATTAACAAAAGAACCTTTTAATAATTAAGAATTTTTATTTAAATTCCTTTTAATTTAAGTAACAAAATCTTATAGTTATCCAATCTTTCTGTCCTAAGTTTATTTCAATAATTATGAATTTGGAGTATAGCTTTTTATTTCCTTAATTTATGAATAAAGATTGAAGATTGAATTGATATCCTTGATCACTTTCTTTTCTTCTTAGTTACTTTACTTTTCATTTTATTTTTCAATAAATTTTTTAGGGAAGTATTTTGATACTAAAGCATTCTGTTTCTATTTTATTCTATCTGTTTTTTTGTCTTATGAATTTTCACTTTAATTAATAAATGAATCCTTTAATTAATTAAACTATTTTTCTAAATACTCTAATTTTTCATTTAATCTCTTGTAAGCCTAACTTTCAAAAGGTCTCTATTTTTAATATTCATTATATAAAAACTCACTCACTTTACTATTTTATTCTTTTGTTTATTTTGTTTGAATATGTCTTAATTTATAACCATTTTATTAAAGTAAAGAGAGATATGAAACATTCTTCATTTCCTTTATTTGTTATTGATTACCTCTATAATATTGATATGAATTTTTATCAATAGCTGATTAGGCACGATAGAATTATTAAAGTGATGCAGATTTCATCAATCCACTCTTTGAACGATTCTCATTTTTTTATTAACTTGAAGTACTGCTTTCTTTATTCTTAAGCTATTTTTTTCTTTGTAATAGTGCATAGGAGTTCTCTTTATCAAATATTATTCCGAATCTGCTATTATCTGAAATTCCTTATTTAGATAGCAAGTCTATATTTCATTTTTAGTCAATTACCTGCATACGAATAGTTTTGTGTTGTCTTATACATCAACTTAAGATTCTGATATTTAGAATAAAAAGTCTGTTTATTTTAATATAACAAAATATGCTCATTTTTTTGCAGGGGCCTTAAAATTACCTGCTTTTTCTTGATTTTGGAAAAACTCTAAGTTTTTTTTAAAATTATCGTTTTATTGCCTTAATTATTACTTTTATTTAAAGCGATCAACTTCTGGTTCTTTTGCTTTCTGAGTGTTAACTTAATACTTTTATCGAGCAGGGGAACTATAAACTTTATTATTTTATTATAGATTTTATTTTTCTTAAACTTAATCAACTTTATTTTATTGATTACTATTTTAATTTTAAATTCCTTATTAAACCTTTTATTATTCTTTATCTTCTATTTTAATGTCATTTTTTATAGATTTCTTGTCCTATTCATTATTATTTGATTAAATTTTTGGAGTCTCTAGAATTATTTCTTCAAGTTTTTTATTCTCAATAAAAGTAATTTTAGCTTTGCCTAAAGATTTTTATTTTTGAACATCAATAGATTCAGAATTTTATTAAACAATTATTTCTTATTGTTCTTCAACTTAATTTTTTTAATTTTAAGTATTAATATTTAATTATGGTTACTCTATTGAAGGATTCTCATTTATCTTATTATTAAATTCTGTTCCATTTTAATTCTAGATGAGTGGTTCAATTTCTTAATTATTAAGACTTTATTTATTTTAAATTATAGGATCCTCAGTAGAAGTAACTTTATTTTCTTTAAGACCAGTTTAAATATCTTATTATTTTTATGTTTCAATTGTATTTTATTATTATTTATTTAAAATTTAGTCATTATTTCTAAATGTTTGATTAGGTGATGAATATATGTCTTAAAATGATTACAATCCTTCAAATAAGATAGAATCTAATTTTAAATCTCCATTTTAATTTGCTTTTACTAATTCAAATGGTTCATAAGCATTAGCAGTTTCTTCAACACCAGAATTTAAAGCATATTTTTTTTTCAATTCTTAAGATACACCTATATTGAAAAAGCTAATTAATTTAATAGATTTTTTATCCATTTCATTTTTGAATGGATTTAATAAAATTTCATCATAAAAATTACCAGTCCAAAATAAATTTAATTCATTTCTTCTGAATGCAATTAATGTGCATGTTAAAACCATTAAAACTTCTGTGAATATTGATCTATTTAATTTTGAATATAAATTACGTAGGCAAAGGGAATGATATCAAGAATTAAATTATAACCCAAAGTACTAAACCAATTAAAAGACCGAAAAAACTTACTATTTCATAAACAAATGTTTTTTTTAATCTATCAAATCGATGAACATATCCAAGAAAGAAACCTATTATATATAAGATTTTAACCTGGAAATAGGATATTGAAGATAGAAACCCATGCACATTTCTTTTTGTATATAAATCTAAAGTATGGAATTTAAGCAGATAATGGTGTATTAAAATATCTTAGAATCAAACTATCCCATTCATATCTAATATTAATCGCTAAATAAATTGAACAGAATATATCCATAGCCATAATTGGTAAGAAAAACAATAAACAATGTTTGAGAGAAGTAATCTTTAATAATTTAATGAGCGAGCCAAGAATACAAATTGATATTAAATTGCTTAACTACATAAAAATACATATTTACAATCCAGATTTATTCTGTAGCCATATAAATAGCAAATAATCCAACACCTAGAATTAAAGCAAATATATCACAATATCTTATATAAAATATTAATTTAACAAAAAATGGAATTTATTTTCGGAATGCACAAAACAATTCATCAATAAAGTGAATAGTACAAAAAACACAAAGAGCAAAAGCTAGAGCCTATATTGGTATTTCAGCCTTTTTTTATAATTACAATGAAATAAATAAAGCCCCCAATAATAGTATCATATAAAATAATGCTTAAGACCATGATAATGAAAAACCTTAAAATGGAGAACTCTCCTATGCAATTTTATCTAATTTCTCTTAAGGTAATTCTTTTTTAAGTTTTTTTGTTATGAAAACAACTTTAAAAGCATAAATCTTACCAAACATAGAAAGAACTAATATAATTACACTTTCAAAAAATATTAATATAATATTACTCCAATCAAATCTAATTAAATAAAATTTATACCTTACAGGATAATAATCTTTTCCACATAAAAATTGATAATTAAATATAACAGGATCAAATCCTACAAATTATAAACTAACTCGTTTCATACTCCAATATTTGTCATTATTAAGTTTTTTATAGCATAAATGTGTTATATTTAATCCTAAATAATTATCGAAACCAAATATAATTGGTTAATCTGTTGTATAATTAAGTTAGATTTAAATATCCTAATCTGAAAGTTCCTCTGTAATGTTTAACCATTCAATAAGTAAAGGTTCTTCACCAAGATTCTCTATATAAAATGGAAGATTAAATCGTTAAATAGTTGGCCCTTGTGCATTTAAGTTCATCACTCTAAATTTTGTAACATTATTAGGACAACAAGATAAGGATGGAAATGATGTTAAATCAAAATTTTCATGTACTTTTCCATTAACATAAACAATTTAATCTTAATCTTCATCATCATATTGTGATTACAATAATGGACCAATAGACAAGTTTGCCTTTGGCAGTGCTGCAAGAGTTATAGTTAATAAATAATAAATAAACATAATATTATAATTCTGTTTTTTAAGCTTTAGATTATTATTCTAAACATTTTTGTAAAATGTTGATCTTTTTATTGTTAAATAAATGTTTTTTTGTTCTACTCTAAATTTATTTAAATATTTTCAAGTTTTATATTAAAAGTAACAATTATATAAGTATATGATAATTCATCAATAAAATACACATGATGCCTAAAGCCACTCTTCAACTCCTGTTAAAATTGCAATTAACTTGCTTAAGTTCTTAGACATTTTTTGTATATCACCTACATCAAATAAAGGTTCAATTTCTGAAACATTTTTATATGATTATGGGGCTTTATTCAATTCAATATGTTAGTAGTTTACTAAACATCTATTTGGACTCAAATGATTTAATAAAACTGGATTCTTTAGTTCCCCAAGTTAAATATGAGCATGAGATAATCCCTTTATTTTACTGAGATCCAAGGTTCCTCTATCAGTAAGTAGAGATTAAGTTTGTTATGGTTTTGGAATCCTATGATGATTATATTTTTAATTATACCTAATAAAAGAATTAGCATTTTTTGATTCTTATTATGCTCTTTTTAAATTTGTTTTATCAAACAATGGTTGCTTTCTTATTTAATAATTTAAAAGTGAGGGTTTTTATTTTTAATTATTTGTCATAAGTTCAAAATTATGCTTAGCTTTTTATAAGCCTTCATCATTATCTTATGCAAAAATAACATCAAATGGTTCATCGTCAGAAGATATATTAAAATTTGCTTCTTCAGTATTTACAGATTGTTTCTCCTTCTTACTTTTTCCAACTGAACCTTGTTCAAATTTAGCAACTGCTAATCTCTTTAATGATGAGTTAGGTTTCTAATATTTTAATTTAAATTACTAAAGTATCTCCGTTTATCATTTTATTATGAAAAAACTATGCCATTTCTATGTTTCCTTCATAATAATAATATTTTCCCATTTAATCATATCCTTTTAGTTCTTCGTTAGGTTTATCTAATTTCCAGCTGCACATTAAATATTTTGTTATATAGGTTTTTGCTTACTTGAGTCTTAATTTAAGGAAACATAAAGATAAAATTTCATATGCTTTTATTTTATACTTAAGCATAGATTCTGAGTCAGAGAATCGTTTAGCATTTTTAGCAAGCAAAATAGCAAAATGTAGGAGATTATAATATTTAGCAATTTTAGATAATGTTAAACTAACCAAAATCTTAATATCTATTAAATAGATTGAATTAAATACCAAGATTCCGAATTTTAGAAATTTGTATATTGATTTCTTATATAATCTCGATACAAAAGGATCGTTTAGATTTATTAATAAGAATTCTTCTTAATCTATCTACTAACATAACAATATCATCTTTATTACGCTATAACATTTCTTAACTTAAAATAATAGAATGAAACAATATACATTTACTACTGTGGATTAGTTTATCGGATCCTACATTCTTCTTTAACTTTTTCTATTTCTGATTTGTATGTATTTTTAATGTTGTTTATAAGTATGTTGATTTTTGATTTATTTCGTTTTGAGAAGGCATTCGATTTTTTGATTAAGTAGCCTTCATTAGTTGAATGTTCGGTATTGAATTTTTCATGAATATATTTACTAGATTTATTTGTATGAGCAGTAGTTTAGAGAACATCACATGTTCGTTCTGTGGTTTTTAATACACTCAAACGAGAGAGAGAAGGATTATTCTTTATTAGAAAGTATTGATAAAACATCAAATAAAATTATCATTTATCTAATACAGATTAATTGTTTCTGAATCTCTTAAATTTTTATCGAATACATGGCAATTACTAATATTACTAATAGTTTCTAAACTGAACTTTAGACTATTAATAATTATAAAAATTGATACTATTTTTATGTTGGAGTATTCAGAAATGATAATTCTTAATATAAATAATTATAGTATTGTAATTGATGTGATGTATATATTAAAGATAAATAATTGAGAATGGGTTGCTAATTTTAAGTAGTCGGTAATTGACTATCAACTAAAAAAAGTAATGAGAATTGTAATTAATAGAAATAAATAATTGATAAATATTGTTGATTTATTTGCACAATTATAATCAATCTGATAATTGCATAAGTAAAGCAGTACCTCTTTTAATCCAGAAATCTTCTTCATTAGAAGCTTGACCTGGATTAGGTTTACATGGTAACATAACATCAAATTGAAAGGATGGTCTTTCCATGACTCCACTACGTACTTAATAATATTAGGTAGGACAGAGATAAAAGTTTAACCTAAAAATTAAATGATTATATTATACCTTTCTTTGATTTACTTTTACCTTCTTAACTTACAGGTTTAAATAGAATGATTGGCAGTTAATCATGTGATTTCATAGGTTCATCATCAACAATATAATTCTTTTCATCCCATTTAGGTCCTTCAAGAAATAGACCATAAATATATGCTCCATCTTAAGCTGCTTAAGGTTCAGATCCAAGTGGTAAGAATGAAAATTCCCATCTAAATTAATCTATTGGAGTATTCACCTTTCTAGCACTCTATTATAATAAAGCCGTTGTAAATCTAGTAGGGAATGAAAATCCAGAAATCCAAAATACACTTGGTTACTATTTAATCCGACTTCTCAATTATAAAACTCTTTTCTCAAGATCAACTATCCAACTAGACAATGGTTTTAATGAATGATAACAGAATTTTCATTATTATGGTACCTTATTATCAAACAAACTATGCATAATTGTTTCAAGATCCTCAGATATTAATACTAAACCACTTAAACCTTTATCTAAATTAATCAAAGAAGTTCTAACTGTATTCAACAATTTATTGTATCTTGATATTTCTTACATCAATACTATTTTTAACGGATTCTAATCACCAGGTCTCACTTTCTCTATAGTTTCTTACATATCTATTTCCTAAGGAACTTTACACAATGTTTCTTAAATCAATTTTTATACTTTAGTTTCCATTGATTCCTCACCTGCTTTTACTGATTATGGTGATAATGAAATAATTGAATCTATTAGAGCATTTGTATCTGCTACCAAGGAGGACTCTTTTAAACTGGTTAATCTTATTATTGTTATCCAAGTTACTATTATTATTATTATTGACTGTGTTTGCTATTATGTTAGGTCTAATCAACATACATTAAGAGAATATTATCAGCTGTCTCCCAATCTGAATCATTGAAATCATATATCACATTCCATCCTAGAGATTTAAATCTCTTATGTTATACTAGATATTGATTAATTTTCATATTCATATTTTTTTTGTTCAAAAATTTGGATTCTAGAATATTTTTTTAATTAAGAATTAAAAGTAAAAATTTGTTAAAGCTCATGTCTGATTTGGTACTTTTTTTCATTTTTTTCCTGATTCAAATTCTATTGATGTCTGGTAAAATCAAGCTTCTAAAAAATATTTAGAATATTTAATTATTAAACGTTATGAAAATACAAAATATCAGACCAAAAGGATAATAGAATTTCGTCATTCATTTTGAAATTATGCATATAAATACTTAATACATTTATAAATTTTAATTTATGATCGTTTTACTTTTTTATTCTAATCAAATAGCTTTGGATGATCAATTATCAAAAAATAAATTTGAACTCAATAAAGTAGATTTTTTAAAATATATAAAACATAAAATAACTTATTATTTAAGTTAAATCCAGCATAATTTAATTTTCCTTTAAGATTAGATGTGATGAAAATAATTTTCAAATTTTTATACATTTCCTAAACCCGTCTGAAACTTTTTATTGTTTCTATGAGCATAGATGATTTCTATAAAATGGTAAATAAATTATTTAAGGAAGAATGGTAGTTTCGGGTATATATTTCTTTTTGATTTTTTAGTTGGTTATGTAATTTTCTATAAATTATGATATATAATAATGATATAAATAAATTATTGTGTATTAAAACTTTATTTTGTTTTAAATTTATGTTAGAATAAGATAAAAAGTAGAGAATTCAGCATAAAAAACTTGGTTGAAGAGGTAAGGATATCAACAGAAATTTTTGAAATATAATAAAGTATTAATATTAATAAAAATGTATCTGAATAATTTAGAATTTTATAGTGGAAGTGGATATAAACTATCGGGATTTATAAAAAAGTGGAAGGAAAAACTTTTGGTGTTTGATTTAAATTCTAGGGTAGTTTTAATGATATTTTCAGATTTTATAAATATAAGATGTGAAGAGTCAAAGTTAAAAATAAATTGATATTTCAAATTACAACATTAAGTAATTGGGAAAGTATTAAGAGAAATGGTCATTAAAACTATCAAATGCATAAAATGAATTTAAGTTTGGATGGAATAATGAAAAAGATTGTTAATAATGGGTTGATTGTTTCACAGGTGAATGGAAGAGATAATAAGAGTAATTAAGATTTTTGGAGGAATTTGATAAATCTCATCCTGAAGTTGAACCTTATATAGAAAAATAACCATTAGTGTTTCGACCAAAACCAAGTTTAATGTCTCGTGATAAGATTGAAAATATGATTCCTCATTTGCCATAGTTTATTTAAGTAAAGAAAAAGAATAAAAAATTAGAAAGATATGGAGATTCTATTGTAAAATACATTTGAGAATTTGGATGGATTTAGTGATATTTAAAATTTTAAGCAGATTTTGGATTAAGAAAATGCAAAATTGTATCAAGACNAATACAAAATATCAGACCAAAAGGATAATAGAATTTCGTCATTCATTTTGAAATTATGCATATAAATACTTAATACATTTATAAATTTTAATTTATGATCGTTTTACTTTTTTATTCTAATCAAATAGCTTTGGATGATCAATTATCAAAAAATAAATTTGAACTCAATAAAGTAGATTTTTTAAAATATATAAAACATAAAATAACTTATTATTTAAGTTAAATCCAGCATAATTTAATTTTCCTTTAAGATTAGATGTGATGAAAATAATTTTCAAATTTTTATACATTTCCTAAACCCGTCTGAAACTTTTTATTGTTTCTATGAGCATAGATGATTTCTATAAAATGGTAAATAAATTATTTAAGGAAGAATGGTAGTTTCGGGTATATATTTCTTTTTGATTTTTTAGTTGGTTATGTAATTTTCTATAAATTATGATATATAATAATGATATAAATAAATTATTGTGTATTAAAACTTTATTTTGTTTTAAATTTATGTTAGAATAAGATAAAAAGTAGAGAATTCAGCATAAAAAACTTGGTTGAAGAGGTAAGGATATCAACAGAAATTTTTGAAATATAATAAAGTATTAATATTAATAAAAATGTATCTGAATAATTTAGAATTTTATAGTGGAAGTGGATATAAACTATCGGGATTTATAAAAAAGTGGAAGGAAAAACTTTTGGTGTTTGATTTAAATTCTAGGGTAGTTTTAATGATATTTTCAGATTTTATAAATATAAGATGTGAAGAGTCAAAGTTAAAAATAAATTGATATTTCAAATTACAACATTAAGTAATTGGGAAAGTATTAAGAGAAATGGTCATTAAAACTATCAAATGCATAAAATGAATTTAAGTTTGGATGGAATAATGAAAAAGATTGTTAATAATGGGTTGATTGTTTCACAGGTGAATGGAAGAGATAATAAGAGTAATTAAGATTTTTGGAGGAATTTGATAAATCTCATCCTGAAGTTGAACCTTATATAGAAAAATAACCATTAGTGTTTCGACCAAAACCAAGTTTAATGTCTCGTGATAAGATTGAAAATATGATTCCTCATTTGCCATAGTTTATTTAAGTAAAGAAAAAGAATAAAAAATTAGAAAGATATGGAGATTCTATTGTAAAATACATTTGAGAATTTGGATGGATTTAGTGATATTTAAAATTTTAAGCAGATTTTGGATTAAGAAAATGCAAAATTGTATCAAGACCCAAATGATAATTTGCACATGAAATTAGTATATTATTCAAAGATAGAACCTAGAAGGATTTATGATGTAATAAAAATATGTATATAATTTATAATAGGAACATGTAATGCCATCCACATAAAGTTGGTTGCCTGATGTAATTAAGCAATTTTAAGTATTTCCAACTAAGAAGGGATGTAGTTTGGTATATTTAGAATTTGAGTTTAAAGATTATGTAATACGTAGATAGCATAGTTAATAAGACGAAGAAGTATAAGAAGATTAGAATCCTAGTTAATTTTATTTATCACATTCATTAAATTAAAATGAGTAAGAGGAAAACAATAAAATAAGAATAGTATTTACTTAAAAAGGATTTGAAAAAGATGGTATCTATTGTATATTTCGTAAATATACAGGGTAGGAAATGTTTCATGATTAAATTGATAGAAACTTAGCTAATAAATTAGATAAATATAAGATAACAAGATCTGCTCTCGTTGTTTAACCATCAAAGTATTAAAATTGATATTATTTAGCAAGTAGGAGTTTAAAAGTTTATTAATTGAAGAAATATATGTAGATTGTAAAGATTAGGATGCTGGTGAAAAATTATTAAAAATTTTATTGTTAAACATTACATCTTCGGATAGAAATTTAATGTAAATTTAATAAGAAATATAACAAATAACAGAGAATGTAGAAGTTAAGAATGTTGAACTATTTGAGACTATATAGATTTCAATAAAATTAACTGAATCTGAAATATAAAGAATAACATCAGAATAGCATTAAAATTAATCAAAGTAAGAATTTTAAAAGTTGATTGAAAAGGTTGAAAATGGAGAATATATTTTAGATGCAATATAATAATATTCAGATTAAATAATTGTATCTGGTTTAGATAAGTAACTTTAAACAAATGATGAAGAAGGTCATTTCTTATATACTAAATTTTATAGAGTAGATAATACAAAAGGTGGTTTAACTTATCATAATGAAAAGTTATTAAAAGATTAAAGATCTGTTCTATTAAATATGATTAAAAGAATGGGTTCTAATCTTATTTAAGGAAAGTCTGTAATGTCTGTTTCTTTACCTATTTAAATATTTGAAAGTAGATCATTTTTAGAGAGAATGGCTAGAGCATAAGGACATGCTCCTTTATTTTTAGAATCTGCAGCAAAATGTAATGATCCTCTATAATAAATGAAATAAACAATTGCATTCCATATGGCAAGTTTTATGATGGGAATTCAATAAGAAAAACCATTTAATCCAATATTGGGAGAAACATTTTAAGGTAGAATACTTGGCTGTCCAATTTATTTAGAGTAGACATCTCATCATCCACCTATATCTAATTATATTATGTATGGAAGAGATTATAAATTATATGGATCTTTTAGTCCTATAGTTAATATGGGTTATAATAGTCTCTCAGGAGAATAACATGGTCATTCTATTGTACATTTCTAAAATACTAATTTAAAATTTTATTACATTAATTAACCGTTTACGGTTTATAATATTATAACTGGATAAAGAAATGTCAATTGTCATAAACGCAGTTTCTGCTTTTAACCGGAACTTTAATTGTGTGCTGTGATCTAATTTAACCCTAAAGATTAAAACAAAAGTTTTTTTTCAAGATAGATCACTCCAATAGATTATTTCTTGGGAAAGATTTATAAAGTATCTCCTATGTTTATATAACGATGCAAAATGGCACATAAAACTGGATCAGGATTGAATTTGAAACTAAAAATTAATAAAGAAGAAATTCTAGAAACTTATGATTAAATTAGTGGAAGATGGACATCTCATTTGGACATTAACAACTTAAGATTTTGGGATATTAATATACATAGGTATTTACTATTATTAATCTACTTAATGATAGACCCTATGTGTTAGAATTAGAGTCAAGACCTTTACCTTCTGATTGTTTATATAGATTAGATTTATTACTCATGAAAATGAAGGATATACAAAGAGCTTAAGATATGAAAGAGAAAATGGAAGTAGACTAAAGAAAAGATTAAAAATTAAGGTAAAAAAGATGAATAATATTATCCATAAATTAAATTTATAAACTTCTCATTAATGTTTTAAATAATATTACATATTTTATCTTCTTTCTGATAATTATTAAATTATTCTTAATATTTAATATGATAATTAAAGCCCTTCTATTAAACAATTTCCCAATTTTTTACATATCATAAAAAATTCATATTGAGAAATATTAATATTCTATGTTGATAAAATCTAATAACGGACTGATCTATTTATATATAAAATTTATACTATTATGGATAACTTAGTGGTACTATGATACCAATTTCTATTTATTAATCATCTTTTGCTAATACCATTTTGTAACAGTCATGAAGATGTTCAGCTTAGCCTTCAAATCTATAATTTAATTGTATATATGATTATAAGGTTTTATCTTCAACCAATAAGCTAGAATCTTTGTTTTATTTATAAATTAAACTTTCTCCTAAACAAAATTTATACCAGAAAGGAGTATCATCATTAATTTAAGAGTTTCCAAAATACTTTAATTAATATCTTTATTCAAAATTCAACCCTGGAAAATTTGTTAGTAATTCATTTTTTTATAATTTCTGTAATTAAATTTTGATCAATTAGATGTTATATATTCTTCTCTATATTTGTAAATAGAATTCTTAAGCACTCAATTCAAATCCTGTTAATAATTTAGCCCATTTGAATGACATATACTTTGTATTAATATTAATTTCTTCATCACTTTTTGCATTTACAAATATAGGTTCTCCAGGATCTCCTTAAAATAATCCACAAAAGAGTTCTTCTGATGTTATTTAATTCTTTCTATCAACTTAAAATACAATTTTATCTAATGTTGTAAAGTATCTAATACTAAAAGAAAAAGGGTATATATTTTCATAAAACTATTCTTACTTAACTCCTAAATAATTTAATGCAATTTAATCATAAATTCCTGATTCAATTGTTACTTTCAATTCATACTGTGATTATTTATAAATACTATCTGCAATTTAATGTGATATTATTTCCAATTATATGAATTTAGTTTGTAACTTTTAATAAATTTAATGTAATGGTTAAGGTAATTATTAATAGAATTCTTATTATGAAGGGAGTGCTAAATGAGGAATTTCAAACATTTTTAATGCAGGTATGAGTTGTTATTGTGTTTATTTTAGTAAATCTGGTAATACTTGAAAATATTATGATTTTTTTTATTCATAATTTTATTATAGATGCTCATATTCATTTGTAATTTCTTCAAATTTTTTCTTCTTTTCTTTTCTAATTTCTAATTCTATTTCTAATTTATGTAAGATTTCCTTATTATGATCAAATGGATTTTTATCCTCTAAATCAAGTTATTTTTTAATTTGATTATAGAAATTTGTTTGTAAAGCTTTAAATTATCCTATTTACTATTGCAATTATGTTTTAGAATATTTTAAACATTCAGAATTGATTGTCTATTTATCTAGTTAGTCTTTTTCTAATTAATTTGTTCTCCTATTTCCTTCAATACTTCTATATAATTCTCGATGTGTTTTTCTTAAATCAGTAAGTAATTAATAATCAATACTATCATTTCTTTTACCTGTAGCTTTACTTACATTATCTTTCATTTAATCTATCAATTTTTGGATTTTTTATTGTAATTCCATTTTATATTTTAATTAATAATGGCGAGATTAATAGGAAATGTCAATATTAAACATAGAAATCCACTATTAAAATTATGTTAATCAACTTCTCCTATAAATAAACTGATTGCACTCAAAATTGTATTTGTTGATGATGTTTCAAATCACTATACAATAAACTGCAAGAAAGTGAATTGTTTTTACACTTAAGGAAAATAAATTAAGATTGAGAAATTAATGGAAAAAGAGTTAAATCAATATTCTGATTTGAATTAACTCAAAAATCCTAAATTTTATTTTTATGATCTAAATGGTAATTAGATTACCATGTATGATTAATCTATTGAAACTTATCTTGTGAGTATAAAAGATAATAATCATTGGTTATATGATAAGAAATATGAAAAACTTCTATATTAAATTATTCAAATGGATGCAAGTATTATAAGTAATAATTTTTCTGATGATAAATCAAGGAAACCTTCCTTAACAAACTCTAATTAACATATTATAAATAACAATCCATATGATCACTTAATACCATAGAGCAGTTTTAGATCTCGAATATTATAGAAAGGTATTTAAGATTTAGAAAATGTTTACGATAATTTTAAAATGACTAGTCGCTAAAATTCAGATCCATTCATAATTACAAATTGTAAGTTCAAAACAACTCATTAATCATTTAGTTCTTAAAATAGACTATCAAATTTATCATATAATAAAACTAATGTTCCTAATTCAACATCAAGACCATATTTAACTGAATAAGAATAATATTTTATAGATAACATGTAAAAATGTTAGGATGAGTTAGATAATTTCATTAATAAATTAAAATAGAACTTATCAAAGGAGAATGAAGAAATAGAAAAGATAATTCGATTTTATGAGAATGTGCTTTATCCAACGCCAAAAAGTAGGGCACTTGAAATGAAATAAATATCTACATCAAGTTTAATAAGCACTAAATTAACTAAGATATTAGGAAAATAATATCCAGCAGATACTAAAACACCTAAATCCTATGTTCCTTAAGAAAAGAAAATGCTACATAAAATACCACCTTTATTACATCTAAATATACCCTCCTTATAGGCTAAGTATAGATTAAATAGAAGTTAACTTTATGCTTTTTTCTCACTTTATAAAGTATTACATCTTATTTCAGGATATATGAAAATAAAAAGTAAATAATTGTAAGTCTAAGGAATTACATATGAAGTATACAGAAATGGAATTGAAACCATTTAAGATTAAGCAGAAAATATGGCTAGGGGAATATTTGATATAATAGATAGTCGTTGTTCAGGTTTCTTAGATTGGGGATAATTTTTATATTTAATGAGTTCAGTGTAAGCTAAAACAAGGGATTAAAGAATTGATCTATTTATTAAAATTGCTGATTCTAATAAGGATGGTTAACTCTCTTATTAAGAAGTAGTAAGATTAAGTTAATAAACATTATAAAAGTTTATAAAGAATGGAAATAGAGAATTTTTAGATGAAATGTCACAATTTTTTTCTAGAATTATTTTTGATTCAGTTGGAGTGGATTATTAATAAGAAATATAATTTAATTAGCTAAAAGAAGTAATAAATTAAGGACATCCTAATTCAGATTTATTATGTATGTTTTGTGGTGCAGATTCTTGATTCTTTTGTTTTATTTATATAATTAAATTGATTATTTTATTAAAATTCATTTATATATATAAATTACTATTATTATTATATATATAAATTACTATTATTATTATATATACAAATCACATGAATTCCATTTTACTTAATTCTGCTTATGACATTACTCTTCTCTTTTTTCTTTCTCTATCCCATCTAGTTTCATTAGCTTAATCTTCTCTTTATCTAAACTTCTCTCGGTTAATAAATTTCAAGTCTTTTTGATATCTTTCATCTTTTGTATCTTCTGAAAAAGCTTTTTCTAAAGCAAAAGATTTTGATAAGTTATGTAAATTCAAAGTCTTAATCTTAAAACTCTTCAATCTACCATAAGCTCTTAGAAAACTCACATAAGCTCTATAAACTATTGATTAAATTATATACCTTCTAGATTATAATTAATAATCTTTATCTTATTTTATAAGTTGTTTAATCATTAAAGCTAAAAATTTATCAGGCATTTTATCATGAATTTTTTTAGTTTCAAATAAATAATATTAGAAGGCCTTAAAATATTCTGCTGATTCAACTAAATTTAATGGGGCTGCTAAATGAGATTAAATTTCTTCAATAAATTATTATGATTCAAGACTTAGTATTAAAATAAAATAAATACTTTTCAAAAAGCACCATAAGACTTAAACCATTTTTATTAATTCTTGCTGTTCTTCCTACTTTATTAACATAATCATCATAAGAATCAGGAGGATCAAATACTAAAATATTAGTAACATCAGGAAAATCTAGACCTCTTGATGCAACTGAAGTTGAAATTAAAATACATCCATCTTAATGTTTACTTTTCTTAAAATTAAAATAAGTCTTTGATCTCTGTTATTATTCAATATTTCCATGTAATTTATAAACCTCTTATGTTATAAAAGCTTATTTCTTTTCTTCCTCTTCTTCCTCTATATTTTATTGTTCTTACTTCTTAAATGGATTGTTAAATTGAACTTATTAAAATAAAAACCAATAAAATTCAACTTCATCACATGTTGATACAAAAATTATAGTTTTCTTACCTATCTAAGTCCGAATATAAGCAAAAAGAAATGCCAATTTTTGATGTTCTTAAATGAGAGTATAATATTACTTTAAAGTTGAGGGAATTTACCAAGTTGGATCTCCTTCACCAAGCCAATTACATTATAAATTATCTTCATTAATTTAAATATCTTTTGTTTTTGTTTCTTTTATAAATTCTTTTGAAAATCCAACAAACTTATAATTTTTAGGAGTAATCTCTAAACCCTTAATTTAACAAATGTTTTGATTAACATGTGCTGAAACCATAATCTTTTAACATGAAGGAATATCAATCTTATCTCCTAATAATTAAATCAACTATTCAATATCTTTCTAAAAACCCATATCTAAAATTCTATCACATTCTTCAAAAACTAGTGTATGAATATTTAAAAATTTGAAACTTTAAGTATTTTGTATATGATATAATATTCTACCTGGAGTACCAATAACAATTGTTACTCCTTTTCGAAGTCTTGCTTTTTCATGATTTGCATTTTCACCACCAACTAATGCACCAACAACTATATTAGGACATTTTTTTCCTACTTTAAGTGCAGCATCTACACATTATAATGATAATTCTCTTGTTGGACAAACTATTAAAATATATGTTCCTTATTCTCTTGTAATTCTTGTTTCAGTATTCATCAAATGAGAAATAAGTGGTACCATATAAGCAAGGGTCTTCCCTGATCCTGTTTCAGATTTAATAAATGTATTAGCTTCTAATAATATAAATTTGAGTAATTACTTGTATCAACAATAGGGATAGCTAGTTATTGTATTTTAGTCATTTTAATAAATTCACTTGATTTCAATCCCAATTTGACATTAGGATGAATTTGGAGATCTTCAAAATACTATTCAGTAAATACTTCACCTTCTTGATCTTGATTAATTTATGGTAAAGTAACACTTTATGGTTTTTAATGAATGATCAATTATTTCATAGGCACTCTTGGATGTTTTTGATCTTATTGTTATGGTTTTTTTTAAATTTCTTAATTTATTGTTTGATCTTGTTGATCTGAAATTTAATTTTGTGGTATTGATTCATTTTGATGGGTTTAATGGAGTTTGTCAAAATATTTTTATTTTTTCTATTATTATTTGAGTTTCCTTTGTTGATGTTCTTATTTTCGATCTCTTTTAGGTGTTGGTTGACTAGTTGTTTTTGGTATAAAAACTTTGATTTATATATCATCCATTAAATTAATTAATGGACTTTGAAATGAATGAATAGAAGGAGAAAAGAAAAGAAACTTTATTTTGACTCTAAATAGATAAGTGGATATAGAAATAATCAAATATAAGTTCTTCAAAGAAGTAGTATGATAAAGAAGCAACAGATAAGAATGAAAAATATTAAGAGGGGGATATAGAAATATTTAAAGATAAAAATAATATGGTTGGAAGTGTATATTCAAATTAGGAAAGGATTTGTCACATTTAAAAGGAAGGAATATTTAAAGAATTTAGAAGAGAAAATGAATATAATATTAATGGAAAAATATTGAATTTAATACTTACTGTCATTATTGTATTGGAGAATCAAAGTTCAAAGTCAACCATTTCCAAATCAACATTAAATTGCCTAGTTATATAATCAAAGTCTAATGTTAGAAATCTGCAGAGAATTAAGTAGAGTATAATCTTTACTCCTAATTGATTGAAAATGTTATATTTGATATCTCTTGATGTCTTGGCAAAGAGAATAATAACCTTGATATGCTTTGATTTAAGGTTATTTCATATTTATTAGCAAGAGTAATCTATATATACAATTGATAATTTCTTCTTAATCTATTTGCTTAATCAAATTCATAGATATTCTGTATAACAAATCATTAAGCATCTTTAAATGAAAAAAATTATAAGTTCATCTAATTTGCTTATATCAAGACAGTCTCCTCGAAGAAAATTGATCAAAAAAAGAATAATCAAAAAGAAACTAACATTCTATTTAAATATAACAGATCTAATTCATAGTGATTAAACGAAACTAACAATTCTAAATCCAAATATTTATGAATTCTCAAATCCTTAATAAATAATGTCCAAATTAGTATTTCATTTCAATTCTTATTGTTAATATCATATTTAGAATTGTTTCATATTTTCATCCAGTATGAATTCCGTAATATATAATTAAGTTTTGAATAATAATTATTTTTAAAATTAAAAAAGAAAGTGACATATTTGTATTATCAAATTATATAAGCTAGTATCAGTGTTATGTTTAATATGCTTGTGACATTTAAAGTTTACGATGCAGTGACTACATACTGGCAAATCGTTTTAAACTATATTCCGTCTTACAAGTTCTCTTACTTGGTTAGGCTGATTTATGTTCTGATATTGAAGAAAGATTCTTATTTTTTATAAATTATTGTATGGGTCGTTTTAAGAAGTTATCGAAATTGATTTGAGAAAGAGTTTTCTATTTTTATCTATAAAGTTGAGATAATGGACTATGAATTTCAGATCTACATTCATTGTGCAATTAATGCAACATTTATAAAGCATCATTTTAATAAAATTAAGGAAGTGAGATTAATGTTGATTATCCTGATTGTTTCCTTGGTTTTGCTATTGATACTCTTGGCTTGGAAATTCTCTTACTATTCTTCAGATGTTAACTTCTTAATTTCTTGAATTTAAAGAAAGTCAAAACTAGTTAAATTGCTCTCACGTATATTTTGAATCGATAAATTATCTATTTATGTCGAAGCTACTTTACATAGAATAACCCTTAAGAGATTAATCTTCGCCATTTGCTTCCATATAAACCATGAATTTTTTCATCACAACTTTGAGATCTATGGTTCTTTTAACCATGTATGCATTTCTATCTTGTGATTTAAATTTAACTCTTCCCCATTAAATCAGGTATAAGCAATGGTCTCATTTAAATTCTCCAAGTTTTTTCTATGCATTTTTTGGGGGTTTCGTTTGTTATAAGAAACTCATTTGATTTTTTGTGAAGCTTTTTATAATATAAAGGTCCTTTTAATCTGGGACTTGTATCTTAAAACATTAATAGAGGACATTGAGATTGCATAGGATCACTAATTAGATTATCCATTGAAGTGTTTAAAAGTGTATACTAAGAAATAAATTATATATATATTTATATAATAATTGAAAATGAGCGATATGTTTTAAGGAAACAAAAGTGGAGTTTCATATGGGAGTCAATTTGATGCGTAAAATGATTAATGAAATATTGAATTTTAGTTTAGGTGCAAGTTTCGGTAGAATTCCTCTACAAGATAAACAAAGTATTGGATCAAATAATGGAGGAGGTAGCTTTGCATAGGTTTCTGTTTCTTTTTTGGTTTAACCAGATCAATATAGATCATCAGTAGGTTTGGAGGAAGGAGTAGCACCTATTTAAATATATGAATATTAAGAACCTACAAATTAGAAAGGAATATTTTATAGAAGTAGTGGAGATTTTGAAATGCAATTCGAAGAGATTAGAATGGATAGATTAAATATTGATTAACAATAAAAAGTTGAGGAGGATGCATAATAATTACAAAAAAATAGTGAGAGGTCATCTAATGATTTTGAAATGAAAATATGTAATATTCTATAATTATTATAGAATCTGCATAATAAATTAGTTCAAATTTTAAACCAGAGATAAATTAGATGATGAATTAGAACATTATTGAAGAAAATAAGAATCTTTTCAATGTTAATATTTCGAAGAGTATCTATACAAATAAAATAACATAACTTGTTGAATAAACATAATAGAAATTGACCTTATCATCTAAGAATTAAACACCTACTCATCTATCGTAATTTATAATCATTGATCTTATTATAGAAAGAGCTAATAAAAATTATAAAGGAAATCACCAAATTTATAAAGAGATCATTCAGATTTATCATCAGATTTTAATTAACAAAATAGTAATGATCCTAATTAGGATCCAATATAATAAAAACTAGCTAAGAATAGAGAATCTGCTAGAAATTCTAGAGCAAGAAAGAAGATTTATTATGAATTATTAGAAGTGAAAGCTCAGGAATTGTAGAATGAGGTGGACTCATTAAAATAATAGATTTAAAATTAATAGAAATATACAGAAATTTGTAATAAATCTTAAGAGAAAGTAATTATTTATTTTTAAGATTAATTAGTTTTAAATGTTTTTAGAATAATAATAATAATTATTTGATAAACTTGAAACATATTTAATAAAAAATAAAGATAATGTTGAAATAGGAATGATTTTAGATGCTCTAAGATATAGAACCAATTCAAATAGTTAAGAAAGAAATGATGCAGCAAGGAACTATTTTGATTAAATGGTAGAAGTTTGTCTCCCAATTCAAACTAGATACTTGATTTATGCATTAGAACAGAATAAGGATTTTTTTGCTTAACAACCAAAGTATATTTTTTGAATTCAATACCAGTGATTATTCTGATTGGATGGTTGATTCTTTTTAGAAGACTGATATTAAGCCAGAGCAAATTGTTAAAGTAAAGAGAATGAAAACAAAATTATAAAGTGTTAGAAATAATATATCAGAGTATTAAATAAATAATTTATAAAATTAGTTCAATTCATAAAATAAAAGAATAATTGAAATTGATTTAAAGTGAAGCTTTGAAAGTTGATTAAATGTGGGAATAATTGAAAGAATGTTTATCACCAATCTAATTAGGTTCATGTATTTTATCAATGAGATAAGTAATATTTTTGTATATAAATTAGAATCAATACAGATAAGAATTATAAACATCTTCCTTATTTGTGTAATTAAAGAATTCACAAATGGTATTAATTATTAATTTATTGTTTTAGTCAGAGGAAGAAGAAATTTAAGTTAATCATTAATAATTTGCTATTCCTAATAATAGAAAACTAATAAAAAAATCATAATGCTGAGAAATTTATATACATATTGATTATTTTACTAAATTAAATAAATTCATTTACCTATTAATTAAATATTAAAATTATTATAATTTTAAACTGTTGTCATCCAATATGTATTTAATTAATATTTTTTTAATTATCTTTGTGAATTATAAAATGATGATATTTGATCATTGAAATGAATGTTTATAAAATAATTCTTTATTACAACAATTTAAACTAAGTTTATATAATGAAAAATTGTTTCAAAAATCATTTTTTTGTCTATCCAAAGATGGAGCAACTTTTAGGTTTGAGAATAGATTATATGGAATTAGAAGAATATCTTGGAGAAAGAGCAGGAGATTGATTTGGAGAGGATTTAGCATTCTATGAGAAATAATAGATTTAGTTTGATGTACTAAATCTAAGCCGCTTCATTTTTGATCTCAATCTTGAGTCAATATCTCCATTTTCATTGATTTCATTTGGAGATGGAGATTAATCCTCTTAATCAGAATCTGGTAAAATCATATCTTCTTGGTCCCCTTTTGTTTTTATAATTTTTTGGATCAGAATGACTTTCAATGGTACATTGTTCATTTGTTCTTCAAATTTGATATGTTAAATTAATTATTTATTATACACTGTTTAGAAAAATACAGTGTTATATTCTTGATAGATGAACATGTATAGTGAATATTGAGTTATTGAATAGTAAGAGAAAGGATTTAGAATGAGATATATCGTCATAAAAATTAATTTATTTAATTATATTCGATGGATGTTTCTTTTCAATATTAAGGCTAGATAAATTAAATACTTGATAGATTGTAAGAGTATTTGAGCCGAGTATCTAAAAGACATTAAGGTCATTAAAATGAGCATAAGAATTTAGAATAGTAAATGCAGGCTTTTTTGGAAATATATTTTTAGAAATAGTAGGAACATTAATAGCTAAGCTGCAATTAGAAGATTAATTTCTATGGGAATAATATTAATTAATTAGAATATTAGATAAATGATTTGTAAGATAATATAAGAAGCATAAATAAATAGAGAGAGAAAGTAAATGAGGACATAATTTAAAAAGAGAATGAATTAATTAGTATTGATAAAAGGATGAATACAATTAAGATTTCAAGTTCAATGAATTAGTAATTTGAAGAATTGATTGAAGGTATATCAATGTGTAAAGAGAAGTGTGATTATTTGGAAGAAGAAAATTAGGATTTTAAAAAGATCTTAATATATGAGAGAAAGAAAAATAGTGATTTAAAATAACACTATTAAATTGTAATAAAATTTAATAATAATTAAAGGTAAGGGAGAGATATGATTAAAATTTGATAAGATTGCAAAGTTTAGAATAGAATGGATTAGAGATAAATTAAAGAATGATGAAGTAATTGAAGATAATAAATGATTTACGTTTATTTATAAAAAGTTAGAATAGTGAAACATTTTAGTAGATATCTCCTAGAAAGAGAACAATTAATTAATAATTGATAAGTGCTTAATATTCTTTGGAAGATACATGTATATAATAGTTATTTTAATGAGTTTATTGAGGAATCATTTAATAATTTTGATTAATTGAAATTGAATTAGAAAGGTTCACATCAATTAATTTAGACAGAAAGAGAATTATTTGACAATTTGTCTTAAGTTATATAGTTGAAGAATAATTTGGCATAAATAAATAATAAGGATTTAAGTGAGAGTGAGAAATCATTTCGACCTGAAGAAAAGAGCAATTAAAATTCAAGTGAATAAGTGTTGTTGGTATCTAGTAGTTTGAGATACAAAACTCATTAAAATTTAGGATCATTGAGAATTAGATAGATTAAAAATCCATCTGAAAATAATAAGGCATTTTCTGAATTAGATGAGGTAGAAGAAGATTTAAATAGTGATCATAAAGCAATTATAATGACTGATGGAATGTATGTTGAAGAAGAAAGTATATATATTATTAATTAAATGATATAGTGACACCAAGATAACCATGGTATTATAAATCAGCTTTGCCTTAATAATTGAGTAATAAAACTGAATCTAAGAATTGGGAGTTTGGAAGTGAAAGAAAAAGATTTAAAAGTAAACCATCATTAGCATCATTTACATCTAATTCAAGTTGTTTAGGAGGATGTACAATGACATTAAAAGAAGAATTTTAAAATATCTAATAATCTTAATAAAGTGAACAAGTAATTGAAGATGATGAATTCAAAGAAAAAGATACTGAAATTAATAATAGTTATGAAATTGCATAGTTAGTATAATAGGAATAAATCATATCAGATTCAACTATTTTGATTAATAGAAAACATAAATCCGTTAAATTTGTTGATCAAAATTTAACTGAAAAGTAAGTATTATTATTTTATATATCTAGAAAGAGTAATTCTATTAAATATTTTGGATTAGCTATTTGTTCTATTGGTGTTCTTTGTTGGGGTGCTAAAAAAATATATTAAAAGTACTGTTGATTAAATTGTTTTTTATTTACAATATATTAATAAAGTTATTAAATTGTTTATAAATTATTAATATAATAATGTAAGATGATTATGATGATGAAGAAGGGAACTTTTAAGATAATTAAAATGATGAAGAATATGATTAATTTAATTAAAATGATTAAATGGATCCTAATTAATTAGATAGTTGTAAAGACTTTAATTGTTATTATTTTAGTTTAACAAGATAAAAATTAATAAAATAAAAACCATGGAAATTATTCTGTTGATCAATAGAAATAAATTGAAGATAAAATTTCTGAGGATTTAGAAGAAAAACTTAAAATGTTAGATGAATATTCTAAAGACAAAAATGAAGAATAAATTTTGAATATAAGAATGCATTAATTAGCATTAGCAAAAGTAGAATTAATTATTAATTATAGATACTTGTATTCACTCATGGTAAAGGACAATTTAAATTGGTTAGAGCACATACAAATATAGGTGAAGCATATCTTAATTATAAGTGTTTTGAATAATCTATTGATCATTTAACTTTAGCATTAAAAAAGAATTCAAAATTATTTAATGAGGAATCAGAAAGTAAAAGTTATAATGCAATTATTCTAACTTTACTTGGTAAATGCTATTTGGAAATAAACAGTTATGAAGAATCTTTAGATTTATTAAAAAAGGCATATGAAACTCAATGTCAAATCTATGGAGATGAAACTGAACATTCCATTTAAACTCTAACTTTGATGTCTAATTGTCATACGTAATAATCTATTATTTTATCTTATTAGAAAAATTAAAGATTTTGATTCAAGTGAAGAATGTATTGCTAAAGTATTTGCAATTACTGAAGCTAAATATGGTTACAAATCTGAATAAAGTGCAATCACATATATTGAAAAATCTAAAATTTATGCTTGTTAAGAAAATTGGAAAGATGCTATTCAATGTTTATCAAGTGCTATTGATATGTTAATTGAAATTAACTATTAAAAAACAGAGTATGTTGCAGAATTATATCAATAATTATCAACTTATTATGAAAAAATACAATAAATTGATGAATAAATTGCTTCCTTATCAAAAGTAAAATAAATTTATATTGAATTATATACAACATCAGATAAAAAAGTTATTAAAATCAAAAGATAAATAGCAATTATTTAATTAAAATAAGAAAAACATTAAGATGCTTTGGCTGAACTCTATGAAACAGAAGATTTAGAAGTTAAAGTTTATGGAGAAGGAAGTGTGTAAGTGGCTAAAACATAAAAAATAATTGGTAATATTTACATATTATTATTTAAGGAACCATATTATTATTAGTCTAAGAATTTAGAGATGCCCTAAATTATTTCTAGAAAAGCTTAAAAACATTTGAAGAAAATGGTATGAAAAAAGCTGTGGCAGAGGTTAAGTAAAAAATTAAATGTGCTAAAGAAATGAAAGAAAAAGGCAAGACATAATTTAATCTTAAAGACAGATAAAATTTAATGCAAGATTATTGATTAACTATTTCTGAAATATTTTATATTATTATACAAATTTAAATTATTTCATTATATTATACCAATCTTTAAAATAACATAGCTATTGTATGAAAAATCATTTTTATATTTAAATATCTTTACCTATTAAACTCAATGAATAAAAAAGTGAGTAATATATAAAAAACAAGATCTCAGATTAAGAAACCAATAAGTTGAATACAATACTAAAACATATATGATAAAAATCTGAATTCTTCACTAAAAGATACTTATTAAACCTAAAATATGGATTGTCATCAATTTATATGAATGATTTATAGTATATTCTTGATATAAGATATTTGATTTAGAAATTCTCAATTTATTAGTATAGCATATATATGATGTATTATTCAATTGAAATACTGTGAGAACATTTTTCATCCTTAATAAGAATAAGCATATCAAAAGGTTTAAAATTTATTGAAATGTTATTAATGAAAAAAAGTAAAATAAAAATAATTAAAAAAGAATATAATAAAAATAAAACTATATCAAAAATAATAAAATAGGAGAATCTTCACTTAGATGAATAATTAAGCTTTTGACTTATTTGTTAAATGCTCAAGATTTTAATAAAATATAAAATTTCATGAATAAATTCTACATATGTGATTCTTTTTGATTAATTGATTAAATTTAATTACATCATATAAATGCTTCGTTCCAGTTCATTCCTTGGAGGATACTCAAGATCTAGTATTATATAAATCTATAAATTGAATAGTGTCTAAAAACAGATTAAGACCAAGAGTATTGTCATATAGACATACAAAATTGAGATATTTGGCATTGTTTTTTGCATGCATGATTATGATAGGTGATGCATATTGCTTTGATAATCCAATGGCTTTATAGAGTGAAATAAAGGATTAATATGGAGTAGATCAATTTCAGTTTAATTTATTATATACAGTTTATTCATTACCCAATATTGTACTTCCTTTTTTTGGAGGAGTTTTAATAGATAAAATAGGTGCAAGAACAGCTATTTTATTATTTTCAACAATTATTATGATAGGTTAATTAGTTTGTGTTTGGGGTGCATATAATTTAAGTTTTTGGACTTTAATAACTGGAAGAGTGATTTTTGGAATGGGATCAGAAAGTTTGAATGTGTCATAAAATTCGATTATGGCTATATGGTTTAAAGATTAAGAGATGAGTTTAGCAATTGGATTATGTATAAGCATTCCTAAAATTGGTAATGCTCTTAATAGTCTTCTAAGTCCTTAGATATATTCAAAATATTAATCTTTAGCTGCTCCAATGATAGTTGGAGTTGGGACACTAATATACTCATTTGTAAAGATAATCAAATAACTATCTAGATTTGTGGAATAGCCTTAATATATATGGATTATAAGAGTGAATAAAGAGAAAAGTAGAATCAAATGTTATTGAATAAAAATGATGAAAATCATCGATCATAATCAGAACTATCCGCCTCAGTCAAAAAATCAATTAAAGATGAAGATTGTGATTCTCCAGATTTAGGAAGAAGTCCAGAAATATGTATACCTTCCTTATTTATATTATTAAGTTGCTACTCCATAACATTAAGAGGAAGAATAAAATGAACATGAAGTAAAGGAAGAAATCAATTTCAAAGACATTGCTAAATTATCAGGAACCTTTTGGATTTTGATTATAATTTGCATGTTGACTGAAGCTTTATTTGTACCTTTTCTTGATAATGGAAATGAATTGTTATAAGAGAGATTTGGTATGACAGCTGAGGAAGCAGGACTTTTCTTAATTATACCATATTTAGTAGCATCAGGATCTACTCCCTTCATTGGAAATATGGCTGATAAAGTAATTCATTATGCAAAATTAACTAGCTTGGTAGAAGAAGTTTATTAATTATTGTTACATCATTTATCTTTCTGATTACACATATCCTATTCATTTTTAGAATTTGCACTTCAGTTTGTTTTTTAATTACCATTCCTTTGACTATTTTAGGATTATGCTTTGGATTTTATGCTTCCGTTGTCATTCCTTCGGTTCCTTTTGTTGTCAAATCATAACTTGTTGGAACAGCTTTTGGATTAACTGGAGTATTTTAAAACACTGCTTTAGCCTTATTTCCTATGATTACTGGAATGATATTTAATTAATTTAAACATGATGAAAATGGAGAAGAAAATGAAGAAAGAGGTTATGTTTATTAAAGTTTCTTTTTTATTGGTATGAGTGTTTTACTTGTTATTATTGCTATTTTATTAATGTTTGTAGATAAAAATGGAGAAAGAAAATTAAGTTAAAGAGGAAAAGGATTTGCAGGAAAACGTAAAGTTGATTATGTTAGTGTACATGAAGTTACTGACATACCAGCAGATAAAAAAATTAGCATTAATTATGATGCTGATCAAAGAATTTGATAATTAAGCATTTTTTTTATAAATAACTAAATCTTAATTATTCATTTCAAACAATCTCAATATTTTTTATATTTAAAAAAAATAAAATCTATTCTATTTCATTACTTATTTATATACACACAAATTTAATTTTCTTACTTATATTAAAAGACTTTAAAACTCATTTATATTACCTTAATTCTCATTACTTTCAATAAATTATATATTTTTTTTTTTTTTTTCTATCTTGTTATTTCTGAAATTTATTATCAAGCACAAAATCAAAGGTTTATTAATAAATAAATAATATATAAATTACTTTATATATATATTAATTGAATTATTAAATATTTAATAAAATAATTTGTTACATATATGATTTAAGAGATTGCTAAATATAATCGCCTTTATCTCTTCTTAGTTTACATTATTAAATTTTCTCTAATTTAATCTTAGACAAAATTCATTAATTTTACTGTGATAATTCTTTCAATATTATTGTTTGGATCTATTGATTTACAATAAAAATTATGTTATAATGCATTTTTA